TTAAAGGTAAATAACCACTCCTAAAGGTGGACGATTAAGGGGTTATAAAGTTTATGTCAAGCCATCATGATGTAGGTCAGTGTGGTGACGAATTAAGAATATGAAGTGTCACCACCCCTATTCATCCCGTGGATGTCGTAAGAGCCGACTAAGGGAACAAATTACGCAGGACAGCAGCACTGCAAAAAGAAGGAAAATACCAACCCGTTGGGTCAGCGTGGTATAGTAGGCCAAAACCTCCTTTCTAATGAGAGGCCCAGAGGTCCAGCTGCGGATCACTAAAGGCTGTTAATGATGACGAGGATGATCATGATGAAGTCATTGAAGTAGGTAATCCTATTTTAAAAGTTAGGTATATTAATTTTCCGACTTAATATTGACAGGACGCCTGTCGAGTTACATAGCATTAATTGAATTACCATATCATGCAAATGTGTCTCACAAATTGATTATAACAAATTGTGTCAACTGTCGTGTCAATCAAGAATTATTCTACTGCCTTATCTAATCTAGGACATGCCGGACAAGTCGTGACCTAATGGTTGATGTTGTTTATACAGGGGTATACACACTAGTGAACTGCCGCATATCCATAGCCTGCGATATCCGAATGAGAAAAGGATGCCCGCTACTTTCATTCATTCATTCATTCATAATAATAATATCTTTCTGGCGTATCTTGAACGGATCTTTTATATTCCTATATTGTATTACATTTTTAAATTGTAGATTTGATACAATTCAATACTTAAATAATCTGGGTTGAAGTATGAAATTGCCGTTGTATAGTAACACTTTAAATTGACATAAAACCTTCATGTTTACCCTACCTATGAGGTTCTTCTTTAAAATAATGTGCAATATTCGATTTTCGACTATCAAATGATTTTTATTCAGCTTAGACGTGAAAGATGGATACTTCGAAAATCCTAGTCATTTTTTATTTAATACGAGTTCCGACGCGTAACTAACGGCAGAAATGGCTCGCAATATCAACGCTGCGTTTGGAGAGGAGACTGCTAATGAACGCACCGTGCGTTTTTGGTTTAAACGCTTTCGTAATGGGAACTTCAATTGGAAGCCGATCCGAGTCAAACTATCTAGGAATTGCCGGCATGGTTTAACATTACCCTACATACAATATTGACTCATTTGCATCAAATCAATAAGATAAAAAAAATATGAAAAATGAGTGCCTCATGATTTGACTGATCTGCAGAAAGAAATGCGTGTTGAAACTTGTGTTGCCTTGTTAAATCGGTACAGAAATGAAGATATTAGATTGAATTGTGACATATGACGAAAAGTGGATTATTTACGATAACCGTAAGCGAAAAATGCAATGGTTGACCCCAAGTCAACCTTCGCAACGGTACCCTAAAGCAAAGCTTACCAATAAAGGGTAATGGTAACTGTTTGGTGGTCTCTTCGTGGTGTTATTTACCATAGCTTTCTCAGGTCTGGTCAGGCAATAACAGCAGATGTTAACTGTGCCAAACTTCGAACAATGATGGTGAAACTGGCAATGAAATAGTCCCGACTCGTGAATTGATCTTCACCATGATTGCTCCATGATAACGCAAGACCTCACACTGCCCGAGAAACCGTTGTAACTCTACAGAAGCTGCGGTTAGAAACCATACGTCATCCTCTGTACTCGCCACACCTTGCTCCAACGGACTACCATTTTTTCCCCAATATGCCTATTGGGAAAATGCTTTCTTGAAAAAAAAAATCGTAGTTACTATAACCGTATAATACAAAAATAATCCGTACTTGCGAATGGTCATTTAATGCCCAGCACTGATACACAGAACACACATACGCGCCCACCCGCACACATACACACGATTACGTATTACCGCTACATCGCGATATTAATGTTAGGTCTTACATCGGTTTTAATTAAATGGCGCCTAACTATCGTATCAGAATAATTGCCTATGAATTCAAGAGTGTTGTTTTAAATGTATATTATTTAAACACTTCAATTCAGTTTAAGGTTTTTATAATAAGTTACTTATTCCTTATCTAAACTTAAGTAATTTTGCAAGTAAATAACGAATGCAGTTAGTATTATCCATGAAATTAATTTAATATCAGATGGAGGAGAACCCAAAGCCATAGGGCACAAGTTCGGAGAGGCATATGTTCAGCAGAGAACCACAATAGTCTGATTAATTGATTTAGTTTATATTGGAGTTTAGTAACAACGTTGACATTTATAGAGAAGCGACAACATTGAATGACATTCAAAGATTTGAAAATAACTCTTCCATTTAAATAATAAAACGTTAACGAAATACCAGTCTCTAAAGGTCAAGGTCACAAGATATATTTTACGTGTAAATCCTTCAGCAACGTTATTTTAACCTGAGTTACAACGAAAACTGTAAAAATTCGGTAGTTTAACGCTTGCGTGCGATCTTGAACGCAATTACATATATTGTATAATCGGCCTAGATCGCCCTTCAGTTGACGGCGACTTCCCATGATTTAAATATGTATGGGGTACATAAATATCTTCAGGGCTTTGCTCGCACGAAATGTTAAAGTACAAACGCCAAGTTCCAAACCATTTGTTTAGGGTTCAGTGCAGTTGCGGACCCAGGAGCATTTAATTTTAATGTTACATATATGTAAGTATAAGCAACTCCTTCTCATGTCGTTCCCCACACTGCTGATGATCGTGATCTCAACAAATCATTAATCGAACGGTTTTCCACCCATTGCGGTCCTCAGAAACACCTATGGCTTTGAAGACCGCTTCGCCGGCGGCGTCGCGGATCTGATCGACCCAGCGCATAGGTATCCTTCCTCTTGACCGTTTTACCCCCACTTTTTTTTTACTAGGAGCTTATCCAAGTTGTCGCAATTTTCCTATCTATGTAACCAAAGAAGTCCAGGAGCGTACGTAGGGAGATTGTCATTCCTTTCGTACGTTTTAAAATGAATACTTGCCTAAGGAAGGTTGCGGTCAAGTCATATAAAAACCCAACCAAAACCTTTTTCATTGCGCTGATTTCAAATAAAATTGGGCTAAAGGGCAGAAACATGATGATGATTCTCGTAAACCTTATTAAAATTATGTAATTTATTTTTATGAATATTTTGCAACATTTGTTTTGTATTTATAACAGTGCTAACGTGAGCAATTATTTAAACATTTTGTTTGGACACAACGTACTGTTTATACTACTTACTTTGTTTCATAACTTTTACAAAATATTACGAGAAATTTAGTCCCTACAATTTGCCACGAATTACTTTAAAATATTTTAAAACGTTTTCTGTAAAGGAAACTTTATTTGGTTTTTCAATAATAATAATTTATTACTCTATGGGAAGTATGGGATACTATTGTGTATTTAGTACATAGTATTTATGCTAGTGTAGGTAAAGGTTATTCCTAGGTAATACCCGAGACCCTTGCAGTAGACTCATATGTAACGTAATAGTGGTTTTAGTCACCGCCGGTGAGATGGTGACTCGTGGAGGTTTCCACACAAAAAAAAAATTAGTATAGCCTCAATATACCTACATATCCGTGTGGTGACGGATTAAGAATACGGGTCACCACCCCTATTCATCCCGTGGGTGTCGTAAGAGCCGACTAAGGAACTAAACTACAAGACAACAGCACTGCAAAGAGAAGGAAAACTTAAAACAAACCCTTTACCAACCCGTCTGGCCAGCGTGGTATAGTAGGCCAAAACCTCCTTTCTAAGGAGAGGCATATGTCCAGCAGTGGACTATTATACAGTGGACTGTTGATTGATTGATTGATTGATTGATACCTATATACATTTTTGCCTCAATAAAAATACAAGTGTTGCATAAGGAAAATACGGCTAGTGGGTTTTAACAGAGAAAATAAATAAATGAAGGAGAACGAAATGCATTCAAACAAAAATACATCTGTAATTCAGAAAAAGGGGAAATACTCTTGGGTATTGGTGAGATGGACCGCTAAAATTAAGCGGCGGTAACTTATTGGCTAATGCGTCAGACTTTCTATCAAATGTACGCAGATTCGAACCCCAACCAATGCAACACGATATCTAATAAGTATTAGAAAAAATTGATACTTGTTTCATCCTGTCAAAATAATTAATTTAACCTTCTATTGTAGAAAGGGACAATTTAAAGTGTATCCATAGTATTAACTAATAATAACCATTGAAGTATTCAACATGATGACTTTGCTTTGTCATTTAAAGGGAAAATATTCAGACTAGATACATTAAACAAAATTATCAGGCATCAGAGTATGAGTTTATGCATTATTTTTTGTTTGCACAAGTTTTTTTTTATGGTATAAGGGGGCAAACGAGCAGACGGGTCACCTGCAGCAAGCAACTACCGCCGCCCATGGACAACTGGAACCTCAGAAAATATATTTAATCTTGAATTTGCCTTGCCTTGCCTTGTTAACCGACTTCAAAAAAAGTTTGAGATTCTCATTTCTGTTCTGTTACCTCAGAACAACGCTATTTAAAAAATCCTCATTTCCAAATGTGATGAAAGAGTACTACCAGTAAGTGTGGAAAACTAAGGAATGTAGAACACAGTTTATTTATTACAATTCGTGTATGATCTATACGCATAGAAATCGGTATTACTTTTTAAATAGTCGAATTATTATAATTATAAATCATGATCATTTCGCTCTTGATTCATAACCAATTAATTTCAGCGTATAGGTACCTATACTAAAAAATAACGTTGTTAAATGGATCTGGCCATGTGTCCTTTTATTTGTAGTTTTAAAGTGCAAGGATAAATCTTGGGAACCTGTAGTTGATACTATTAAACTCCAATTTTAAACCAAACAAAAAATATCACGACTTAAATTTATGTAAGAATGGACATAACATAAACATACTAGGATTTTTCTATATATTTAAACAGTCTGATTTTGTCTCAGTATACCTAAAACGTCCACGTAAAGCATTTTATTACAAGGTTAAAGAACTAAATATAAAATTTATCGCTTTCAGATACTGATCGGCATAACCCTCATGGTATGGGTGGTGCAAAAAGCGCGGAAGGAGCTCACGATAGCCATCATGCAGGCGGAGCTCGGCCGTGAGACGATATCCACGTCGAGCAGCTCTTCTATCAGCTAGCCAACGCCCCGTGCTTCCACGGACGTGGATAGCGTATCCGAAGAACGGCCCAGCTAGGGCTCAACCCACCCATGCTCCAGACACAGCTTACGGACGTCCGAGGCTGAAGAAACTTACGTTTGAGGGTGACCACCCTGTGATATTAAAATTAATATTATTCGCCATGTTACCTCCAAGGGGATTACGGTTGGTAAAGGAAATTATTTATTTCTTACCGATGTTGATTAGGTACATCTCGCTCAGTAAGCACTGACTGAATTGTTTCATACACTACACGCTTCAAGATACACATTTGAAATTAGTATTATATTGTGACTGTTTTAATACAATTGTACTCAAAATGATTTCAGCTTAGAAATAGTTACTAAAGACATCGGGATTCTGGTATACATTAACTAGATAAGGAATAAAGATCTCTGATAGATACACAGCTATGTATCAGAGGCCTTTGTAAATACCAAACATATAAAGACATTTAAAAGCAATTTAAAAACATTATTTTCCAAAAAAACTTTGATACTTGAAGGAATTTCAGTACCTAGTTTAGAATTTCTCCTTAGAATTCCTCCTTTCTTTTTACTAATCTGATTCTGACTTAATCTTTTGACTATGCCTGTAGAAGGATAGCTGTCTATGTTTCTATATACTAGTAAAAGCCGTAATTATGCTAGATTCTTTTAGAATCGATTTTTCCTTTTATGATATGGGGTTTTTATGAAACGAGTAGACGAGTTACTGGATGGTAAGCGACTACCGCTGCCGATGTACACCTGCAACTCCAAAGTGCGTTGCCGGTTTTTAAGTTGGAAGTGCGTTCTTTTTCTAAAGGTTTTAAAGTCTTATCCAAAAATTATTGAAGTAGTAAGAAGAAATTTCTTGAAGAAGTAGTAGTAGAGTACCAACCAATAAAATTATCCACGTGATGGCGGAAACCTGGCTGGTATAAGTCTAAACAATTGCTGGAAGCGCCATTAGATATAGATGATGACTGCACGGATGGCGTAGTGGTTTAAGCGGTCGCCACGCCGCTTCCTACTACGCCGAGTGTTGTGGGTTCAAACCCCACATGGGACGACACTTTGTGTGATCCACAAATTGTTGTTCTGAGTCTGGGTGTTCTTTGTGTCCGTTTCATGTATGTTTGTAAAGTCCCCCGCGACACAGGATTTATTCCTAATGCGGGAGTTGTCTTTTAAAAAAAAAAACAAAAAAGAAGAAGAATATAAAGTAAAGCTACGTCTAATCTCACCGATAAATATGTCTATGGATTTGGGCATGAATACTCTGAGACCATTATCCGTTACAGTTGCGGTTCAAACTTCGAACTGCAACTTCCAAAACTAAATCACAAAAAGCTATAATAACGATTATCTTGTCTTAAAAACTCAAATGCACTTCTTACCCAGTGCCTTTATACAATTGTTAATTATATTTACTTTCCTTTATACTACCTACGGCACAAAAATAGTGTGTCATTTATGTGGTGTGGATATTACGTCTCATGGTCGTACAACATGCTAATATTTGTTCTATGATAACATGTCTCCAATGGCTTTCCTCACATATAATATATATTTATGCATAAATTATGATAATATGGTTAAAATTTGGTATTAGATGTTGATTTTAGATATTAATACAAGGGTCAGAATAAAAAAAAACATGTTATTAGAATTGAAAATTACATATTGTCTTGGTGATTAAACTTATTTGTTTTAAAAAAAGCTAAAGGTATTTTAAAAGTGCCTGATGCAATTCCTAAATTTTTAAAATAAAATATTAACCTCGAAATAATGTTAATAAAACAAAATTACATCATTAAAAGTAATTGCAATATTAATCTGAAAATCTTTGAAAATGTTTTTTTTTTAATAATTTGGGGGAATAACTATTACTTCACCTTGATGTTCTCGATATAGCTTCTCTGATTCAATAACGATTTACAGAAAAAAAAATTTTTTTTAATAATATTATCAATCGGAAATACCGATTTTTTGCTTTAGTCGTTGATAAAAGGATACTCTTGTAATACTGGATACTCAGAAAAGGGTCTGTCGGACTCTTGGTGACGTACTGCCGACGTAACCACGTTACGTTACGTTAGATGTAACATAAACAAGAACTGTTCATTATTTTGAGTACAATTGTAGTTTAAATCTGCGACATAAAAGTTCTTAAAAAATGCTCAATAATATTTATTTTTTATTCACAATGATATAGTAACAGTTTATGAGATAACATATTATTGCTAATACACTATCTGTTATGTGTATGAAGCGTGATGATGGTCCACGAAGCACGACAGAACCAAATAGCTTAAGATATTTGCACATTTAATTGTGCACTCTATCGTGTGCATATATAGTTTAGTTTACCTGGACACTGAAGTAAAACGCTAGCTAAACCTGGATAAGTGGAGAAAGCTCACTTTCAAACTTTTATTTTTATTTTATTAAAAAATCCTATCGTTTTGTCTTTGATATTTCAAATAGGATGTTGTTAAATTTTAAATACTGTTCGATATTCGAATCAAGTAATGTGAGTTTTCGCCACATATCTCCTATAATAGCTTAAGGAAAATAAAATATATGTATGAAATGTATATAGTTGGTAGATTTTCCAGAACGGGTGCAGATGTAGGTAAATTATTTTTCAACGATTTATTCAACAAAACTAAAATACTTTTCGGTGTTTGTATTGGTAGTGTTTAGTATAAAAAATGTTGCCAAATTTCATTACGTGCAAATGAGTTTAACATATTTACATAAATAGGGATGTTTTGTGTTCTTTTTTTTAAATGTCGTCTTTGGCAGTGTATAGACAATTTGCATAGAGTATGAGTTATACGTTTTTTTTTAATGATTTCCTTTTTCTAAAGTGGTTTAAGTTAACTTATGGCCTATTATATGAATGTTACAACAGAAAAATTGTATTTGCTAACGGCTTTTTTTGAATAATCTATTTTGTGGATCTAGCATGAGATTGCCTCTGACAGATGCATAATTATGGCCATTATTTTGCTAGATAATATTTTTTATATGGGATAGGTCTAGGGGTATTTATTTACTATGAATAGAACGCCTAATATGTATTTATTTAAAAAAAAACAACATGTAAATATGACAACCTACCTATACATATATTGACCCAATGCAGTAACATGGTAAAATATTTATCTGGAAATTAAGTTTGGATGCACTAATCTCTTTGACATTCTTATAATTTAACATTGAGGTTATTTTCAGAAGATCTTTGACCTATTGAATTTTTTTTTAAGTAAAAAAATCTTTAAGAATTGGAACTTTTTTAAACAATCTAATCAAACCTTCTTTCCCAAAAAATAGACAGTCACTATGGTTCTATATTTAAACACTTATTTTGTTTATTACATTGAACACAGATTTAATAAAAATATGTTAAAATCATTTGTATGAGACAGTACGCATTCTTTTGATGCCAATGCAGTATATTATTAGAGAAAAAAAAAGTGTATGGCATTTATTCTTATGAAATGAAGACTAAATACCATCGCGAACAGCGATTATTTATTGAAAATGTGTAGCTAGCTAGAATATTATGTATTGTTACATATTACGTTGTATTGTACATAGTTGAAAGCGTGGGTACTTTGTATGTAAAGGAACGTTCAAATATTTTATTTTATTGGCAGCCATCTTTGAACGATTGTGAGATGAGCTAATTGTATTCGAAATTTCAACGTACCGCCATAATTTGTATGTTTCGTTCTAAGTTGTTTTATATTAGGGTAACAAAAATTGTGTGACATTATTTACATTTGATGTTTTACGTGCAATGATCGAGAGTATGATCTCCAAAATCCTAACGTTTGAAATTAATTTAGTACTTTGTAATTATTTATTGACTAAATGTTCTTTTTTTAAATCGACACGTCGTCGTTCGTACTCACAAATCATTTGGTAACCTCTAAAATAATAATAATAATAAAAAGTGAAATCAGTCGCTTTTGAATGAATTTTTGAAGTGAAACTTCTATAGAATCGTTGTGATTTGATACAGATACACGATACAGTAACAAATACATAAATGTGTAGGATTAAGTCGACGCGAGAATGAGATAGAATACATTACACATTATTTTTAATATAATATTTTGACAGTGTGAATATTTTTATCTTTTTATTTAATACTAGCCGGTACCCGCGACTTCGTTCGCTTAGAATTTGAAAAAACGCTGCCTCAGTGGTTTTTCTGAGATAAAATTTATTTTCGGAAGTTTCACTTCTGTTGTGTGTGAATTTGTGAACACATACACACACACACACTTTTTTTGTTATTTTTTTTACAAATTAATGTAGAAATAAATTTACTCCCTACATACCTCTGCAGTCTCATAATAACTTTACCATTCAAATGAGTTGCATCCTACTACATTGCTTTATTTATTTGCAATAACCTGTTTGCAATTAATTCAACGGAAACGAATTCTTACTGACTTAAAAACTATAATATTTTACTCTTGTCTCTTCAAATTTTGACTGCACGGATGGCGTAGTGGTTTAAGCGGTCAGCATTGCCACTAAATACTACGCTGAGTGTGGGTCCGATCCCCACATGGGACGACACGACACTTTGTGTGATCCACAAATTGTTGTTCTGAGTCTGGGTGTTCTTTGTGTCCGTTTCATGTATATTTGTAAAGTCCCCCGCGACAGCGGTTATATTCCTAATGCGGGAGTTGTCTTTTTTAAAAAGAAATTAAGAATTAGTTTTTTTTTCAGTAGTAGTCATGTCAGCCACTAATAACATATTTGTCTTCGTCCCCCTAAACTCATTCTTCCTCCACGACCTAAAGACTGATATATCTACGTTTGTATTTCTGTTTGCACTACAGAATAGACGGTTAAATGTTTTTAGTATTTTTTTAGGTAGAAACTAGATTTCTTTGGAAAACTTAAAACCGATATAAGTTTTTATAATGACGTATTAATTAGCGAAGACATAAACGTTACATTTTGTAAATAATATTATTTTTTTAAACCAATTATCGTCAAAATGTACACTATATATTATTGATTGGATCAACTGAATTTTTCAGTGTTTTTTTAGTCAAACTAATTTTATTATTTATGTCCACATACCAGTGCTTTGAAATTAGTTATTTTGTGGATATATTATGTTTGTTTAGCAAAATCAAATGTTCAATATATGTTATTAACTGAATACTTATTTAACATTACAACGATTAGTGCCATTGTATCCTTTGTCCATTATTAATTCTAGTTCTGTTCTAATACATATTATTATTCTTAATAATTTTAAAAGTACTTCAAGTGTTACAAATGTTTAATAAACACGTCCATTAATAATGGAAAATATTTTTTATTACACACTTTTTTAATTACCCTGTTTAATGCGCTTATTTCACCGATTATAAGGAAATGAAATAAAATGATCCGTCATTTGTGTAACATCTTTCCTCTTGCTTTCCAGCAGTCTGTGGAAATGATTACGCGAAAAGGGACGGAAGTGTGTGACTGGCAGCCGGAGAATCGCGCGCTATTTGAATTAACCAATGAGCGCGCGCGGTACTAGAGTTGTTAGATGAAATGTCAGATGTTACAAATAATATGAGGTTACTCTAAGGATCGCTCATCTTCTTTAATGCTGGTGAAACAAGCAAAGTCGATACTTTTGTACTAAAAGATCCTGTCATTAATTATTGGTATTGATCTGTGCCAAATTTATTTTAAAATAATTCAGTTTCGTAAATTTATTTGTAGTCATATTTTTGCCAAAATAAATTTATTTGTGTGTTTGAAAATTTCTGTGCTACGTTTGTTAGGTGTCCCATCTAATGAATATTTCCATTGATCATTAGAATTAGATTTCCCTATTGACTATACCTATTTGTTACTATGCGATTAGGTCGAAATTAATATAAATCATTGTTACACCATGATGTTGAGCGGTCTTCCGTTTTATTGAAATTAAAAAGTGAGAGATGTCCCGCGCCTGGCGCCAATTTCGATCTGAGCGCATTGTATGAAAAACTTCTAAAAAACATTTTTCCTACATTAAAAAAAAAGTGTGACGCTTAAACTATACTCTATGCTCAGACTCTTTAAAATTATTTCACTATTTTTGTAATAAATAACTTAATAATAAAATCTAGTAATTAATGCATTTATTGTTAACGAATTTATTTTGTGTTATAAAAACCACTGTTATTTTTAATACTTGTTGTAAAGTACGTAGCGAGACACTTCGATATTGTACAGTATGGAATGGTAAAAGGAGCCTTATAAAAGATGTAATAAAAACTCTATTCCAGTAATCGTTTATTTACTTACGTGGTGGTGATGAAAGGAGCTGACATTTTCTACTTGAATTTTATCCAACCGACAGGTGAAGTAACTGCATCTTTTAGAATACCTCGACAAACTATTATAATTCAATACTTTTATTTCATTCATTGTGTCAACCTCCTTTCTGTGGAGAGGCCTATGTCCAGCAGTGGACTAGTAAAGGCTGTTGATGATTTCATTTACTATAGAACTAGTTTTGATGTGTCTGTTAGCAAGTAACCCTGAATCCACCCCGGCCAAATAATTGTCTGATGACGATTATTTGTTTTGTGTGTGTGCGTGCGTGTGTTTTATTTAGAAATATAGTAAGTATGTATATCAGTAGTCAGGTTACAGGTGGCAGTTAGTGAAATGTGTGGACCTGAAAAACCACAACATTGTCGAGTCCATATACAATAGGCTAGTGTCCACTAATAACAAATTGCTTGGTTTATAGTGTCAAATTATAAATGAAGGGACATAGATAAGAAAAAACAGACAGTCTATTTCTCATAAAAGTTAAAGATAATTAATTTTTTTTTTAAATAAATTCTTACAAAATAGGCATTAAGTCACGTGACATCGAACACCAACTAAAGTGTTACGTCACCCCACCCAAAACATTGTTGTTGTTGACATTTTCATACAACAGAGCAGGTTACTCCTTATTTCTTTTTAGAAAACAGTTGACGCTGGAAACAGATGTAAACAGTTACATTTCGCAGACTGTGACGTCATTCAAGACACCATGACACTATTCAGCGTTTTCAAGGGAAATTTAAATAGTTTTTTTTTAATACAAAATACATAATGTAAAAATTGCTTTTTCTTTGAAATATAGGTTTTTTGGCATAAAATAGATATTAAAGTATATAATTAACCAAGTTTTCAAATTGAGTCAACTAGCCTATTCAAATAGCAGTGTAAAATCGTTGGGGCACGCCGTCATCGCGGCGTTATGGAGGATTGGCTCGAGAGGCGTCACGGGACCCTCTTATACCGACTGACGCAGATGATCACTGGGAAAGGCTGTTTCGGGAATCACCTGTGTCTGATCCGCAAGGAGCCAACGTCTGAGTGCGCCCACTGCGATGGCCAGACCGTGGACACGGCTCTCCACACGCTGGCAGAGTGCCTGGCGTGGGTTGAGCAGAGGCGAGACCTCGTGGCGGCCATCGGAGTGGGAGTTCTCTCGCTCGATAGCCTGATTGCGGCTATCGTGCGGAGCGAGGGTGCGTGGAACTCTGCCGTCTCCTTCTGCGAGCAAGCTATGCTCGCGAAGGAGACGGCGGAGCGGGACCAGGAGGGTATAGGACTCTCCCGGCCCGTCAGGCCTGGCGGCATAAACCAGAAGAGTTTGTATGTTTGTTTGATTTAACGCGCTAATCTCAGGAACTACATACTGATTCGAATTGAATACATATTTTAGTGTTATATAGCCCACTTATCGAGGAAGGCTATAGGTTATTATAACATCACGTTGCGACCAATATCCGATCATATATAATGATCCGATCATCAATAAAAAAATGCAAAAACGGAAAAAAAAATCCTTTCGAGAGACGCAGCAATAATCATGGTAATCATACATATCTGGAATTTCAAGACAGGCTCCCTTTCCACTCGGCCTGGGAAATGGCTAAGTAGTAAATGAGTTCGAAGAAAAGCTAAAAGACTAAGTACTCATGGCTTGCTCTTGCACCTAGCTTTACCTCCTAAACCTAATACGCGAAGTAGAAGCTAAGCTAATTAGTTTAGTTTGTCCAACTCACTTAAAAGTTACTTGATGGTTGTTTTTTGGTAAATAAAGGGTAACAATTCAGGAAGATCGTTTGAGAAACTAAGCCGTGATACAGATAAACTCATTAACTGTTGCACTCATAATACCAATTACTTAGTATTAATCAACCATTACTTCTTAGTTTAGTCATTAGGTTTAGTCATTACTTCTTGAAGGTGAATTCTACTAAGTATGATGGAAGAAAAATTCTATCGTTTTCTCGACATCTAACAAAGATACTGTCATTATCTCTCGTTCTTTTAGAATACCTACTTGTTTCAATGATCTTCCTAGCGGGAAGTTTGTTCGAGCAAGGTCATCGACCTATTGAATGAATTAAGTAGATCTATGTTGTCGGTACACAAATTGTATAATACAGGTACCTATATTAGATACTTGCACAAACACATAACATAAGCTGATTTTATTAGTTCAAGGTTTTAGGTTATGCATGCTCTAGGTAAGTAAACAGTAAACATTTTTATTTTCATTAATTCTGATTTTGAATAGGTACTTAAAATTTAAATTATTTTCAATCCCGTAAGTATTTTAGTTTTGAAAGTGAATACTTAAAATTTAAATTATTTTCAACCCCGTAAGTATTCAATCATATTGCGACAATGTTTTCAAAAGTTTAATGAGAAATGTGTGTCGTTCATTAATTTGATGAAGCATATAATTTGTTTTATGATTCCTGAACATAACACGTAACAGCAAATTATAGCATTGTTTCTGAACGCTTTTACAACTGTCATTTTTCATTATCATGGCGGAGGACGAAGACGGTGTTTCAAATAAGAATTCGCCTGAAAAATCGAGTAGCCCAGGATCCTCTCAGGAAAATGAATCAAATGCTGCAAAGCCAGATTTAGGTATCGAAGAAACAAAATACAATAGCAATGAAAACGGTGAAACATCGTCCACTGAGGCGAAATGTTCTTCTTCCAGTGAGTTTACGAAGTTGTTTTTTGTCCTAAATATAAAAGTATTCTCCGTTGACTTTTAGTTTTTCTTACAGAGTCTACAGGGGCGACGCGGAAGGATGAGAATCCGTTTTCGTTTAGACATTTCTTGAAGCGGGATCTGTCTCTGCCGGGTAACTCGACTTACGAAAACACTGGCGCTCGTCCGAAAGTGTATGCAAACACGGTACAGCATTCACCGACGAAGATAGACGTGCACGCTGACGCACGGCGGGATAAGTCTCGCTCCAGTGACTCCCAAGCCAAAGAGAAAACCATCGAAGGCAGTAGCCATCGTACAAGTGACAACACATCCTCAAGTAGTTCCGTAGAAATACCTTTTAGTGTAGTGGATAACTCTGAATCTAAGCATAACTTATACGCGGACAATGTTGACGTGCCGTTTTATCACAGACCAAATTTGGCTTCGGAGCCTCTAGGGATGCCTTCATTACCAGATTTTGTGCAAGACCACATTTTGGTTGAACAGGCGTATTTGAACTTTAATGGGCCAATATCGGTGGATTTGGATAACTTACCGGACTTTACGTTTAATACTAGTTTCAATGCGGGTTCATCCTCTTCCTTGGGTAGAAAGAAAAGGATGCACAATAATTTGCAATATGCAAATTATGATGGTAGGAGTTATGACTATGAAGCATATATGGGTGCTGCATCTACATCAAATGAATCTGGACAAGCTGGAGGTAGTGGGATCCCACTGGACTTGCCTGCTGGTGCCGAGGCAGCTGGACCATTGCCGTTAGATCTGCCCCCTCATCTGAACCTGGACCTGACTGAATCTGTGAATACAGCTGACAGGAGAAATATATCTCCAAGAAGTACCTTCCCATTAGATCTGCCTACAAATGCTGGTGAGTTTCTTTAATTAGTAAAATAGTTTGAAAACTACAGTCCCTTTTTAGATTAATAAGAACCCCTTATAAGATTCACAATAGTTATCTTGTTTATGTCACAGTTTAGTTGGTTGTTATTTTAATACAATTGATTGGAGGTAATTACTTAAGAGTAACAATTTGTGTTAGAAATTAATGCACAAAGTGGAGTAATTATGCTCTATACAGGATCTTACTAAAAGAGACACCTTCATAGAAAAGTTCCGCAAGTATTAGGGGACAAAGACCTTGATATAACAATACTAAAGCATAATAGTCTATGGATGGGTGACCATTCTTAATACACCGAGATCCCTCCATGCCTCGGAGAGTGTGTTAAGCCAACAGTCTCGGTTGCCATACAAACATCTGTTGCAATTGTTACGGATAGTAGGAGCTGTAAACAGTTCAACAAAAGTCTTTCTACAGAACTTTGATATCACCTAGTTCTTGGGATGTGGAGGTCTAATGACAGTCGCTTGGCGTAAAATATCGAATTACAGCCATATCTTAACTTAAAGCCCACCCCAACCTAGTTGGGAATAAGGCTCAGAGAAGAAAAGGTAAAGAAACATTTTGTAAACACATATTTTTGCTAATATTAGTCTCACTTACTATATGAACTCATGCAATGACCATGCATGAATGCATGAATGAAATATCAATAAAAAATGTTGTAGAAACAAGCAAAATTTATTTCTTTTGAAGCAAGCAGACAAAGTTGTGTGGCTTAGCTAGTAATATATATTATAAATCTCCAACAATCCAATCTAAAACAATTCTCAACTCTATTTCGTTTGTCCAAAGCATACAATGCCATTTGTAGGGAGGTAGACATATTCGCCGATGCACTCCCAAAATTAAAAAAAGTTGTTAAAAGTTGCTATGAGGTTAGTTAGGCTTAGCAAATGATTCAAGTTGTCTCTTATGTAGTTAAAGTTAAAATCATATAATAGTAATATGCTTGTTATTTGTTTGTTTTATATATTATTATATTTTATTCTTTGTTTTATATTCGTTCAATTAAGTGTTACAATCACATAGATGTTTTTTCTAATTTTTGTTTCACATAGTGTTACTCTATTATGCATGTAGCGACACCTTAAAATGTTGTGCATTAATCCTAATATAATAGATGCATTCTTTAGATTATAGTAAATAATGTAACAACTACTGGCTGTCCAATAAATAAATAAACAGCTCTATAAGAAGCTGTTTATTTATTTATTACCAATATTTATCCAGTAAAATGGTGACCTGTCATTATGCAGAAACTACATTTGACTGGCCTGCTGGTCCAGTGGTTACTGACCCTGACTGCTAAGCCAAATGTTGTGGTGCCGATTCCCACCCAGGACAAATAATTTTATAATGAGCATGTTCATTTGTTCTGTGTTTGTATATATTTAGAAACTAGCTGAGACCCACGGTGTTACCCGTGTTTGTTGTTATCACCGCGGGCAACGCCGCGGGGCGAAGCTAGTCTAAAAAAAGTAGCCTAAGTTACTCCTTATGTCATCAGCTATCTGCCAGTGAAAGTCCCGTTGAAATCGGTCCAGCCGTTCCAGAGATTACCCTGAACAAACACACAGACAAAAATTGTAAAAAATGTTATTTTGGCATATTTACCGTGTAAACATACATATGCATTAAGTAAAAAGCGATATATAAGAATGTTTATTTTTTACCATAGTACAGGCTCTGCCTAGTTTGGTATCAGACAGCCGTGTGTGAGATGTGTGAAGATATTATTATAATAACAGTTTGACTCAATAAAATACTTATAGTCAAAAGTAACCACTAGGCAATCTCGTGTATATATCTATACATATTTAATATTAAAAATGGTTGGCAATTGTTCAAAGCCCCCTTTAAAATACATAATTGTTAGTAAAGAAAACAATGGTCCTATATATATTCATTAGCTGATTGATTTTACTTGAACCAGTATTGAACTTAAAATTGGGCCACGAAATTATAATTAAACTGAAATAAATGGTTTCACCAAAACAAATTTTAACAAATGGAGCAAGCAAGTCACCCTCTGGCAACCAAGAGACGGCTAAAGAGATAGGGGTCGTCAAGTCAGGAGATTGGAAGATGCCTTGAAACAAACCGCGGGACCACTCTGGTTGAGAGTAGCAAGGGACAGGACCCATTGGAAGGAATTGGAGGAGGCCTATACCAAAAGGCACACCGAACTTAGGGACCTCTTGTAAAAAAGGAATTAAAGGCTGTCATTATTATTATTATTATAAATGGTTTCAATGAAAGTTGACACCTGTCCTGGATTTTGTCAACTTTAAAGTGGAGTAGGTTGTAATTTTGAATTTGACTTTATTTGTATGAATGACAGTAAACATGCTATTTGTCAACTATACAATTTTAGTCCCAGTTTGGATATAAAGGTATAGAAGAAGGGGAGACAATTATAAGAAAATGAAACGAATTGTCGGCTGCGGTATTTCCGGACCGACTTGGAAAGGTTTGGCTTCAAGATTAGAGCATACCTGAAAGGCTGGCAACGCGCTTGTGACTGCTGAGTTGCAGGCGTTCATGGGCGGCGGTAGTCACTTTCCATCAGGTGACACGTCTACTCGTTTTGCCCCTTTATGTCATTAAAAAGTCAATTCCGAGTTGTTTACCCTATTTCAAAAATTAATTTCTTAATTATATTGCTTGCTGTTTGAATTGAAGGGTGAAAAGTAAGTTTTAGGAGTATTGAAGTCTGTACAACTTACATTAAAGTTCATTATCGCATAATCTGTTGTAGTTCTAAGCTCGTCTTGTTAGAAATGTAATGCCCCATTAATTAAATACGATATCCTACAACGATAATGACATCTTACGATCGATGACGTCACTATTTCAGTTCCCTCTCGCTTCCCTTCAATAGTGACGTCACTGTGACATACGACATACATATGAAATTGATTTATTGTGACAGAACAATTACTGTTCACTTCCTTATGAAAGTTAATTTTAGTAACATGGGAATAGAAAGAAATTGTTTGACATGTTTGCGAGTTTTTTAATGCCTTTTGTGTTTGTGTTTTTGATTTCATCCATGAATCGAGGGATGACATGTAATTCTATTTGGCTCAGTATACTGCGACAGTGTCGATGCTACATAGTCAGTTTAGTTGATAATATTAATAATAATAATATTCTACCACATTCACACTACGCCATCTAGTCCCAAACTAAGCAAACCTTGTACTATGGCTACTAGATAACTGATATAAATACATATATACTTTTTATTTGTAAATACATACTTATTATACATAAAAATACCCAGACCAAATCAAACATTAAATGTTCATGCACACAAATGTTTGATTTGAGCCGGAATTGAACCCGCGACCTTTGGAATAGCAGTCTGTTACACAAACCACTACGCCATTCGGTCGTCAGTACCGTGGCGATATCCACATACGAAACAAAAACATACTACAGTGCTAATTAACGAAGACACGCAGAACTATGTAGTAACTGCTAATCCTATATCGCGATATGAAAAGTTCTCACGTCGATTAAAATATACAACTGCCCAAGATCTGCCACCAGACATGATCACCTCGCCTGGTCGAAGGATCCTCCCCCTGTGTTGGATCGACAAGACACCCGTTCCTCCACAAAACTATTAACCAAAGCTGATATATTACGTGATTCTCAACTCCAGCTTTCTCGTATTTCCTTTATCCAGCTTCTAGTGTTCCCATTGCAGGTGCGGAGTCGATGTGCCTACCAGACTTCCTTCCAGTTCACCCTGGAAGAACCTCACCCGAGCCTGAGCATCAGGATGAACAAATGCAACAAATAATGGCCGAACTGGAGCGCACCAGGTTTGTTTAGTATTTTTAAATATTAACCTTATTTGTTCGGTATAAGGTATGTAATAGGTTGATGCCATTAGCGCGCGATGAACATTGAGAGCTGAGTTGAGATACTTCAAGTTGTATTTAAGGTATGTATTATAACAATCTTTTTATTGTTTTTTTCTTGGTATAAGAGGCTACCGTTTATAAGTGACTACCGTCGTTCATAGACACCTGCAGATCAGAAGCCATAGTGGGTTGCCTCCTTTAAGTGCCTCTTTTAGGTAATCGTGTGGTGACGGGATGAATAAGGAGTGTCACCCTTATTCATCCCGTGGGTGTCCTACGGGAGCAAACTACGCAGGACATCAGCACTGCATAGAGAAGGAAAACTGGAAACAAACCCTATAGCAACCCGTCTGGCCTGCGTGGTATAGTAGACCAAAACCTCCTTTCTAAGGAAAGGCTTAAGTCCAGCAGTGGACTGTTAAAAGCTGTTGATGATGATGATTTAGGTAACCTCACTCAAAGCTATTAAAGCATTTGATTAACAGCGGTTTTTTATAACGCCGTGGTATCATCATTCCGGTCGAGCCATGTGCACCGAAGCATGGCTCTCTTACGGTTAAGAATGACGGAATAAATAGCTCAACATTGGATTTTAACAATGTCACAAAAAATGAGTTTCATCTTTTTTTATGGTATAGGGAGACAAACGAGCAGACGGGTCACCAGAGAGCCTTTTTTTTCCGTGCGGATATCCCCTCGGATACCACCTACCGGTGGCTATGTCGGACTCGAACCGACTAAAACCGCACGCCGTCTCGGGTACCAGTAGCCGGGGAACCAGGTGTACCCTAGAAAGGAAATCCCTGGTACGGGTCACCAGAGACCCTAGTGTAAGTTTACTTCACATGAACTCACTCTCGACAGTGAGCGCGTTCGAGATTGTGATTGGTGAAGATTTCAGTGCGGGCCAATCACAGATGTAAAATAAACTTACACTTGGGCCTCTGATGGTCAATGATTATCGGCGCCCATGGACACTTAAAACTCAAGCGTCACAAGTGCCTCGCCGCCCCTTTACGGGGAGTAAAGACACATAATCAAGGAGGAGGTTTGGTGTCCAGTAACCTCAGTCACTCGGTGAAAAAAACGCAACGGCTAAGATCGGTTTTCTGTGATCTTCCCTGATTTAAGAAGTCTCCACCTTGAGTAGAACAGTTATTGCGTTTTGCTGTGACCATTTTAGAATTACGTACTATAAGACGATTTTCACTATATAGATAGAAATACAAAAATCCGAATGTGACGTTTTTTTTTCAGTTAATTATGTATTTATTGATGACAAGGAATGAACAGCAACCGCACGATATGAATGTATCAAAAAATATTTGTAAATTTTTACCTAAAACGTAGATTTTGTTTGCTTTTACACTTTATCACAACTATTTATCTATATTTATCAGTTGCATTATCTAGTAAATTACATCTTCAAATCAGTATGTATTTACTGCTCCTACAGAAACCCTCTTTGGGCCGTCGTCCCTTCGGGGTTTGCGGTGAGGCCGATTAGAACCGACCAGAACCACATGGTCTGCCATACTGCGCCTTGAATAGAAGGGATCCTAAAACAGCTTTTATTAAAATATATAATATAAAAACCCGCATTAAGGTGACATCCAGGCACACGCAAAAGTCAACTCTTCGCAATTAGCTCCTGTGACCGGTGGACGTGAAAACCCGTCCAGTGGACGGCGTCCACACAGGGCGGCATGAGGCGGTGGAAGGCGCGTTTCTCCCGACGGGTTATACTTTAACCCATTTCAAAAATATAGATTTGTTCAACAATCAGTCAAAAAATCTCTTTAACTTTACTATAAGTATAGATATACTACCGAGAGCCCAAGATACTCCTCCTCCCCACGTCTGACTTTCGTCCGTAAACGATTACATGCCTATGAGAGTGAGCGATAGGCAAATGGCACTTATTCATAAGATATTTGCAACATTTTCCATGTAATTGTACAATGCAGGTAAGACTCAGTGTTGTAAGTGAATATTTTGTTCACTGCCATTGCGTCAATGCTTTTGTTAAGTTTCTAAACTGACATTGACCTTGTAATATTCTTTCCGTTTAACTCGGGAAATAGTTTTTTTTTGGCGTCGCGTCGTTTTGTAGATTTTGTAATTTTAACAGACTTCAAAAGCAACGTTATTTTTAAAGTTAATTATAATAAAGTAGCAAGTATTTGCCCCAGAAACTTCAGTTGGCATAGTAGGTATAGGTATTATCTTGCAGCAGTTAGTTAGTGGAATAATATTACTTTTGGATCACTGAGAGAAAGAGAGAGAGAGAGATCCATGCTATGGCACATACGGGCCGTATCGACCAGAGAGATACGGTCGCACAGGAACCCGGTGTTAAGCAATTATTTTGTTAAACGTTAACGTTGTACCTTTTTAACCCCACACGGAATACGAGGGGTGTTATAAGTTTAACCTGTGTATCTGTCTGTCTGTGGCATCATAGCTAGCATAGCAAAAAAAAAAAAAAAAAAACTCACTTTGTAGGTGATGGGAGTGATCTCACTAAAATCCACTGGTCCGATTGATCTGAAATTTGGTATACTGTTACTGTGATAGTATTTCCACGACATGGTAACCTGGAACTTGCTGCTGCATCATATAGTCTGCGGGATAGCCAACTCCTCAGAAAATTACAGCATATACCCTGTATACTAATGAGCAGTTCTTGTTTTTATTTTTTAAGTTTTTTTTTGTGCTGGGGTTTTTTAATTATGCTATTATTTTATGAGTTGTTGCTGTTCATGAGTAGCGGTAGTCACTCACGTTTAGGTGACCCTTTGCTCCTCATAGGGTTTTAGGACTGCTTGAGTCAGAGTTCAGTTGTTACAGAACAACACTTTCTGAGGAAGTTTTAGATTTGGTATGACCTTTTTCAGAGTGCAGGTCTCTCGACGCTGTATGACCGAGTGTCGTTTGTCATATATCATCAGTGGGTGATGAGTGTGGTGTGGTGTGTCAGGTCGGAGCTGTTCGCGGAGCGGTCGCTGCGCTCGCGCGTGGAGGAGGAGCTGTCGATGGCGCGCTCGGCGCTGAGCGCGCTGCGCGCAGAGACATCGCGGCGGGCGCGGCGCCGGGACGAGTTCGTTGGCGCTGTCGATGTGGCCTCCGCACGTTCTGAAGCCAACCTTGCTGAAGCGCAGGTATGCATTCACTTTCTTTGTAACGTACCGTCTCCTGTCTGTCAAGGTTACTGTGTCTGGGTGTATTTTATCTATAATATGCACGTAGAGATATAAGCATAGAGAGAACACAGGGTGCAGGTGCCTGCAAGTGGAAGCGATACAGGCAACGAGAGAGATGGATGCCCGATAGTTCTCTCTGTCTCTGTTTAGCTGAGATGTGATTGGCCATCGTGAAGTGGGCATGGTTTTGATCGTAGAACAGGCGGGAGATTAGAAACAGGGAACTGTCTATTATCCATCTCTCTCGTTGCCTATATTACAAGATTAGGGCTCTTGTTCTCTCTAAGAATATGTTTGTAAGAGCCCGGTTAAAGACAATGGGCTTGCACTCTATTATGTAAGTAGGATTAAAATAACAGTCCTCAAAATGTGGACGTTAAAGACATCTGTGTCTACTCCTTCAGGAATAAAAGACTTGAATGTATGTACGTAAAACTATAAATATTGGAATTTTAAAGTAATGAAATATGTGTATTGACTAATAAAATAATGTATTGATTTATTCATCAAAACTGTTTTCGATTTTATTTTGATTCAGCGATATGTGTAACGTTGCGTTTCGACTGAGTTCTTTTATTGCCTGGCGTGTCTTCTACTACCTCTACTCCGGAATATAATCCTCTTTAAACGAGTCAAATGTAAAAGGTTATATGGTATCCCTTACTTTAAGAGATACCGCAAATGGTGAATAGAAAAATGGAACTGAAATTGTAATGTAATGGTTCCGTATCTGTGATTGTATTTGTTTGGAAAAGCTACTAGGACCGGGTCATCGACTAGTTACTGTATGATATATTTGATAAAATACTGTATAATAATGTTAACTTGTTTTGTGAACAGACGCGAGCGACAGAGGCTGAAGCGACAATAGCTAAATTGAAGATTCAAATTAAACAATTAAAGGTAAGTTTTATTTTAAGAGTATATCAAAGTTAAATAATCCTTATTTTATAAAAGAAATTAAAATTATACGAAACACTCTGTATATAGATTCTAAAGTCCTAGATTAACATATACAATAGCATTTCGTTGTGTTAAATATTTAGTAAAATAAATCAAATCAATTCTCTGTGTTGATTTACGACCGCCCAATTTTGACGTTTATGAGAATAATAATAACTTATTTAAATATATATATATATATATACATAGGATATTTACAGTCCAATACACGTTAGTTACAGGACAACTTTAGTCGTCGGTAAGATCGAAATATTCGTGTTCAAAAACACAGTGTTCTACTATACATTTATACAATATTATATAATACTTTTCTAATGCAGAGCAGTTGTGTATTATCATTAAACTTGCATGTTATAGTACTATGAAGTGTATGTGAGGGTGTGTGTGTATGTTTGCGCGTGCGTGCGTGTGTGTGTGTGCGCGCATGTGTGTACAGAAGAAGGGAAAACAAGTTTATGACCTTCTTAATTACGTATAGATACAGTCGATGTCGTAGGTTCTTGCATGGAAAAAGTTTCAATCGCAATAATTTCTGACAAATTACATGCAGGGTTGTTGTAATTGAGTGGTGATCAATGGTTAAAGGGGTCGGAGTTTCCGTTAACGGCTCGTTCGAGGCATAAAACAAATTATGAAAGAAGTTTCGCCAAAATGGAAGTGAGGTTTTATAAATGATATGACGTTGTATGACACGAGCGTAACTTGAATTGAAAATAGTCAGTCGTAGCATCGAGTGTGGTGGTGTGACGATTATAACCCGGCAATCTCGTGCGCGACCGTCCCGCGGGGTGACAGACAGTGGCGGGGGCGAGGTAGCGCGTCATTCTAGCACACGGCTACACACGATTTCCTTCCCCGCTACACCACCCGCTACCCGCTGACATGTTGAGTACCTCGTCCCCGCCACCGTCTGTCACCCCGCAGGACGGTCGCGCACGACGTTGATGGACTATAGTGATGAGGCTCGCGTACAAGCGGCGGTGCGTGTTCCAGGAGCAGCTGAGCGCGTCGGAGGCGGCGGCGGCGGCGCTGCGCGGCGCGCAGGGCTCGGCCGCGGCCGGCCTGCGCCGCGCCACCGACGTCGCCGAGGCCTCGCTGCGGTACGTGCCCACCCCCCCTCACTACCCCGCTGGGACATTTGTTCTACCTTTTTGTCCGATAACAAGTATATATAAAAACGTGTGCGTCTCGGGACACCCGACAGCAGTGACTTAAACTAATCTATGTTGAACCATTTAATATTGAATTTTTTTAACTTGAAAAAAGCTTTAATTATTACTTAAATTTTATGTAAAGCGTCTGTCCGAAATACGGCTAGCGCTGTGGGTTTGAGTGCGAGAGGAGGAGCCTGCCTCCCGCTGCCGTATGCGTGAGAGAAAGGGAAGCCAGACAGACTGGCGCTGTAACGCGTTACGTAACGAAGCTTACCCTCCCATAACAAGTTATCTCAACAATAATAAGTCTAAATAACGAGTACCCCGTATATTGTATTTTGTTACTAAAAATAGCTTAAAACATAATATATGTGATTGAACGTGTTAAGTATAATGATTCGATATCTCAGTGTACGCCAAAGACTATTATTGGTTTTGTACGTGTTCACTTTCTCATGTAAGTGAATTATTATTATAAACTGTTATGAGAAATAAAGATATCTCACGCGAATACCAAAATACAAGGCCCAAGCAGCAAAGTACTATTTTCAAACAACATTAAACATCTATTTTTTTATGTAAAAAATCTTTCTTCTCGCTTTCCTAGATCTGTAACAACCATTTAGGGAAGAGGGACCACTGTGTATCAGGAAACCTAGGAATCACACCCTATTTAAATTGACCCATCAATACTAGAGTCGTACGACACATGGTGAATGAGATATCAGTAATTCGATTCTAATAAAAGTTCGATTATAATTCAGTTCCGATCCTATAACTGTCATAAAAGGTATTTTCATACTAAAAAAAAGTTAAATATTACTAAAACTAGAAGATTACCGATTGAAATTTCGGTTACAATACGATATAATCACATTACAGCCGCCACTTGTACTGAACTAGTTTTAGGTAATTATGTATATTTATATCTGGTGTACAATAAAGTGATATATTATTATTATTATTTCTTTATTTTATTCTTTATACATATAAATTACATTTTTAAATATATTTATATACAAAAACAAAAAAAAAATACATTACATTATTATTATTATTATTACAGCCAACATTGGAAGTTTAATACTTTACTACGAAAATACCTGTTATGATAGTTATGAGATCGAGAGTTAATTAAACTTAATTATGACCGAACTTTTATTACGAGAGATTTTATTCAAATATACCAACTACAAGATTCGTTGGTTTGTTTTTTGAATTGCAAACACACTTTTTTGTAAATATCTTAATATTTTTTTTTTTCACAGAGAGCTTCTTGCGGGGTTAGAGCAACTGAAAGTGTTAAGCACAACCCTAGACCCGACATGATGCGAGCGCCCTCCACCTCAACCCTCCCTCTTCCGGCCCGTCACTGACGAGGCTAGTCTAATCGCTCTATTCCAATGAGACCTGTTTATTATTCATATCTATATATTTATTTGTAGTATAAGTTCCTTTGTGACGATAAACTGACCAATAGACATCAGAATCTAAGACAGCAGTGATTCATATAATATTTTTATTTTAGACTAGCTGTGGTACATTATAGTTACATTGATGACCAATGAGGAACAATAGTGATTCGAAAAATATATAAAAAAACACTCTTTAGTATTTACTGTAAGTTTGAAAACGCTACTACCAAAAAAAAAGTTCCATATAAATTTACAACTCCATTTTGTACCCTTAGATGTGGAATTAAAAAAAAAATTATTTTTATAAATTTCATGTTTCTAGACCCCGTGGTTTCAGCTATGCGTTGATCAGTCAGTGAATAAATCTATCAGTTTCTTCTTTTATATATGAAGATAATCTCAATGTAAAATGTTCTTAAGTAAAATTGAAAGCTTATAAAGTTTACAGTTAATTGTTGTGTAAAAAATATCCCTCTGTTCGTCTAACTTACGACAAAGCTATAGTTTTGAAAGAGATAGCATTTACTGCAATAGTTCTATTCGACTATTAAATCATTTTATTTGTAGTGTGAATTGAACATCAACTGTGATAATTGGATAATATATGAGTAACAATTTAATTTTGGGATATAAGTACGTTTAGTTCAGTTTTTGATCAACCTCATAGTGGAAAGAAGTGAAAACCATGTATTCTAGATACAGATATTCATAAATTCCACCCGGACTAACAATTATTTGATCTGGGTGGGAATCGAAACATTCACCGCAAGCTTAGCAGTCCAAGATTATTACCCACAAAACCAATAGGTCTGTCTTTTGCGTCATAATATTTGTGTATTTACATTGTATGTGATTTTTATGACCATAAATAGGGTTGTTTTTAAAAAAAATGCATTTTAAACAATATTTGCCCTTGTTGATTAGAAAGCAAATAAATTAATATTTTCATATTGAGAATAAACAATCTAATTAAGTTTTCTTTTTGTAAAAGCATTGTCATAATGCCGCGTAATAAAGTGACAGGTGACAGTTAAATCACAACACTTCTGCATACAGACTAAATAAAAGATGATTTCAGCGTTGCTCTTGTCTATGCTTTTACGGAGTCTCATTCATTTTTATTTTATAGACGGGTAATATTTCGTTCTTTAAACTTCCGGGTTGTTCCTTCACACAAATATAATATCCATAAATTGAAAATATGTAGACCTTTAGTGCTTGATTTACAAAGTATTTTAGAACAATTGATCCATGTTGGGCAAAAACGATTCAATCCACAAATAGGTTACAATAATAATGGCAATGAAAGTGAAAGTTGTTTTTTTGTTTTTTTTTTTTTACAATTTTAAATGAAATTACTAGTATTCCCGCTAACCCCTCCAGCTAAGCTAAATTGTTTGTGTTAGGAGTGGGTTCAGTAGGTCGGTAGTGTACTGGTCAGGATTCGAACCCACGACCTCTATATCGTAAGTCCAATGCCTTAACCACTAGGCTACCGTGGGTGGAGTAATTAATTATACTATTATTATGATAGGACTATACTACAGGACATCTTTAAATGCAATATTTAAGGGCCCGCTCCGATCTTGTCGTCCGCTGCCACCCTGGACGGACGTACAACTCGACGGTCGTTTGGCCCTCGCATTTTAAACCTCTGATATCTTCTAAAGTTTTTTTTTTAGAGCAATTTTAATATACACTAGCTGACCCGCGCAACTTCGTCTGCGTCTCTCAATAGTAATAAATTTTCTCCGTTTTTGAAACATTCTTCATTGGTGCTCCGCTCCTATTAGTCTTAGCGTGATCATATATAGCCTATAGCCTTCCTCGATAAATAGGCTATCTAACACTGAAAGAATTTTTCAAATCGGACCAGTAGTTCCTGAGATTAGCGCGTTCAAACAAACAAACAAACTCTTCAGCTTTATAATATTAGTATAGATTAAATGCACAACGTATCTAACGTATTTAATTGGATAAGAAATAATAATCTATTGTTTAAAATAGCTTCGTAAATAACTCAATATTTTTTTGTTATATTTAAAAGATAAAAATGGTTACTGTGTGTTATCCTTAGGAGATAGACATATACTATCGCGGACTTTTATTTAGATCTTTTTAAGATATACAATTCCGTAGTACATTATTTTGGTCCATCTTGTAAGGTTTAGCCAGCGTTTGCAATGTAAGCGCACAAAAACATGTTTTTTACAACAAATCTTTGAAATTCTCGGATTTTCTTCACTATAATATGCATGTATTATGCATATGCACTTTCCTTTTGAATCACTCTCCATTGGTGAAAACTTCATTAAAATTATTTGCTTAGTTTTAAAGATCTAAGCGCACAACACAGGAAAGCAACTTTATTTTTTACTATGTAAATACAGATTATTTTTAATAGTTTAGTATTAATGCTTCGATTATGGCGCGTTTGTTGATTGCTTCGTTTGTTCTCAATATGTTCTAATTCTTAAATTCTGCAGAAGAACGCAATTGTTCAATTAAGTAATAAAAAGAACGAAAATTAACCCGAACGAGGGCGGATCTAGGAGTTTTGTATTCAGGACTCATCAGACACAGGACTACTTGAAATCTTACGTAAACTAGATCCATCCCAGATGGGGTCATGACCTGGGGCCCCCAGCTAGATCCGTCCTTACATCCCGACGAGTGTGTTCGAATATTTTATATTAGTGATGACGTCATCTTGTGCTCTAACCTATATACTACATATAAATATGTATATATGACTATTTAGCTCCTCGGAATAGCGATAAAAACTTCATCGAATAAAAAAACGTGTATAGTATTATACAATTTCCAATTCTGTGTAAGTTATTTAAATATAGCCCTTATTTGTTGAATTGTGCATTGTACATTAACCATTATATTAATGAAACGTATAAGAGTTTTTTTACTTTGTCTATTCATTATTTATAAACCTTTATAGTATTGAATGTATACCGGCAATAATTAATTGGAAACTTATTTTTCGTTAGTCGTTGGGTTCAGCTGTACCGTGTGATGACGTGTTGTCTACAAAAGAAGTTCCAAACTATATTAAGTATAATAAAATATATACGGCTACTCCAATCACAGTAGAAGCCTGCGGGAACGCGACGCCTCAAATAACAAAAGAACTATTAGACTAGATGAAAAAAAAATACAATCGAATTGAGAACCTCCTCCTTTTTTTGAAGTCGGTTAAAAGAGGCTCAAAGGCCGGCAATGCGCTTGAAACTCCTGAGTTGCAGGCGTTCTAGGGAAGGCGGTAGTCAGTTCCCATCAGACCCGTCTGTTCGTTTTCCCCCATCATCATAAAAAAACATCTGATAAGTAATTTGCCTTATTTGCAAAATGTACGAAGCACAAAACATCTAAAAGTTTTCAAATTTATTGTAGGTAGTACAAAGAAAATATTAATTGGTTAGCTTATGTTTGCAGCTAGAACTCCAAGAAAGAGGAACTTAAAATTCCTACTCATGCCACTGGTGTCACGAACGGTGGTAAGACTAGAAATAAGCCGGTACTCATGTTGTGTGTTGCCACAGACAAACTGATAAATCGTCATCACATGAGCAGCCCATAAAAGTCCACTGCTGGACATAGGCCTCTTCTTACAATGGAGGTTTTAGCCTACTATACCACGCTGGCCAGACGGGTTGCTATAGGGTGTGTTTCAAGTTTTCCTTCTTTTCGCAGTGCTGTTGTCCTGTGCAGTTTGTTCCCATAGTCGGCTCTTACGACACCCACGGGATGAAAAGGGGTGGTGACATTACGTATTCTTAATACATCACTACAAACTGATTGACACGTTGACAATGCGGTGCCCTTTTCCGTTAGAGGGAACTTTGTAACCCACAAAGAAAACAATTTGTGTCTTCGAGCAATGAAAAGAGGTACACGGGGTATAACTGCCTGTCAGTGGAAGCGATACAGGCAACGAGAGATGGATGCCCGATAGTACCCTCTGTCTCTGTTTAGTTAAGCTGCTGCGATTGGCTACTTATTGACCCCTCATATTCCCCAGCAAATAAGAGAGCTCGACTAGAAAGAGATGGAAGTATCCATCTCTATCTCTCTCGTAGTGTTCGTTGCTTATATTTGTATATTCCCAAAGTAGAATTTATCGATAAGTCCACAGATTAAAAATAATCATCAGCGATTTCTTTTAAATAATTTACTTTGACTTTGGTAGTACTTACTAATAAATAAAACTACTACGAAGTAATTGAAATTAAAAATACTTAAATACCAATTAAAATTACCTCAAATTTCACTAAATACTCTTCTATTTAGAACGTTATTCAGATTATATGTATAAAACAAACTAAAATCATGCTAACACACGAAAAAACTACAATTTCATACATGTCTTTTCATGGGAGTGGCGAAAGGCGACAGCACCATCAAGGTAGGTTTTTTTTATCATTATCTTTGTCTACACACAAGAATAATAATATGGTTGAATACCCGAACAAAATACGACGACGTCTAGTTTTGTCAATTGATTGATCTACTAAAATTAGTGTGAATAGACTCAAAATAAAACAACTTATAAACATATTTACTTTATTTATATATCTCAACAATAAAGGAATGTAGAATTATCTTTCTTTTCTATTCTAATACAGTTTGTAAAAATCTGCCAGTAAATAAGATAAGGTATTGCACAATTTGATGATTTTTTCTTTTATTTTAATTTCCATGATTTCGGATAGATTTTTTAAATATATTATAAACATATATGCTTCGATATTTCTTCTAGTTTAAAAACCTAAAGCATATACAATAGAGGGAACGAGCGCTTGTGTAGTTTTAATACTTGGTATATATACTATATATATATATATATATATATATGAAATAGTGTAATGTTATCAGAATAACAACCCTTCCCCACCGAACATCCTAATTCTAGAGGGCACATTAAGGTTTTCAACGCACTTCTGAGTTGCAGGTGTCCGTGGCCAGCGGTAGTCACTTACCATCACGGCCCCCCATACGAAAAAAGGCACACGCTTTTGTAACTAGCCGAATTTAAAAGTTTAAGAAAAAACATTTTATCGTTAAAAAGCGTGGGGTGCAGGTGAAGCTAATAAAAGCGTGTTTTAAAAGGTCTATTATTTGCTCGTAGATCTTCGTATAAGTGACGAAAAACGACGAAATCGTTATAAATTTATTGGCCTCCGACTCTTGGTCTGTACCAGGGATTCCTAAAGTGGTCGATATGGACCCCTTGGGTCAAAATTGGTTTTCCAGTGACGAAAACTGATTTTGGGGTCGACGAGGTCTAAAAATCGACCTCTAGTAATTAACACAAGTTCTGCAATAAAGAATGACTATTATTTTAGTAGGAAGTATTATTGTCGTACTTTAAAAAAACTCAGTCACTGCACAACATGTGCAGTAATTTGACAATGGGGGTCTGAGGTATCACTTCATTTTAGAAAAGGAGGTTTCTTGCCCGAACTAGTTTGGGAATCCCTGGTTTATAAAATTGAGTATTTCTTAATCATCAATCATAGAAGACTATGCCAGTAAGACACATATCAAAATATACAAGCCAGAGCATAAATAAAGCTTGTGCTATAAAAATAATTATATTTATAAATACTGAAATCTTTTGCAGGCTTCTGTATAAGAATCATTTTAGCAATACTGGGTATTTAAGTTGCTTAACGTACTTATTTTGTTTTTAACTTAAACTAATATGCAAAATCAAATCAGTGCTGGCTTTTACAAGTTACGGGTTTTGAAATTCAGGATACCAGAGTTGCCAGATATATTTCCCTTATTCCATTTTCACTGAGACCTTTCTAATATTCAAAATAAAATCATTGCTAACTTTTACAAGTTCGGTTTCGGAATAGTTAATGATAGATCATCTACTTTAATGCACAAAATAGACTTATTTTTATCATAGAACTCAATCTAGTTAGTTTATTATCTATTTTAGTAATATCTCAACTATTAAGTCTGGCAACACTGCGTGCGACTCCTCTATTTCATTTACCAAAGTCTACGGTGTTGGTTACACGTGAATAGTGTTATACAAATGGTCCCAGTGAGCTGGACACTGCAGGAAGTACTTCCTGGTCGCGTTGCAGAACCTTCGCTTGTATTCCTCAGGAGAAACGACAGTAGGCTGACCGGAGCCTAAGTTTTTCTTCACTAGGTGTTCCAATTTCTTATCCCATGTAAATGTTCTGATGTAATCTGTAGATAAATAATAGTTATGTTTCTATAAATAAATCGAGAAACCGTTCAATGATTATTATTATAATTTTAAGTTTTTTTTTATTTAAAAAAGAACTCCCGCACTAGGAATATATCCTGTGTCGTGGAGGACAGTCATACATGAATGGAACACAGATAACACCCAGACTCAGAACAACTATTTGTGGATCACACAAAGTGGTGTCACACTACAATCAGCGCAGTAGGAAGCGGTGAGGTGACCGTTTAAACCACTACGCCATCCGTGCAACCAAAAGTTAAATTATCTCTTACGGATAGGAGATGGATCAGCGCACATCTAATACTGATTACAGAAACCAAACGATCCGGGCAGTAGCCGCGTCATGTGTAAAATCTGATATCTGAGGTCAAATTGAATGGCGTTGGTCCCCGCGTTCTTGTTAACCACATCCAATCAATATTAGGTAAACTACTCGACTAATTGTTATGAAACTTTGTATACAAGTTTTTGTTTTTTGTTATGAAAAACCAAATGTTCCCGAACACAATTGAAGGTTAGGGGGGGGGGGGGGAAGCATAGTAATAGTGCGCTGGTACCGATGATGCCGAGCACGAGCTTGTCTCCGTCGACGCCGAGCAGTAGCGAGTAGTCCATGACGTCGAGCGCGGCCAGGAACTGCGCGTCGCGCTCCACGCACAGCCACAGCACCGCGCCCACGTGCGACGACACGTACAGCGGCCGCTCCCACCGCACTGACACAACACAACACACTAATCACATAAGCCTCTCGATTTAAAAAGTAAACATTCATTTAAAAGATTAAGTTATTACAGTTGAGCAGGTTTTCGTCCATAAGTACTGCCAGCGGTTGAGTGTCAGGAGTCAGACGATGTCTCGATGAGCCCTTCAGATCGAAGCGCTTGGTTTTAGCCGAACATCCGTACCAAACGTTTTCCATGACCAATACTCCATTTCCTGCACCACCTACGCTGAATACACCTAAGATGCGAGCTGTGGACAAACGTTTAAGAATAGATACAATAAGAGAAGTCATGATTCAAACATTTAAAAGCTACACATAATACCATTACTTAACCTTTTCTGAACCAAAAAAAAATTGTTTAATCAGAGTCTAGCCTTCGACTAAGTATTCTATGTAAGTCGTACATAGAAGCTGAAATATCTATAACCCAAATGAGAAATAACAAAAATATGTATAGTGTAGTTCAGTAACAAAATAAGAATCCATTTTCTAGACAAAATCCAATCAGATTTGCATTTAATAAACGTTGGGGTACCACAAGGTGCTATACTGTCCCCTACATCGTTTCAGTTTGTGTATAAACCAATGTTCATTTTTGCAGTTTGACTAAAAAAATATATCATATTATAATATGATTTAAGTACAGAGCACAAATGTAGCTATAACAATAAAAGGTAAAAGAATGCTTACCTAACAGGCTGGGACTGTTGTTCTGCTTACATTGTGTGACGTACCCAAAATAGTGAGGAGCAAATTCCAAAAACTGTTGCCACTCCGGCTTTGTCATCTCTTTCAACACGTATCTATCATCTGTAAAAAAAGTTATAACAATTCCATGCTTTTCCGCTCAGTACATATTTATGGAATGGAATTTAGAAGACGAGACGAGGATTTCGCTTTGAATGTGAATTATTATACCGGGTGTTAGAAAAGTACCGGAACAGCAGAATGCATTTTTCGGAAATACGTTAAACACAAAAGTTACAGGAATTTTCCACGGCTATCCATTGGTGACCTTCAAATCAATTTCAAGGTGATAACCTTCAAGGTTGTGCTCAAAATCAACTTTGAGCACAACCTTGAAGGTTATCTCAAGGGTCAAGGGCAATTTTCAAATAGGATTGCATACTTTTGAGCCCAGAATTTAAAAGAGAGGAAAAAATTACAATTGGATATGACTTTCAGTACGCAAATTTTGACCTCTAAAGCTCACTAATCCAAGGTCAATTTAAAAAACAAACACGAAAGGTTTAGATAAGTTGAACGTTACCTTTAGTCTTACAGAAGGTGGAGCCCGACTTGCCGCCGCGAGCCGCCCAGGGTACGCAGTGCGCCAGCGACCTGATGAAACCTTCCTCGATCTCGCACAGCTCCTCTGGAATACACGAGAATAAAATCTCAGTAGTAGGTCAGTCTCTGTATACGAATCACACGAATAAAAATATCATATACTAGCTAGAGACCCGCGGTGTTACCCGCGTTTGTTGTTATAACCGCGGGCAACGCCGTAGGGCGAAGCTAGTCTAAAAAAAGTAGCCTAAGTTACTCTTTATGTCATCAGCTATCTGCCAGTGAGAGTCCCGTCGAAATCGGTCCAGCCGTTCCAGAGATTACCCGGAACAAACAGACAGACAGACAGACAAAAATTGTAAAAAATGTTATTTTGGCATATGTACCGTGTAAACATAGATATGCATTTAGTAAAAAGCGGTTATTTTAATATTACAAACAGATACTCCAATTTTATTTATTTGTATAGATAAATGCGTTATGATAGATTATTACAAACTAGCTTTCCCCATACAAATTTTCATGAACATCTGTAGTAATCGTTAAGGATAGTTGCAAGCCAGCTTGCAGTTTATCTACAGAACTTCGATATCGCCTAGTACTTGGGCTGTGGAGGTCTGCTGGCAGTCGCTCCACGTAAAAATAAATCGAAGTCAAGCCGTGAGAATCGACTTCAACCTAGTTTGGAATAAGGCTGGGAGGATTTTGACGAAGACAGAAGACTTACTGTCATTCTCGAAGCAGATACACTTAGGCTCGGCGTCAGCGCGACAGTCGTCGAGTGGAGGGGTCGTGAGCGGCGCCAGTAACATGTGACGCAGGCGCTGGAACTGAGACGCGTAGTACACGCGACATACCAGACCATCCTGCATTACAGAACAAAACTGTGAATCTGTTCTAGAACAGAATACAAGAATTACTGTTGTTCACTTTTATTGTCTTCTCAGTTTATTTGAATAAATATAGATTCTTTCTTTGATTTAACATACAATTTAAATATGGTTTTAGTTAGTTTTATGTTGTTGTTTAGTCATGTTTTTTTATTGTTTACCATTTAAGGCATCGGTATTTTCATTTATTTTCTTAAATCAATACACATAACCTATTTGGTGACATACCTTTAGTAAAACTTCAACATGGTCATTATTCTTGGCCAGTTTAGACTTGTCTCCGTCCGCTTTATCCTTGCCTGTCGAGTTGGTAGTCTCATTTTCTTCTTGTTCCGTTTGCGTACTGTCAAAATTTAAAATAGCTATACAATATAAAGAAGTTAACTAGGCGATAGTCAAGCGTTCAGGAAGATCATTAAATGGAAAAGACTCCGAAAACGGTGACGGGAAAATTATTCGTATATGTAGCAATAATACTGAAGGGCTGGCTACTTAGCCATGAGTCACTTAGTAACCGAGCAGATTAGCACATTGCAAAGTTAAGCAATCATAGTCAGGTGAGTCAATGGATGGGTGACCATCCTAACACATTGTGACCCCTCCGTGCCTCGGAGAGTCCCGGTTGCCATACGAACATCTGTTTACGGATAGTTGAAGCCCTGAAAAGCCCGACAATAGTCTTTGGGTCGTGGAGGTCTGATGGCAGTCACATCAACAGCCTTTACTAGTCCACTGCTGGACATAGGCCTCTCCTCATAAAGGAGGTTTTGGCCTACTATACCACGCTGGCCAGACGGGTTGGTATAGGGTTTGTGTCAACTTTTCCTTCTTTTTGCAGTGCTGGTGTCCTGCGTGGTTTTGTGCCCTTAGTCGGCTCTTACGACACCCACGGGATGAATTGGGGTAGTGACATTCCGTATTCTTAATCCGTCACTACACGGACATGGCAGTCGCTCCGCGTAAAATATTTAAGTTCAGTCGTACCGTAGGAGACTTAAAGCTGACTCCAACCCAGTTTGGAAAAAAGGCTCGGAGGAGGAATAAGGAAGATGTACCAAGGACATCATGATTACACGGTAGACCTGTGTAAATGACATACCTGTGGCGGTGAGCAGCTCTGGTGCGGCGGTAGGTGACGGAGGCGAGCGTGGCGGCGATGACGGACCCCACCTCCCCCGCCCGCACCACCACCGGCACCACCCCGCTCGACACTATCATACCATTCTGAAATTATTATATATTACTCATGCCATTATTCTGAATTCAACATCTTTGGAATTTTTATCTGACAAACTGATGAATGAAATTGTTTGAATTTGAATGCCACAAATATTAGATTTTTTGGTTTTATGCGTGTTATAAATTGACACGTTATTGATGAACTCAGACACGCCTTTTCGTCTAGCAATTAGTGATCTTGGCTACGTCTAAGTTGGTCATAGGTTCAATTCCTATCCAAGACAAATGACTGCACGGATGGCGTAGTGCTTTAAGCGGCCGCCACGCCGCTTTCTACTACGCTTAATATTGTGGGTTTAAACCCCACATGGGACGACACTTTGTGTGATCCACAAATTGTTGTTCTGAGTTTCAGGTATGTTTGTAAAGTCCCCGCGACACAGGATATATTCCTAATGCGGGAGCTTAAAAATAAAAAATTGTGATATGTGAAATAATGACCATTTCTTTCATGTTTGAATGTAAATAATCTATAATACGTATATATTGGGTAATATGGCACCGTATCTACTTAATTATAAGTATAAAGTCTATCAAAGTACAGGACTTGCCTAATCTGGGTTCAATCAAAGTTATTATAAGTAATATTTTAGTTTTTATTGATTTTTTTATTGATATCTTTAAGGTCACCTTGTATTCAAGTGGGCGTTCCCCACTTAAATAGTACACCCCACGTAGTACATAACATTTTTATATTTTATTAAATATACTCGTATCAATCCTTCCATCTGTGTGGTGGCGGATTAAGAATACAGAGTGTCACCAGTGTAAGAGCCGACTAAGGGAGTAAACTACGCAGGACAACAGCACTGCAGAGAGAAGGAAAACTTGAAGCAAACCCTATAGGCCTTTTTTTTTTTTACGTGTGGAAATCCCCTCGGACCGTCACCCCGCCGGGGTTCTCAGTTCAGCGGGGCGGTGTGTCGGACTCTAACCGACTAAAACCACACGGTGTGCCCTCTTTGCGCTTCTATTTTAGGGGGGGGGGGGTCCAGGTAGTTATCTTCTTCTGGACCCCTCCCAGCGCCAGCCCGCTCCTGGTGCGGGCTCCGTCAAACCCTATAGGCCTATACCAACCCGTCTGGCCAGCATGGTATAGTAGGCCACACCCTCCTTTCTAAGGAGAGGTCTACGTCCAGCTGTGGACTAGTAAAGGCTGTTGATGATGATGAATCGCAGAAATGTGCATGTATGTATAAAATAATAATATAATTCAGAAAACTTTCTTGAAGTTACAGTACCTGGTTCGCGGGCTGGTTGTTGGACAAAAGTTGGGACAGTATTTGCCTTACTGTCTTCTTGTCACCTTTCTCTTCGTCTTCTTCTAGTCCTACGAAATATACACTATAATTTAAAAAAATGTGTACTAGATATAACATGGATTAAAAAAAAAATGTTTTTGGTAATAACTGTCAATAGCAAAAAGAAGTTTTATTTATAAATATTTCTTGCCAGCTAACAAAAACATGACATGTGTTGCCAATATATAAAAAAAAAAAGTTTTACGATGAGAACGTACAGTCACTCATATTAGTTTAGCATAAATAAAACGAGATTGATTACTTGTAGAAATATTAAGTTAATTTCTTTAAAACTACCCAATACTCAACAGATATGTCATACAAAAATCACGTTTATTAGGGTTATTCTTAGCAATAGCTTTTTTTTAAATATTTAATTGTTTGGGCAATAGTGAACAAAGGTTATTAATATATCTATTTGAAAATTAGTCATTTCATTATGAAGGTGTAATGTCGCGAGAAAAAGGTTCTAGAACAATTATGGGTAAAACTAAGGAAGTAGTTTCATTTGACTGCACGGATGGCTTAGTGGTTTAAGCGTTCGCCACGCCGCTCCCTACTGCGCTGTGTTGTGGGTTCGATCCAGACACGGGACAACACTTTCTAGGATCCATAAATTGTTGTTCTGTTAGTAGAGGCAGAACATTATTGTATTAAAAAAAAGTATTTAATTAAGTATCTGTCAGTCAATATAATGTGAGAGAAAAACGAGTGTGCGGATCTAGCATCTCTCTCTTTTCTCTTCACTGATTGGCTGTCACAGTCCCCTACAATCGTGCCCGTTTAGAGTAGTGATGAACTTATTGAACTAATGTTATTGTGGGAGACCGACAGAACAATCTTTTTTCTCTCTCTAACGCTGTTACGCGCCTACAGCTAGCTTTCCTACTCTAGTTATATATTAACTCTATGGTCAATTTACCTTTCACAGTACAGACTTTGCTTAAATTGAGGCTAGATGGCGTTACGTGTCAAATATTATTTTTATTTTATATAAGTAGCCATCGTTAATTTAAAATAAGGCTCATTAGTAAAATTAATATTTAAATGAGTATGTTGTTACCTGTGTGTTCTCTTTCGCCGTCTTTGTTATTATCTGATGCAAACACGTATGTGGTGCCTAGAATATTAGTAATGGTTACTGATGGTTTTTTAGTACACATTTTAATTTCTTTATATTATTATTTTTTTGTTTGTATTACCTGCGTTTTCTTTGTTGACATCATCGCCGGATGAGTCGTCTACATCGGATTTTTCGTCGACTGTAACAAAGTTTGGATATTTAACTGACGTGTGAAACAAGTTCTTAATTCGAAGAGATTTTCATCATTCCATCATCATCAGCCTTAAATAGTCCACTGCTGGACATAGGCCTCTCTTTAGAAAAGAGGTTTAACTATGTACGGTTTTCGAAAAGAGTAACCTTAGCGACCATCCCAACTTAAAACATAAATTTTGCCTCAAAATGATGACGCTTACGTGACGTCACGACGTTCATCTGTACAATAAAATCCTTTGAATTTCTTACTTTCGCTAAATTGTGGTAACCGCTGTACACGTACATGTACAAGTCTGCTAGACTCGATTTTTGCACAGGGTGATATGCACGATCATACTTTCTGTACCTGGCTGTAACATATCTCTTGTGTAAATATTTAGAAATATATATATAAGCTTCTTTACCAGCAGTCTGACCACCATAGCACAGGATCTGCTTAGATTGGTATCAAGCGACCGAGTGGGATGAAGTTAACTAAATGAGTAACAGACGGGTGTTGTTATTTAATTCGCACAGCTCGGCTCGAAGGACCACAGTAACATAACATAACTGGTGTCGCAGTGAAGGTTTTGTAAGTTGCAGATGGAGTTCTCCAGCAACTTGCAGAACTCCTATTTGTTTGTAAAGGCCTATTTGTTTTTACTAATATAATTATTGTAAGTTCACTTAATCAGCGAATTTATTCTATAAGACGATGTGTTTTAGTACATAAAAGGTATACCATACCAGGAGTGTCTTGTTGATTCTTAGTCGGTTTGGCCGGTGGGCTGGACCACTTGTCTTGAGCGTCGCGCAGCATCTTTTCACCAGATATAATACGATCTGACACCATCCAAAGGTTTCGAACCACAGCTGTAATCATCATGAGTTTTATTTCATGAAAATAAAGTTTTTTTAATAATAATATAATTCTTTCGTTAGAGGTGAGAAAAGCTCTTTTAAAATCTGTATTTCAAAAGAGCAAACTTCTCAAATGATTTTCCGATATTTTCGACTTTTAAAAGATAGCAACAAACCATTACTTTTTAATCGAATTTAAGAAAACTTATCGGTCGACCAATATTATGAAGTATTTTTTTTAATGCATCAGACAGAGTAAACAATATACTTTCTAGTTTTATAATTAAATACTCACAATAATTTAATATTTTTATTAAAGACTTCAAAGTATTAAAATTGTTAATCTAATTTTAAACAATAGATGAGATCACAACAATCTAAAGTGAACGCTATTCCAATTGAACAAGATTCTACTTACCAGCAAGGGTGTTATTCTCGTGCGAATTGGCCGATGTGAGAGCCAGGTGTATCTGCTCCATGTGTTGCTTAAACGTTTGATAGTCTTTGTCAGCGTCGCCATCTGACAAACCGCTGAATATTTCGTGACCTATAAACAGACTCATTTTCAAGATCCAAGCAAGGGATCGTTGGAAAAACATACAGAGTGTTAAACGTTACGTAACGTTACGTAACGTAACGTTAAACGCTCCCAAAATCAATAACCTACGATAGTGTTCACGATGCCTTTCTAAATCTCGTCTTTTTACAACATTTTATTAACATTATTCATGCTCCAATAAAAGTGATGATTTTTTATAAAATTTATTTATTTATTTAGTTGTGAATATGTTAGTCGCTCGTCCAACATTTTCGCAGTTTTGACAATCACATTACATGTTAATGATGTTAAAAGTGTAGGTGAATTTAGAAATTGAATTTATTAAATAAAAATGCGTACCTTTTTGCACGAGTTCGTTGAGTTGTGTGATTAGTGCGTCTCTCATCTGTTTGGTGTCGTAGTTGGTCGATATCGTCTCCGGCGGCAGTTGGATGTCGTACGGTGTTATTTTACTGTACCTGTTATATTATATTTGTTATTTTATACGTTTCTTTCACCCTCAACAATTGTCTTTAAAAAAAATGTAAACTCAGAATCAGCGCCAAAAAATGACGAGCAATTTTTATCGTTAACTAAAATATAAACTTTATTTCATTAAAATAAAGCTCAAAACCCTGTGTAGTATTATAAAACAGTCTAGTGGACAGTAGACTATAAACTTATTTTAACCACATAATGTTAATTATTTTTTCCCATTCGACGGCAGTGCACTGACCGGAAGCAGGCGGTGGTGAGGTCCCGTACGAAGGCGTGCGCGTGCGCGTGCAGCGGGTGCGGGCAGGTGCGCGCGCGCACGTAGCGCGTGGCGTGCGCGCGCCAGCGCACGTACGTGCCCAGCGACACGCCCAGCGCGCGCCGCGACACCACGCGGGCGCCTCCGCTGCAGCCGCACGCCTCGCAACGCGACCAGAACATCACCTAAGCGCACGCAAGGACTTAGTACCCAGACGAAGCTAGTCGATCTACGTTATTAAGGGTTTCATGGGTATCTTTAGACAAGGGTAAAAACAAAAAATGACTAGAAAAGAACTCATTTTTTACGCTTACTTTATTCAAACAGAAGGTTAAAAATGTGGTCATATTTTAGACTAGTATACTAAAACCGTAAAATGTGTAAGGCGCTAAGAAATTTAAAAATTTAGAAGATTTTATACAAGTTTTATTTTGAAAGAGCATTCGAAGGCGAACGAGCGAGCTTCACAGTAGTCGTATATGATGTGTAACTCCTGACATCTCACCCTGCCATCTGACGGACAACTGTGTGCGCGCTTATTGGTCAAATTAAATAAGGAACGTCTCCCCGGCTTTCTGTTACACAATTCCGTCCCTTTTCACAAAATCACTCACGAAACACAGATTGCAAGAAAGAGAGAGAGGAAAAATGACACATAAAAAACTATTGGCAGCTATCACATTTTAGAATTTAACTAGCTGTCACCCGCGATTACGTTTGCGTGGAATTAATAAAGCGCTGCCTTAGTGCTGTAGCAGTATAAGGCTTTGGGTTCGATTCCCGGACTGGGCAGACTTTTTCAGGGTTTTTCTGAGAGGCACCTGGTAGTAAAATATTATCAAAATCGGTCCAGCCGGTTTGGAGATTACCCGGAACAAACAGACAGAACAAAAATATTTAAACTGGATTTTAGAAATAGGTATCGTGCAAAAAACCGTGTGAACTTGAAAATAACCTGTTATTTTGACATGAAAAACAGACATTTCAATTTTATTTATTTGTATAGATGACATAACAGAACCAGAACTTTCGTTACCTCAAGTTTTCAAGCAAAGTTATCAGTGCTTGAATTGTATTAGAAGGGGGTAAAACTAGAATTAGATAATAGGATTTGAGCCATACCTGTTTACTACGTTCCTCTTTGACTTTGTCTACATTACTGTGTCCAATCGTGTTACACGTTATAGTTATGCAAACATCACCGTGCACAAACCTAATAAAAAATAAGAGAAATTTATTAAATCATTATCTGTTGTTTGAACATCATTGCCATAAACAATAAAAAAAAATCTAAATATGTAAATACACTACTCATAGAAAAAAAATGTATTCTTGATAATCGACTTTTCGACAAACCTTCAGGGTTTTAGAAATTTTTACACATATGTACCTTCAATAACCATGTAAAATTACAGATATAAATTGTAGGGTTTTAATACGCCTCTACCTACCCCTTCAGGGATACAGGCTTGAGTGTATGTCATTATTATTATCAGCATTTAATAGTTCACTACTGGGCCTATGTCCCTCTTTAGAAAGGAGGTTTTGGCCCTACTATACCACGCTGGCCAAACCGGTTGGTATAGGGTTTGTTTCAAGTTTTTCTTCTCTTTGCAGTGCTGTTGTCCTGCGTAGTTTGCTCCCTTAGTTCGCGCTTAGGACAACCACGGGATGAATAGGGGTGGTGACACTCCGTATTCTTAATCCTTCACTGGACAGATTTATTGACCATGTATCCATAATGTATACACAGGTCTTATAAATGTAGAAAGAAACAATTATGGACCGGCAAAAGAAACCATTAACAAGAATACTAACCTTCTTACGTGCTGGTTCATGGGCACCGAACAATTATGCGAAGTGCATTTGTAATCGCTGTTGAAGCAGTACTTCTCGAGAAAGGCCCCCAATGATATATCATGGCGACCGTACATTTCCATCGTCACAATCCTACAAAGAAATTAGTAAAATTATACGTTTTATATTTACTTAATGGATTCTGCCTTCAGGTCTTCTTGGAAGTCAATGAGGGCAAACCTATGACCTAGAGTGGAAGTCACATGGCTGTAATTATGCGGATAAATTGACAGGACTCAGAGCAAACCCCATGAGAGAGAGAGAGATCTAAAAATAGTAGACGAACGTATATCGAAATTCGACCTTAATGCATACAATTAAGTCACATTATGGCAAACAGGGGGAAATTTCGTTTCCATATTATCAACAACAGCTTCTAAGAAATCTAAATTTCTGTTGACTAACAGAGAAGAAAAAGGTAATGAACTCTTCTGAATCTACATATTTATGTTATATACATTTTATGAATAAGTTACATTTCTAAGGTTAGGTTCCCGAGGCTAATCTTTAAATATTCTCATTCGATTAGTCTATAGAATTATCAGAATCAGATGATAAGTTTAGATTGTAAGCGGAACACGTTGCTAGCTTTTACTGGACTTCTGGAACAAGTCCTTTGCCAAGCTAGCTATGATGGCCGAAAACGAACGCACAGAATTAATAATAATCAGTAATGAAACTAACCATGGGTTGACGCAGAAGTCAGGAACATTAGCTGATTTATTACTGTAACTATATAACAATAGGCTCAATTGCTGATGGTTTTCTGGCGCCAGAGGATCAGGCGGTTCATTGTCTGCCTGCTTTTCATTCGATTCCGGATGCTCAGGCTCTTTCATTTTCTTCACGGCAGTTGGTTTGTGCATGGGGCATTCAGCTAAAATAATAGTTGAATAGAATTTCAATGGGGAATAGTGTTATAAATACGATGTATTGGCTACTGTAGTGAAAATAATACTTACTGTAATAGACGACGAAAGTTTTTATGGCAGATTAATCATTTCTCATGTAGACAAGTCGATGACTTAAAAAAAGTGGCATTTTTTTTTAAATAATATGCGACTTCCACTTCATAAAGTAATAAAAGCGTGCTTTTAAAAGCTTGCTATAACAATCAGCCTAGAGTTCAGTAATGAATACTCACGTTTATGTTTATCGTTGATAAGTCGACAGCCAGTCGCCCTGTAATTTGCAAGTGCTGCTTTCACAGCTGGATCATCTGCTGGTGATGATATAGCCATTTTCACGAACGGGTGTACTTCCTGTTAGATAGCAAACCGTCATATGTTATATTACGACAAGAAATGAGCGAAAAAATCTACTATCTGTTGTAACGCACTATAAAATAAAACGCAAATTATTTTTTTAAATAAGCCCTAGGATAGATCCCTGTTGTACTCGTTTAATACGTAAAATAAAAACACATATGAAATGATCATGCTTTGGTTTAAATGATTACAAATAAATTTTATTTAGCCAATTATATGTTCACGTCAAAACGTAATGCTAAAGTAAAGACGAACAAGTAAATTTAAACTCATCCATTATTGCCTACTTCACTCGAAAGCTTGAAGTAAAACTATTGCAAGCTTTTATTGTAATTTATTTCAAACCATCGTTACTTTTAATAAACAAATGACAGTCGTTAAGGTCACAAGGTCAGGTTTCAAATAAAATTAATGGTCTTCCATAACCTTACTTTTGATTAGTGAAGAAATCAGTACTGGGACGGTCCGTGTCCATCACAGTAAATGCTGAGGGTCCACCTATTTTGTGGGACACAGCGTACAACGCTCATCAACATAAGCTATCTATGCAGTTGAGAGGCCTACTTGGTTACTTACAATAGGTAGTTTTTCTTCTCTTTGGTACCATAAATAACCTAAAATAATAGTGATCACCACGTCAGCGCCACGTCATGAATGACCATGACCACAGATAACCTAGTGTTGAACGTACAACAGGTCAATAGTTGTAATCATCTATAATGTATACCTTTTTTTTTCTTTCATAGAAGTTGTATGCTGTGTCTTTTACCGAATAAAGTTTTGTTTTATTTTATTTAGTAACAGTAAATATGTAGAATAACCTATCTGTAACAAATTTCATACTTTTTTCCCATATGTTTTTTTTTTTTTTAATGAAATGCTTATAGGTACATAGTAACAAAAGTTATTGGAGATAGTAATTACTTTTATCAAAGTGTGACTACTCTTCTGTCGCGAAGGCAGTCTGTGATGAGCTCGTGGAGTATGCGGTGCTGGCGCAGGCGTTAGTGGACACGGGAAGTAAACCCGTAAGGGACATCGTCGACCTGCTTCTGTTTCCAAGTACGGTGCAGGGATTGTAATATTAGGAGACATTGAGAGGACGGCATCATCTGTTGACCATCTAAGGACATCATACGAAATATTAAAAACACAATCTTTTATAATTATTGTATTTTACCCATTCATGAATTTTAACTCCTTTTAAACGACATCATTATCTTAAAGCACTCACCTATCGTTGTGTGAATCATCAGCCTTTAGTTTGGCTTCTTCTTTAGGTAAGAATACGTCGTCATCTACCGATATGGTAGCACGCAACGGATCACTGAAATCTCTAATCGGAACACCACAACTCAATGTTTTGTCACTGTCCATCTTGCGAACATAAGACTTCGAAATATGTAATGGATCTTCATCGGCAGAATCGTGTTTTATAGGCTCTTCGTTTGAATTGACTTTTATATTATCGGGTTCATTAGTTTTTATAGTTTCTGTGTCATCGTTTTTTTTTATCTCTTACATTCGAGTTTGTAAATATATTATCGGATCTCGAAGATTCATTGCTGTCAGTTTCGTTACTCTTTCTCGTATCTTCGTTAAACGAATCGCTCCGAGTTACGTTTACAATACTTTGACTTTCATGATTACTGAACTCTATGCTATTTTTAGTGACTTCGTTTTCGTTATTGACGTCGTCTTCGAAAGTCATTCCCGGTTCGGGTAGAATCGCTTCTATGTCTCCTAGGAACGCTTTCTCTAGCTTCCAATTGTAGCACGCCAACAACATGAACCTGACCACTTTCTTCACTTTGATCAACTCGGGTAGAGACGCACCGCGAAGTAATATACAGCACCCGAGATTCGGTTCCGCGCACCCTTCCAGTACCATTAAAGTTTTACCGGCGTCTGTGAACGACGAGGAATCGTTTTAGTGATTTTAAGAATTTCGTATCGTCGCATCGGAAACTCCAAAACATAAGAAACTCTATATATTTTATAATCGAAAACGGATCACGCGCATAACACTGACAGGTTTTGACGTAGAAGTCGGCGCAGGAGCCGAGGCGGGGCGTGCCGACGCGCGCGTCGATGGAGGCGAGCAGGTCGGCGCGCGTGGCGCGGGCGGCGCGGCGCAGCGCGCGCGTGCGCACGTGCGCCGCCAGCGCCACGCCCGCGCGCCGCAGCTCGTCCTGCACGCCCCGCGCCGCGCCGCCGCGCACCAGCACCACCCGCGGCTGCAGCGCGCGGATCCGCGCCGCGCACCGCACCAGGTACTCTTGCTCCTGACAAACGTTCGTTCGAGATCAGACCGTGACGTACCCGCTGGCACCTGTTCTACAGGTATAACGTTTCAGCTTATGTATCGTTTTTTCGTTAGGCCGAAAATAACTATCGCGATATCTTTTCGCCTCGTAAAAATTTTCTACTACTACTATGTAAAAGAAAATCGAAAAGGTCGAGGATATAATCATAGCAGGAAGCAAAATTTAATTCATAAAATACCTGCAACAATACTGGTTCTAATGAAGTCAGCTTTCCTTCCACTCTTTGGTATGCAATAGAACAGTCTAGAAGCAATACTGTAGGATTAGTAATCTGCTGCGGCATCCCCCTAAAAATATAATATTTATTTACAATATTTATTTAGTCAAAACTCAAATTATACCACCTAAACTAGAGTTATGTAAATAATTGACAAAAGAGATGGCCCAATAATAGTACCCTGGAGAACCCATGTTATTTTATATAGTTATATTTAACATTTCTAATACTGTTATTATAATTAAATATAAATTACTTCTAACTTGTAATTTATATCGTATCAATGACAATAACTTGTGTTGTTTACGTGAACATAAATCTATAAGAGAAATGTGATAGACATTTTCAAAAGCTTGGTTTAAAACTATTTTCAACCTACTTAAGAACTTTGCATGCTTTTAACGAATAATTACCTGTGAGCTACATTCTTGGTCAATACGACACCTTGGACAACGCAACTATCGCGCATGTTACCACCAGGCACCTTCTTCACTTGGACATAATTGCGCACATCTATGTCATTCGTGTTTACATCTGTGATGATAAATGAATATTATGAGTAACGAATCTCCGCAGAAAACACCAAGAAAATTTTATTTTAACATATTTGTGAATTTTTTAGTTCAAGAATTTTGAAGGTTAAGAAATGAAAATAATAGTAGATAGATAGAGGGTTGCTCCAGTTGAGGTACCAGGGATTTTCTTTCTAGGGCACACCTGGTTCCCCGGCAACTGGTACCTGAGACGGCGTGCGGTTTTTAGCCGGTTCGAGTCCGACATAATCATCTCATCGGTGGGTGGTATCCAAGGGGATTTCCGCACAGAAAAAAAGAGGGATGCTAAGAAAATAATAGTCTGCAGCAATCTTTGCAATGACTAAATACTCGTAGGCAACAAAATAATTAGCGGCCAAGTAAAAGTGAATCATATATTATATTTTTACGGTCAAACGCACAGTCAGGTCTTCTGATGGTAAGTGGCAACCGCTGCCTTTGGACGCCTTGGTAATCTTACTCACTCGAAAAGCAAAAAAAAAAAAATTGTTTAACAGTGGCCACATTATCCGGTCGAGCCAGAACATACGTGACGAAACATGGCCTTCCCATGGCATGGCTATATACGCCGAGTATTACAAGTTGGTTTACAAAAACTTTATCATCAGTCTTTAACAGTCCACTGCTGGACATAAGCCTCTACTTAGAAAGGAGGTTTTGGCCTACTATACCACGCTGGCCAGATGAGTTGGAATAGGGTTTGTGTCAAGCTTCCCTTCTCTTTGCAGTGCCGGTTATCCTGCCTTAGCTCCCTTAGTCGCCTTTTATGACACCCACGGAATGAATAGGGGTGGTGACACTTATGCCGGGGCACCAGGGACTTCCTTTCTAGGGTATACCTGGTTCCCCGAGAGAAGGAAAACTTGACACAAACCCTATACCAACCCGTCTGGCCAAAACCTCCTTTCTAAGGAGAGGCCTATGTCCAGCAGTTGACTGTTATAGGCTGTTGATGATGATTATAAGTTGGTTTAAAAAAACTTTTTACATACCCAATACAATAGTTTCAGCGGCGTGCTGGCACAGTGGGTAGAGTACTTCGAGCCACGAGGCTGGTAGACCATGCCGCGCCAGGCACTGTCTCATCAACAGGCGCAAGTGCTCTTCACCGGACACTACTATAGCTTTGCATATGTCCCGAGATTCTGTATACACTAGTACAATATAAAATGTTTAAAAAGAATGATGCAGAAAAATTATTATTTTAATTTGCACCATATTTATAAGCGCTTAAAATGCAAAATGGTTTATCCCATACTGTGGTTGTTTATTTAGATTGCTTGCTAGACGCTTGACTTGGGAAGTAAGCTGGTAAATGCGTGACGAGAGCGTTACGAAAAGTGTGATCGGGCGAAGCGAACTCAAGTTGAGAGGGAGATATAAGTTAGTGAAGATAGAAAGAGAGAGAGTTACGTATCGTATATTACTGTAGGGGCAAGAGAGTTAGGTGCGAGCACACGTTTTCTTTTTCTCTTTCTCTCATACCCAAGAAGTTTTACTTGAGTCGTGAGGTCTAAAGCACACTCTTTTTTATTTTTGTATTTTTACCTTCAGTTTGCTCCAAAACTGGTGTTTCTTCTTCACTGGAAGTGGACTCTTTCTCTACTAAAATGATAAAAGATATGATGTGAGTTTACATTTATGTATAAAATAAACTTTGTGTGGTATCTGAGAAGGTTGATTTTGGTTTAACCAACACAAAGAGTTTTTGTCATAGAGATATTATATCAAAGCTTATAGAGTACGAACGCACCGTATCGGCAGCGAACAGACAATTAATTTATAGTTAACAAATATTTAAAAAAAATATTAACAGTTTAAAGTAGTATCGAGTGGATTATTATGCTTTAATATTCATATTTTTTAATATTTACTGTGATTATTACTACTGATAGTTTGGCATAAACGCAAAAACTTTCATTGCGCGATGTAGGATCAGCAACAATATGTAGTAAATAATTCGGCTTACTTTCGCTACATGGTGCTGAAATATATAAATATAGGTGTCGTCAATAAATATAATAACAAACCTGGCTTTGGAGTTTTAATGAGTCGTGCGGAGTTGTTCCCAAGGTTCAAATCTAAACAGTACGAAGACACACTTTCACAGAGCCTGTTGGATTCCTCAGCTGCAAATATAATAAAAGATGGAATAATTCACATACATTATTGAACAGTTTAAACTAAACAGTAGGTATCGGACGTGGTGACGGATTAAGAATACAGAGTGTCACCACCCCTATTCATCCCGTGGGTGTCGGAAGAGCCGACTAAGGGAAAAAACTACGCCGAACAACAGCACTGCAGAGAGAAGGAAAACTTGACACAAACCCTATACCAACCCGTCTGGCCAGCGTGGTATAGTAGGCAAAAACCTCCTTTCTAAGGAGAGGCCTATGTCCAGCAGTGGACTATTAAAGGCTGTTGATGATGATGATGAGTAGGTATTGATTATACTAGACTTGTAGGGTTGGTCAGTAGGCTCCGTGGGCCGACGGAATCGCGTGTGAGGTCGTCAAGATCCGTTATTTATTTAAATGATTTTGCGGAGTCAGAGTTTATAGTCATAGTCAAAGTTACAGAGTAGAAGTAAACTTAAAATTGTATTATTTTGTACAAAAAAAACGTTTGTAAGAATCGTTTTGTACACTATTTATTAAACTTACGGGAGCTTTCTTCCTCAATGGTCCTGGGAGGTAACACAATGGGTTTATAGAGTGCATAGTCTGCGAAGTTAGGCAATTCTGTCACGCAGTCCATGTACCCAGCGCTGACGAGGTTCTGGCACACCATCATAGCTTGTACTCTGGGAAGCAACCAGTTTCGTTTTTGATCTGATCATCTGATACTGAATGATTATGAGAATTGGGAAAGGGAAGAATGGGATATAATCGGATGGGATTTTAGGACTACGGGAAAAATCTTTAACATGAATTTCAATAATATAGAATACAGAACTGCAGAAATTCAAAAACTACTGTAAAAATTGTCAGATTCTTCAATAGTAAAATAATTCAATAAAATTAATTTTGTTAGCCTTCCCTATCCTAGAAAAAACAGTCGTGATGTTAATAATAATAATAAGCCCTTTACTCTGAATTAGTACCTACATAAAATATTAAACAGCTTAGAAGTTAAGTTTATAAAATATCTCGTAATTCAGAGTGCCTCTTGGCATAGGCCTCCTCTAGCACTTTCCATTGGGTTCTGTCTCGCGCTACTCTTCTCCAGTGATGTCCAGCTGTTAGCCTCAGGTCATCTGCCCATTTCACTTGTTGGCGTCCTCTATTTCGTTTGCCATCTCTGGAGTACCAGTCGCATATAGTTGTACTCCATTTGCCAGTCAGCCGTGATGTTATAAATATACAAATTGCCCAGTAGTTTCATTCTAAAGTAGCAGTAGGTATGGTATGGTGGATTATTACTTTAAGTATGCAAAAGTTTTTAATTGTATGTAATAATATAAAATAAAATAAAACTGCCTAGTGTGGGATCAGACGGCCGTATGTGAAATGTGTAAAAATATTAAGGTATCATTAAATATTAATATTATTAATATTAAAAGTATATCCTGGGTAGAACTTGTGGCGACTCCCACATACAAAGAAACAGAAACATACTACAGCGCCATCTAATGAAGACACACCGAACTACGGAGTAACTACTAAAATAAGAATTGCTAATCCTGTATCGCGATATAAAGAATTCCCTCGCCGATTAGCATATATACAATATCCCAACATCAACCGTTGGGCCGCGGCCCGCCAGGCATGATCACCTCGCCTGGTCGGAGGATCCTCCCTTTGTGTTGGAGGGACATGACACCCGTTCCTCCACAGTGGTGACCCCGACGTGATTGGAAGCAGCCTTCAAAAGGAGCAGATCATCAGCAGCACCATCGTGTACACTCCCACAGCGATGAGCAGTAATCAAGTCTCAGCCAGCCAGCAACCTCGGCCACTACAGGGATACCACACGCAGGTAGCGACCGCTCCAGCTTGGTTACCTCTACGGCCTCATCAGCGTCTAGGCACAGCACACTGCACCTACGGTCCACGTAAGAAGAGCATTTCCTCTCCCGTCTACGCAGTAGCCAGCCACTACGCAGCAACCGCCCCGACTCACTGGGGTCTTCACCGCAGCACCGCGCACCGCACGCCATCCCGACTCACTGGGATCAGCGGACTTCAGCCCCGACTCACTGGGGCTAGCGGCACTCAGTTCCGACCCACTGGAACTAGCGGCACTCAGTTCCGACTCACTGGAACTACTCACTACTGGCACTGGCACGCTCCACAACAGAGCATAGACAGCTGACTCATCATATATCGACCTCCGGTCTTGGAGGGGAGTGATGTGGCGACTCCCACATACAAAGAAACAGAAACATACTACAGCGCCATCTAATGAAGACACACCGAACTACGGAGTAACTACTAAAATAAGAATTGCTAATCCTGTATCGCGATATAAAGAATTCCCTCGCCGATTAGCATATATACAATATCCCAACATCAACCGTTGGGCCGCGGCCCGCCAGGCATGATCACCTCGCCTGGTCGGAGGATCCTCCCTTTGTGTTGGAGGGACATGACACCCGTTCCTCCACAGTGGCGCTCAACTTTCGCACCTTGGACCATACACCCGAGGCAGTAAACAAAAGGATGGCGTGTGACGTCGCACCGGCCTAGCGACCGGCAATGTACGGACCTACCTACGCACTCCGCGTTCGGCGCTCACGCTTACTACCGCTCCAGCCTGGTCACCACTGTGGAGGAACGGGTGTCATGTCCCTCCAACACAAAGGGAGGATCCTCCGACCAGGCGAGGTGATCATGCCTGGCGGGCCGCGGCCCAACGGTTGATGTTGGGATATTGTATATATGCTAATCGGCGAGGGAATTCTTTATATCGCGATACAGGATTAGCAATTCTTATTTTAGTAGTTACTCCGTAGTTCGGTGTGTCTTCATTAGATGGCGCTGTAGTATGTTTCTGTTTCTTTGTATGTGGGAGTCGCCACAAACTTTTACCTAGTTTTATTATTGGTGTTGTCCATGACCCATTGCAGTATGTCACATCCACGCCAAACACCATTGTACCTCACCAGGCGGTACCTGTACCAACAAATAGCATATTTTTGTTATTCAACAACATTTTAAAACCCCCTTTATCCCTTAGTTTGTAAAACTCTTCTAAAAAATCGTAAAGGGTCTATTGGTTTAGGAGCTATGATGGGAGACAGGCACAGAATAACACACGTTCAACATATAGACACAACCATCATCATCAACAGCCTGTAACAGTCCACTGGTGGACATAGGGCGTCTCCTTAGAAAGGAGGTTTTGACCTTCTATAATACGTCGGCTAGACAGGCTGGTATAGGGTTTGTTAAGTTTTCCTTCTTTTTATGCAGTGCTGTTGTCCTGCGTGGTTTGCTCCCTTAGTCGACTCTTACGACACCTACGGGATGAGTAGGGGTGACGACATTATGTATTCTTAATCCATCACCACACGATTTACTTTCGCTGTATTGCAATTGTGGGAGTCATTTGGTAAATAGGGACTGTAACAGAAAGCAGAGGAATAGAAGTGATGACACTCTTTATTCTTAATCTGTCAGCACACGGAACTGGTGCCGAAAAAGAATAACAGAAATATGAATAGGGTTGAGAGTTTTGCAGGGTTAAAAAGGTATCGGGTCACCTGTGCTGTTGCGTGGGCAGAGTAAAGCTGAGTTGTCGGAACACATCGTGGAGCACCTCCTTGTGCGTGGTGCGGGGCTCACAGCGCTCCTCCTGCTCGCGCGCGAACATAAAGTTGTCACGCAACTTGTTTGGAGTCGTGGAAGACTTGTTCTCGGGGAATTTCACCTGACGAACAAAATCTCTTTTAGACGCTTGCTTTTTCTGCTATCGAACGCTCCTTTATGTTATCGACTAAAACTTAATGAGAAAAAACTGCAGTATTGACAGCAGTGAGAGCAAAAGGTATAGAATTATAAACAAATATAAAATGTATATTATTTACTTATACAATACAGTTTAGTCAAATGGTAATATTTTTTTACCTGTAGATTCTCTTGCAGGGTTCTCAAATCGGGCGGTATTTCACTGGTCATGTCATTCTCCTTTAAATAGCTGAGTACTACATTGCAACAGTAGTTGCATACGCGCAACCCATCCGCGCAACCAAATATGTGACCTGAGGAATTTACAAGCTTATTTTTACTGTCTTACATATTTAATATGTACTAGCTGAGACCCGCGGTGTTACCCGCGTTTGTTGTTATAACCGCGGGCAACGCCGCGGGGCGAAGCTAGTCTAAAAAAAGAAGCCTAAGTTACTCCTCATGCCATCAGCTATCTGCCAGTGAAAGTCCCGTCGAAATCGGTCCAGCCGTTCCAGAGATTACCCGGAACGAAGTATAATTATTGTTTGGCTGAATGTTTATATGTCCAAATTTACAATGGCATACTTTTAAGATAGTATAATTTTATTTAGCATAATTACCTTTGGAACCGTTAAAATTCCGCATAATCTCGTTTGGCATAACGTTTATTTAGAGCGACTATTATTTAGTACCTACAATTTCATTTGGAATAATTTTAATAGGCATATTGCCATAAAATGGCATTTTTAACCTTAAATTAAATAATTCCCTATAAAGTCATATGTCTTGCTACAAAAGTTTGTGACTGAAACGAATCAATGCGAAACCAACTCTACATAGTCTTGTCTGCCCTATCCGGACGAGGCAGGCCGCGAGCTGAGGAGGAGGTGGTGAGCGTTGAATTCATTTGCCACGAAAAACTCGCGTGGGGCCGCCGGATCACCGCCGGATACGTAACACATATGCTGCATGCTGCATTCTTGCTCAAAGACGATTCTGACTATGAACTTTCGACGGTTCTACTTTTTAATTATTATGGATATGAAGTTTATGCCTTTTTTTTTCCGTGCGGAAATCCCCTCGGATACCACCTGTCGGTGGCATGTCAGACTCGAACCGACTAAAACCGCACGCCCGCCGTCTCGGGTACTAATAGCCGGGGAACCAGGTATACTCTAGAAAGGAAGTACCTGGTGCAAGAAGTTTATGCCTAATGATTATGACTTACAAAATTATGACTTTTAAATGTATGACGAATGAATGTCTGCCAAACGATTTTCTGCAAAATTAAGTTTGTGCTATCCATTGTCCGCGTGTTGACAGATCAAGAAAACGGAGTATCACCACCCGTTGTCGTAAGAGCCGACTAAGGGAGTAAACTCTGCAGGATAACAGTACTGCGAAGAGAAGGAAAACTTGACCCAAACCCTATACCTATACCAGTCATGTCAGGGTGGTATAGTAGGCCTAAACCTCCTTCCTAAGGAGAGGCCTATGTCCAACATTGGACTACTAAAGGCTGTTGATGATGATGTTATGCAAAAAATATTATGACATAAAAAGTTTTGCTATAAAGGGTAGACCCCTTTGGCATGCTCTGTAGTCTAGTAGTCTAAACGGCGGATTTTGGCTTGGAAGGTATTGCCAGATTCGTCTTAATTGCGGATACATCAAAATAATAAATTAGTAAAATATAAGACGCCGGTTAAAAAAAACGTTGGGGAAAACGAGTTCTTGAGTGGAGACCGCGTCTCGGCAAACGTAGTGTAGGACGCCCACAGGCCAGGTGGAGTGACGATTTGCGCAAGATAGCTGGCAGGAGCTGGATGCGAGAAGCCCAAAATCGATCTAAGTGGCGTGCAATGGGAGAGGCCTATGTCCAGCAGTGGACTGCGATAGGCTGATGATGATGATGATGAAGACGCCGGTTTGTAAATGCCAAGTACCTATATATTTTCAGGCAGTCGGAATTTGTTTTTTTTTTAATAATTAGCTTGTTTCCCCACCTGGCACTCTTTGGCTGCAACATCTGGAACAAAATATCTGGCCACACACGCGACAGTGGTGGCGCCTGCGCAAAGTGCTGAACCGTGTTGCGCACTCGTAACACTCCCGCGATATGTCATCTGGCATCCAGTAGCGAGCCAACTCTGTGTCTGCATATCTTGTACCGCTCTGCAATAAAGAGAGATTATAAGATATATTAATTATTTTTTTAAATCTAGAGCTTTCGAAATATACTTAAAATGGTCGTTTTTAATAAGGTGTTGTGTTCCCGAGAGGTCGGGCTAAGTGGTTACCAAGTGCTTAACACATTGCACAGTTAAGCAATGCTAGCCGGGTCAGTCTATAGATGGGTGACCATTCTTAACATATTGAGACCTCGCCGTGCCTCGGAGAGCACGTTAAGCCCGGTTGCCATACGAACATCAATAGCAATAGTTACAGGTTGGTGGAGCCCTAAAAGTCAAACAGTCAAACAACAGTCTTTCTACAGAACTTCCATATTGCCTAGTCCTTGGGTTGTGGAGGTCTGGTGGCACTCGCTCAGCGTAAAAAATCGAAGTTCAGCCGTATCGTAGCACACTTAAAGCCGACCTCAAAGTGGTTTGGGAAAAAGGAGGAATAGGTAAAGTTCTGTATTTTTCCCATAAGAACGTTGGGTGAGGTGAGCATAATTTGTTCCTTATGTTCTTCTTGTAACTTATGAACACTTCTTATTTGTAATATAAAGCAGCAATGGGCAGTCGTTTAGATAGCTGCTTAAGAGATATTTCTTTAATGTTAAACCAAAGGAAATTATTCTGTAATAAACCATAAGGTAATTGATAAATCTGACCAAATTGTACAAGACCATGAAACATGCCCGACTTGTCCTTTTTATGACATAGGAGGAGGAGCAAACAAGCATGCTGGTCAGCTGACGACGTAAATGACTATCACCACCCACAGATGCCTGCAACTGTTTTAATTTCAAGATCAACCTTCTAAAGTTACACAAGAGATTGGATAAATGTACATTAATAAACAATTCTGTGTCTGTCTCTACTCCTATTGGTCAGTGTGTTTAATTAGTTAATCTTTATAAAAATAGCACAGGCTCTGCCTAGTTTGGGATCTGAGGGCTGTGTGTGGAATGTGTGAGGTATATTATTATATAATATTATTCCCAATAGGTCATGAAATAAAATACTCTTAACTGTAAGCTAGTGGTAAAAAAAAAACAACTGTATATAGATGGAAAATCAATAAAGTTTAATAAGAATATTTAAAATTATGTACATTGTAGATAACAATGTTAAAACTTTGTTTTTCAGGGGTTTCAATTGATAAACACTTTAAATAAGATAAGAGTGAGAGATTTGTAGAGTATTTGTAAAAAGATATAAAACTTAAATTTTTGAAAAATCAATTACTATTGGGTTCTTTTAAATATGTCCATGTGTGAATTTACTCTAAAATTTAACTACTAAAAATATACTCGGGCATGGAATAAAATATTTTGTTTAAGTTTTTGAGTTTCTTTGCACTTACGCCAGACCCTAAAGCAACAAGACTGCTTATTCTTCTTAAAACATTAGGCAAGCTCCTTCCTTCCAATTCAACGGCATATGAGGCTGTTTCAGTAGTGCCATCGTCGTATTCTTGTTTCTGATTTACAGTTTCAGGGGCGTCTTTATTATTTTGTTCCTTGTTTTGCATACTGTCACTAGTTTCACTAGATGAAAATTTCGGAAACTTCCATAATTTATTAAAAAACGTCGATACCCCGCTTTGACTAGATTCGTTTTCGAAGCGGGGAAACTCTGTGATCTGGGATGTATCATACTTATCCATAATCAAGAGATAACTTATGATTCTTTGTGAATAAACATTGGAAATTAAAAAAATGTTTACTACAAAGCTGTCAAGTCAGAAATCAGCTGTCAGGAGTCTACGCGTCAAAGTTATGTCAAAATAACACAGACTAAAAAAAATATAAAAAAATAATATTGCAACTCATTGCTCTGAACTACTTATACTACTAGGATAACAGGGATCTAATCTCCTATTCTTTTTTCATTCATGAATGAAATAAAGAGAAAAAAGAAAAATTCTGTTTCAAAAGCTGTTTTTATTCATAGACGCCGTTTCGGGTACCAAGTGCCGGTGAACCAAGTATACCCTAGGAAGGAAATTTTTGATACCCCGACGTACTACGGGCCATCTACGGCATGTAGATGACCCCCTCCTGTGTGGAACCCCTATACCCCCTTTGTGCTAGGTTGACAAATGGCAACCCCCAGGCCTGCGCTTGTGGAGGACGTAGGTCGTTCTGCGACCTCTGGCACCTGAGTCGTCTGCGGTACAATCATGGTCCGGCCGTCGCAGTGGTGGTACTCAGGCCTTGGCTCCTTGCGGATCAGACACAGGTGATCTCCGAAGCATTCTTTCCCGATCGTCAACGGCGTCCACTAGTATGAGAGGGTTCCGTGATGCCTCTCGAGCCAATCTTATATGACGGGTCTTAACGGTGCGATAGCGGCGTGCCCAGCACTCAGTTTCCCAAGTAGTTCCTTCCACTTCTCCACGAGGACCTGGCGGAGTTGGGATTTCTGATCCTCGATTTCTCGAGACTCAGGACTCCAATCCAACCCCGTGCTTCCTTGCACCACTGATACAGAGCCACAAGGGCTCTAGCCTCCATGTTCCACTGTGGATTTCCGGCCAGGAGACTCGCCGCCTCAAAGGAGATCGTGCGGTACCCCCTTATGACCCTGATGGGCAGCACTCGCTGCGGTCGTCACAGTAGTGCGACGTTATTGGCCTTCTGGGCCTCCGTCCATACTGGGGCCCCGTAAACAGCCATGGATAAGGCCTGTGGGCCAAAGCACGACATTTCACGTCTTCGGAGACCGGTCCTACTTAGTACTGTAGGCAGATGGTGAGTCCTTTCGGATGAGGACCAGTTTTCCCGTCTTCCACAATTTCCGAAACTGGCCCCGATCAAGTCCTTCTCAGTTGGGGCTTTAGAGAGCTTCGTCATCTAAGGCCAGGACCCACACTTGGGCCTGGAATGCCATCAGGTCCTGGGGCGGTGTTTTTGGCTTTAAGCCGTAGCATCGCCACCCTTAATTCTGCCCAAGTGACCTCAGGCATGTCGTCGTCATCCACGTTAAGCGCCTCGAGTGCCAGTGGCTGGGCCATCTTTAGTGGGGTGTGTTCCACCACTTGCGATTGGAACAGAGAGCCGACAACCCCTTCACTTACTGACAATTATGAATTCTACATCATTAATCCTTTGACAGTTTGTCTTTCAAATATATGACTTTGGCAAAATTGTGGTTACCTACTTTTACCTCAAAGCCATTAATCAAAAGTTGAAGTTGACATATAAATGACATTTGAATTTTGATCGCCTACTTGAAATTAAAATAATTGTAATAAAAGTACCTACTTTAGTAGTGTTACTCCCGTGACTGAACTGGATTGATTCTCTTTTTGATTGTTAAATAGTAAGTTTAGTATATTAATATGGCAGAGGTATCGTTAGAAACGGCAGCATATGCCAAGATTATTTTACACGCAGCTAAATACCCTCACTGTGCAGTAAACGGAGTGCTTTTAGCCGATGCCACTAAGATCCGCGATGGAGCTAAAAATCAGGACCTGGATATTGTAGACACGATCCCGCTGTTTCATCACAGCCATTACGTATCACCAATGGCTGAGATCGCATTGACACAGGTATTTTTTGTTTTCACAATAATGTTATATTCTGACTATTGAATGTTTTATTCATTTTTAAGAAATTGTTTTACTGTTTTGTGACATAAATATTAGATAAGCATAGACGACATCCAAAAAGTGTTTTATCCGTGCAGTATCTTCTGATAGAATTGTATTTGTCTGTGTTGTCTATTACAGATAGAAACAGTTGCACAAACAGAAAACCGTATTATCGCAGGATACTATGCAGCTTGCGAGAACTTCAAAGACAACACAGTAGAGAAATGCCCAGGACAGAAAATTGCAGAGAAGATTGTTGAACATTTTCCTTCTGCTGTATTTGTTGTGGTATGACTTCCTTGTATTTTACAGTCAGACTACAACTAAAATTTTTACATCACCGAAAGGCAGACTAGGAGAAAATGCCTTGGGCATTAAGTCCCCCTTTGTACCACTTGTGCATTACGTTATTATAAATAAATAGATTTAGCACAATCTTGTGTACTTTAATTACATATAGAAAAATACTAAAAATATTTTACCCTAAAAAGACCTATTACTAAACAAGCGATGAACCCAGCACCTGCACGGTAAGAAATAGGTCTTTTTGGGTTAAAATATTTTTAGTATTTTTCTGTACATAATTAAAGTACACTAAGATTGTGCAAAAATTCATTGAATTATAACTTTTAATTTAGCCTCTAAATAAAAACTGGAATATATTCATTAGTGTTCCTGGTTCCTTGTGTTATCGGTATAAAAAAGCTTATTTCCATATTCTATTGATTGAGGAGTATGAACTGCTAGGTTTGAAGCATAGGCACTTCTCTGTCATATAAATCATGCTTTCTTTGTGCACTAAAGGAGAAATAATAATAAATTATATCATAATGTTACATGAAAACAGCATGCAGTAAATTTGAATCTTTGATTCAAACTTACTTGTTGTTTTGTTAGGTATTCATTATTTTCTCTCTTATAATAATAACCAGACCACATAATTTTGCCCATGTATATCAGATGTGGGCAGTATACTAACAATATTTCCTACAGAGACAATGATGTGTGCATGGGCTTAATCTTTTGTGTCTTTATTTTCAGAAAATTTTATAGTTTTGTGTTTTAATATCAATCTTGTATTTTTTAAGAACTTTGTACCATATTCATGCAAATAAATGTATTGATCTGATTAAAATAACTTTACACATCACACACGGCTGTCTAATCACAAACTAGGAAGAGCCTGTGCTATGGTAACCAGACTTCTGATAAACATACTTAAACATTTCCAAATACTTACACATAATAATTTAACTAGATAAGTTACACCTAGAAACAGAACAAATGATCATGCTTGTCACACAATCATTAGGCCTGGGAGGAAATCAAACCCTTAGCAGTCAAGTCCACTAACCACTGGACAAGCCAAAGACAAACCCGTATATTAATAAACTCCATAATCTAATTGGAATGTTTTTCTTGAAGGTTGACAACAGGAGAATGATGCAACAACTGGACTCCGCAGCCATCAAGCTTCACAAGTATAGTGAAGGAAAGTGGAAAGCCAAGGATGCTAATAAAGTTATGTTCCGTAAGTGTCAATGCAACTTTCTATTTAGATTGTCTTTGATCAAATATACCATAGATTGGTGCTCTAAAAATGGCATTATCTAATTTTAATCTATGCTTAGATGCAGTTATAAACACATGTGTGCTATCACTAGCTACACTCTCAGTGCCTATAACAAAAAGTATGAAATGACATAATTTATAATAACTTTGACTAAACTAATTGAGTATTTTGGAACAATTACCATGGTGCATTTAGTTTCTGCAGGAGGTCAATGACACAGATAAATAAATTAAAAAGAAATAATATTAATCTGGAATAGCCAGCAATGCTATAATATTACCTGGTACCACTAGGCATTTTTGTTAGGGGACTGTGTGGCTCAGGTATATTTGATTGCAGGGAATGATGAATTATCATTAAAAACAATTAACTTTTTCTATAATTCATTTCATTGCAAATAGTCTAATCAAAAAGTAATCTGAAATCTGAATTGCAAGTAGTAAATTGCAAATAGTTTCGCATTTTTCTTTTATGGCCTGCTACTGCCTGACACTAAACCTGTTGGGAATTTAATAGCTTTTTGAGATAGGCAAAAGGAATAAGGTACAACTCATACAATTAATAAAAATCGCAATCCCACAAAAGAGCGAACCATCAAAACAACAAATACTCAACAAAAAAAATCATCTTCAAACACTTGCTGGTCATTCCTCGGCTGGTGGGTTGTTGGTCGCAATACTGAAAAGTACTTCTAGACCTAGTAGACATACTTCAATTTATGAATCTTTAATATTTCGTCATTATTTTTCAGAATCACCGTATGTATTAGAAACTGTATCACATCTCCTCGAACAGGGTGTTCAAAAAGACCTCGTTGATTTTGACAACTACTTAGATGACCTCTCGCAAGATTGGACTAATCTTGGCATTGAGAAGCTGATTGCCAGCATCAATGCTTCCAACACTATAGATGATAGCAAAGATGAAGATGATGAAGAAGAAGATGATGACGAAGAGAAACCATTCCGATAATGATGCAGAAGAATTTTTTAACGTAATGTTTTGTAAACGAATTTTTATTATCGGACATAACATAATGTTATGGGTTGTTTAGGGTATTTTGTAATGTTATATTGGTAATGATATACTATAAGGGTGAAACTGAATTCTTTAATTACAGACTTCATTTTACCATGGTACTTTTAGTACAAAAGTTTAACAGTTTGGAACAATTTGCAATCATATTGCAATAAAAAAGTATAAAAAATAACATTTTAAGTAACCAAATACTTGTACTAGGTTAAAGTTGGTATTTAAATAATATTTACATTCATTCCTTAAGGTTGAGTCAGACAGCGGACGGGACGGGTCGGCGACGCCACCTGAGTTGGGCCTCAATTCTGCTATTTTATGTTCACGCCAAGCCACTGTCATACCACTGACACACTATTGAGATGCCATCGAGTGATATCGGTAGTCTACACTAACTCAGTGTCTTTACAGTGGTAATGGAATGGCAGTGGTGATATTAAAAAGATTGCCATATTTGGAAAAATAAATAAATCATTTCCTTATAATTTGAAAATGTATTACGTTTTTTTAATTTTGGTCCATAAAGTTGTTATTTATTTATCATATTTATTGATACAAATGTATAAACTACAACGACATGTTACACCGTAATTAATAGAATTATCATTGCTGTTTTTGTTATTGTTTAGTTAGTGTAGACTACCGATATTTATACCTATGCCAATGGCCACTCGGTGGCATCTCAATAGCGTCTCAGTGGTAGGACAGTGGCTTGGCGTGAACATAAAATAGCAGAATTGAGGCCCTGGTTTTGTGTTAGTTAATTATAGAAGATGTCATACCACGTCTCCGCACCGCCCGCTCTCTGAACCGATCTTTAGTTTAAGTGAATTCTAATTAAACAATGTGAGCATTTAATCGAATTATTTAAAGAAATTGTACCAACAGAAGGATATAATTTATTTCTGTTATGTTATGATATATTATTAAAATAGTCTTCAATTAATTTCTTGCATTTGTTTATGCCTCCCATGTCTCCAGCTTTTCCTTGAAACTTACCATTCTTGAAGGCACCCTTGCCCTTCAGTAAATCTGTTATTCTGAAATTTAATATCGTTTTAATTAATATTTAAGTAATATAACATACTGGTATGTTATATATATATACACGGTGATTTTGAAAGCGTTTTGGAAACGAAATATTTGAATTTGGAATCATCTATAGTACCAATAAAAATGATTAAATCAATTGTAATGTTGTCTAAAAAAAAGTTTCAGTTTTAATATTCATTTTTACTCGATCGACTTGGAAAGTAGTAATGGACTGATCGTTCATTCATTATCTTATATGAATGAAACACGTCCGTGGGCGTTTCGGCGGCCGCTGCGCACCGCCGACGCTAACAGCAGCTGACAAAACTATACCTATAGGCGCGAGCTAGCGAGTACTTACGTAGATAGACTCCAATTTGTCCTTCATACTTTACACGGGCTTAGGACCGTCAGAAATACCTATTTTATTTAAACTTCTTTTCGATTATTAACCACGATTGTTCTTTTCACAACAAATCAATTTATCAACGGACTGTAGGTATAAATATTTCAGGCGTATTTAAAAAATCGGAGCTATCTACAGAATAATTAACTTACATACCTATTTACACTATTTACAGTTCTCTGTATCGAAGGAACTGCTCAAAATGGAGTCCGCTGCATTCAATACACAAACGTCCACGTTTAATGCAATTTTTTTTTAATTTTCTTAATGTGTCTCTATCACTTTTCACTTTATCAAAAGCGTCCACTATCGCAATGCGTAAATTATCACGGCTTTCATATTCCCGTGTATTAACAAGTCTTTTTATTTCCGACCATAAGAAAAAAATCCAGGGGCGTTAAGTCCGGGCTTCTAGGTGGCCCTCCTCGACCTATCCACCGATCACTAAGCTCATTGTCCAGGTATGCACGCACTACACTCCGGCGAATAATAATTAAAACGTCCTTGACCTTGCGCATGAGTAGGTGCACGAAATTGTCCGTGGTCGAGAAGACGTTGGGTTGCAGCCAAGATGGTAGGTGTGGAGGGAATTTGAGGGCTTTCAATTCCACGTAGCTGTAGTGCATTTAAATGCTCCGGCTGGGAATACAAACGCCGAGCCTCTTCCAAGTTGTAGTTGGCAGTAGCGTATAGCTGTACCATTGCCAAGAAGTATTCCACGTTTGAAAATTCGTACTGTCGACTCATTTTAGCGCTCATCAATGCAGCGTGCCGTCACGATGTTATGGTATTACTGACCGACTGACGATGACAGGTGAGCCCCGCGCATGCGCCTACGGGGCAGACGTCATTGGTTGGACGACTCCGACGCAACTCGGTAGCTTTGTTTTTATTGGCGAATACGATTTGATGTGACTCGATATTAAAACGCATAGTATTTCTATTCGTAGTATTTACCTACGTGTGATTGAATAGCCTACTACTACTGGTTCTGACTTTTTCTCTGTAAACGATATGAATATCGACTTTGATGATAAAAAATATACATTTTATTAAATTAACGTTATATATAGCTTCTGTTACTGATAAATAACTCAAAATTTTCTTTTCCAAAACGCTTTCAAAATCACCGTGTATATATATATATATATATACAAACTTATATGACCAGCAGTAGACTGCTAAAGGCTGTTGATAATGATGATGATATATAGAACAAACTAATTATTGGAAAAAAAAGCTGACTGCATGAAAACGTATACTCGTAATTAACAAACCGGAGATTTCATTTTTTTTTAATTTTCTTATACCCAGTGTCGATAAAGCCGACTACCGCACCCTGACCAATCAGGTTGCAAAGTTTCGTACGAAACAATAATTTTTTGGCACCTGATTGGTCAAGGGGCGAGGCTTGATCCATACGTCACTATTTCCTTAACGATTATAATTATCATTTCAGAAAAAGTTGGAACATTCTAGAAGTTTAAAGATGTCAAATTAATAACAGAGCACAGACAGCATATCATTAGTGTGTTAATTGTCGTTAATATAAACTAATTGTGCCTATTTAGCAAATGAAGCTCATAACTAAGTAATTTTATTACGAGTTTTTGAAGCTTACACAAGCCAATATAACATTTATATATATATATATATAGATTGTCCGTGGTGACGGATTAAGAATACAGAGTGTCACCACCCCTATTCATCCCGTGGGTGTCGTAAGAGCCGACTAAGGGAGAAAACTACGTAGAACAACAACACTGCAGAGAAAAGGAAAACTTGACACAAACCCTTTTTTTTTTTTTTTTTTTTTTTTTATCGTGTGGAAATCCCCTCGGACCGTCACCCCTCCGGGGTTTGCGGCGGGGTGGTGTGTCGGACTCGGACCGACTAAAACCACACGGTGTGCCACTCTGCGCCTGTAACAGGAGGGATCCGGGAACAGCTGTTGTTAAGACATCCGGACCCCTCCTAGCGCCAGCCCGCTCCTGGTGCGGGCTCCGTCTCAATGTAGATGTTCCTCTCTTTAGGCGACGTCCGGCACACGCGGACGCCGCCCCCTCGCGGCTGGCCAACTAATGCGGGTGGAGGGGAAACCCACCCCGTCCACCCGCGGCCACACTCAGGGCGGCATGAGGCTGTGGTAGGCGGGCCTCCGCCGCCCGGTTCGCCGGCGGCGGATCGGGTCCGAGTGGAGGTCGTCCTCCCGGGCCCTCTCCGCCGCCTCCTTCCGCGAGATTACTACCTCGCAGAAAGTTGCGACCGCGGTAAAACAACTGTCGCTACCGGCCATGGAGCGTACTACGGCCGGTAGCGAGAGATCCACTCCGATGACTGCAGTGAGGGCCCGGCGCTGCGCCGCCCATGCGGGGCAGACCGCCAGCGTGTGCTGGGCCGAGTCCTCACTGCAGTCGCAGTGGTGGCAGGCGGGACTCAGTTCCCTCCTAGCGACCGTGTGCAGGTACTTTCCGAAGCAACCGTGCCCGGAAAGCACCTGCGTCAGTCGGAAGGAAAGGGTCCCGTGCTGCCGCCCTGCCCACTCGGCGATGACCGGCTGGAGAGCCTCCACGGCGGCGAAGCCAGCGCATGGAGTCTCCAGCCGGAACGACCAACGAGCCATCGTGGCTCGGCGAGCGGCTTCGCGCCACTCGCGCACATCCTCGGGCGGAGGGCGAAATCCGCTCTCCGCCCGGGAGTCAGCCACTCGCCGATAAACTTCGGCGAGCACTTCCGCCTTCAAATCCCACGGGGGAGTTCCGGCCAACGCGCATGCCACCTCCGTAGAAACGGTGCGGTAACCGCGTATGGCTCTGACCGCCATTACCCTCTGAGGGCGCCAGAGGCGTACCCTATTCTGGGCGGTCAGAGCCGCCGCCCACACCGGTGCACCGTACAGCGCCATTGACCGGACAACCCCCGTGTACAGCCGTCTTGTCGCGACGCTGGGTCCACCCATATTGGGCAAAAGTCGCCCTAGGGCAGACGCAGCGCCGACCAGCTTTGGAGCAAGCTGTCGGAAGTGCTCGTCGAAGAGCCACCTCCCGTCGAGGATCAGGCCCAGATATTTCATCTGGGCCCGAACCGGTACGAGGACCGAGTTGACCACGATTGAGGCGCCAGGGGGTGGACCACGACGGGGCCCATGAAATAACAGGGCCTCCGTCTTATCTAGGGTCACCCGTAAGCCCAGCGCCTCAATGCGCCCGACCACCAGGGAGACTCCCCCTGTGGCCAGGCGCGCCGCCTCTTGGAAGTTTGCCCCCCGGGCTGTCACGAGGGTATCGTCTGCGTAACAGATTACACCCAGCCCGGGGGGGAAATCGGCGCGAAGGGCCCAGTCGTACCCTATGTTCCACAAGAGGGGTCCAAGAACAGACCCCTGTGGAACACCGCACGACATGGGCCGACACCTCAGATTACCTTCTCGGTCCTCGTACACGACGGTACGCTCCTCCAAATAGTCTGCCACTAGCCGCCTCAGGTACTTTGGCACCCCATGATAGTGGAGTGCTTCCCTGATGCAGCTGAATGGCAGACTATTGAATGCGTTGGCGATGTCCAATGACACCGCCAACAGCACGCCGCCACAGCTCACGGCCTCTTCGGTCACGGCCCTCAGGCGCAACACGGCGTCGACTGTCGAACGCCCCGCCCGAAAACCAAATTGGGCGTCCGACAGATCGGGGCCCACCTCGCAGAGGTGCCGGACGATGCGGGCAGAAAGAACCCTCTCAAACAATTTGCCCGCCTCGTCCAGCAGCACGATGGGCCTATAGGCCGCGACCGAATCGGCAGGCCGTCCCGGCTTCGTCAATAGGACCAGCTTCCCGCTCTTCCAGCACTCAGGGAAGCGTCCCGACGCCAAGCTAGCGTCGAACACCTCCCCGAGGCGGTCTGCCATGTGGTTGAGGGCCAGGGCCAGCACTCGGGCCGGTACCCCGTCTGGCCCAGGGGCGGTGTTCTTGGAACGGATCCGTAGAACAGCCGCCCCTACCTCCGATTCCCGGACGGGCGGAACATTGTCCTCCCCGTGCTCCCCGTCGTCTCCGGCCAGGGAGGCCATCGACGGGGGAGTGTGTTCCGCCCGTTGTGGGAAAAGGCCCTCAACCACTTCTCGCAGGAAGCTGGGCTGGAGAGTCTCCGTAAGGGGGGGGCCCGACGCGCGGAGCTTTTGTCGCACCGCGCGGTAAGGGCGACCCCAGGGGTCACGATTAAGACCCTCCAGCATCTCCTGTCTTTTTTCCTCTTTGGCGCGGCTAATGGCCAGCTTCAGAGTTTTCCGCGCCCGTCGGTACTCCTCATGAAGCCGGTCCTCCTCACCGTCTCCACGGTGACGCCGCCGACTGCGCGTGTAGGACCTCCGGGCACGTGTACAGGCCGCACGGAGGTCCGCCAGCTCCTGGGACCACCAGTAGACCTCCTTCCTTGGAGGCCGACGACCTCGAACGCGGGGCATGGCCGCATCGCATACATGCGTAATCGCATCGCGAAAGCGGCCAGCCCCCACGTCGACCTCCTCGGTCGGAGCCTGAGGAGACAGCCACGAGTGAATTATGGCTGCCTCCTCTAGTAGGTCCCGGTTCAGCCTGGCAACAGCCCACCGCGGAAAGCGGGATAAACCCCCCTACTGGAGTCCTGGGTCCGGGAGAGCTCAAATCGGATATACAGGTGATCCGAGAGCGTCTCAACCTCTTCCAGGACACGCCAGTTCCTTACTCGTGCGGCGAGGGCAGGGGTAGCGAACGAGAGGTCCACTATCGACCCCCCCTGCTGTCGCACGCACGTGTTGGTGGAGCCTCTGTTTAGAAGACAGAGGCCCACCGAGGCCGCCCACTCCTCTACGGCCTCGCCCCTGGCGTCCGTCCTGGGGGAACCCCACGCAATGGACTTTGCGTTGAAGTCCCCCAGCACAAGGACGTGCCCAGACGCTAGTCGCCGTATCGAGGTCTCCAAGCTGGTTAGGAAAACCTCGAAGTCGTTCAAACTCCGGTTGGGGGAGAAATAGACACCATATATGGTGATCCCCCCCCACTCGACGGCAACATATCCAGTGCCCTTGTCTCTTAGCGACAAGGGCGGGGAATGAGCCGTCGTGGAACCGACGACTGCCACGGAGCCGTCCCAGTCACCCATCCAGTTTGGACGGGGAGGGACAGAATAGGGCTCCGCGACTACGGCAACACCTATCGACCACTGTGCCATGGTTTGCAGGAAAAGATCCTGCGCCGCGGCACAGTGGTTCAGGTTCGTCTGGACCAGGAGGTTGGAGACTTGATCCATTACTGGATCGTCTCTACAACCTCCTCCATGGGCGACGACGTCGACGCAATATTGACGTCGGGGGTAGCCTGGGTCGACTGGCTAGCCCCTGACGTCTGCCGAGAACTGCGGGGAGGCTTGCAGCCTCTCTGCCCCATCTGGTGATTGGCGGGCTTATTGCCCGCCGCACACACTGGGCAGTGAGGGGCGGCAGAGCATTCTGCCGCCTTATGCCCCGGTTGACCGCAGCGGAAACACAGTCCGCCGCAGTCAAAACAACTGTCGCACTTGACGCGCGTGTGTCCCGTGGCCAGGCATTTAAAACACCTCATCGGTCTCGCCGCCAGGACTGTGATCCTGGCGCTCACGAAACCGATGAGCAGCCTGCCGGCGTCGGCCAATACTTTGGCCGACGCTACGGGACAGCTGACCCACACGGCGCCAAGCCCTCCTGGACCGGGGCGGATGGTGCCGACCCTGACGTTGTCCGCGCTGCACCCCGTCTTCTCCCGGACTACAGCGCGGACATCTTCGGCCGTCACTGAGTCGTCCAGGCCCGAGATGCGCAGTTCCGCGCACTTGGTAGGCCTGGCGACCCTGACACCATCAGTGGCCGCAAATATTCCCCGCAGCCTCTCGGCGAAGGAGTCCGCCGTCTTTGCGCCTTCAGCCCCAGGGAACTCGAGGACTCGAGCTCCCGTCTGGGCGAGGCGCATCCTGACCCCCACCGTTCCAAAGTCGTTGGCGAGGCTGTCCCGGGCCTTTTTGAAGACGGCCGCGTAGGACAGCCCGCCGTCCGCCGCCTCCGGGGACACGGTCACCACTACAGCCGCGGTTTTGGGCGGCTGCAGCTTCCGCGGCCTCTTTGTGGAGGCCGTTGCCACCGGTGGCGAAGGCTGGGCCTGGGCTGCTTTTTTGGCAGCCTTTTTGGCCCGCCTTCGGGACTTCTTGGAGCCCCTCGCCTCCTGCCAACCCTCGTTGGAGGGGGCAGGTGCGGAGGGGCCAGGCAGGGGTGTCGGAGTGGGGAGCGGAGGGAATGCCAAGAATGAAATTAAGAAGATTACGAATACGGTGGTGGTGACGGATTAAGAATACGGAGTGTCACCACCCCTATTCATCCCGTGGGTGTCGTAAGAGCCGACTAAGGGAAAAAAAACTACGCAGAACACCAGCACTGCAGAGAGAATGAAAACTTGACACAAACCCTATACCAACCTGTCTGGCCAGCGTGGTATAGTAGGCCAAAACCTCCTTTCTAAGGAGACGACCGAATGGCGTAGTAGTTTGTGTAACGGACTGCTATTCCAAAGGTCGTGGGTTCGATTCCCGCTCAAGTCAAACATTTGTGTGCATGAACATTTAATGTTTGATTTGGTCTGGGTGTTTCTATGTATAATAAGTACGTTTTTACAAAAAAAAAGTATATATGTATTTATATCAGTTTTCTAGTACCCATAGTACAAGCTCTGCTTAGTTTGGGACTAGATGGCGTTGTGTGAATGTGGTACAATATAAAAAAAGGAGAGGCCTATGTCCAGCAGTGGACTATTAAAGGCTGTTGATAATGATGATTGATGATGATGATATATAGATTGCTTACTGCTGTCCCAATGCATTGCATTGTTCTTCAGGGCCTTGTATAATTATCTGTCCCTCCTTTGGTTTATCCGGTTCTTCCGACGCCAAGAACATGAACAGCTCTTCACCTTCTAAACCTTTCATTAAAGCACGGTTAAATTCAGGAGTAGATTCCTTTTTAAACATGAATACGTATTTCGGTTTAGGCACAGCACTTTTTATTTTGTCTACTTCACATTGTGCCAGTTCTAACAAAACGTTTTGTAAGTTTTTATTACTTATTTTTAGGTTCTTTTGCAACTTTTGAATGAGGTCCTCGTGTCTACTGGGTTCATTTCTAAAACAAAACACATACATAATAACACTATAACTTCTATTATATCGTTAACTAGCTGACCCGCGCATCTCTCAATAGTAATAAATTTTCTCCGTTTTTGAAACATTCTTCATTGGTGCTCCGCTCCTATTGGCCTTAGCGTGATGATATATAGCCTATAGCCTTCCTCGATAAATGGGCTATCTAACACTGAAAGAATTTTTCAAATCGGACCAGTAGTTTCTGAGATTAGCGCGTTCAAACAAACTCTTCAGCTTTATAATATTAGTATAGATAATAAAAAATATTTTAAATTTTAATTGTTGATAATTTTGTTCTCAATAATTAAGGAATTCTTATGCTGTCAACTTTGATTGCTAAGTTGACAGCATAAGAATTACTATTAAGTTACTTTTTTTTTCTACCTATATAGTGTCTGTGGAAAGGGTAGATAGACGTAATAAATGTGGGCGGTTAATATGCCTTTTCGAAATAATCGAACGACGCTTTTTCAATCTCTATTTAACCATGTAAAAACTAAAGGGGGCCTATACTACGGGTGGTCACTAAGTGTAGAGGCGGTAAAAAAAATTGAGAAATGGGTCACGTAGTATGGGTTAGTCCCCTAACGCAGACGTGAGTAAGTGTAGGAATAAGTCCCTAAGTTGTTTTTTAGTATACCATAAACATGAAGACACTGTTAATAAGTAATAATTAAGTCTCTATGGCAGATTAAAAGATTATTACTTTAATTTAACAAAGGAGTTTTCTTACTTAAGGAGTCCAGTTAAAGCTTTCTCCCTGTCCAACATTTGTTGCATAGTCCGTGTAACTCTGTTCCCCACTAAAAACTTAAGGTTTGTTTTACCTTTTTTACCAGGTTCGGCACCAATCAATTTGATCACTTGTAGTTGGCTGAAATAAAATCAGAAGTTATGTGCTTTGTGCCCTTGGAGACTTAAAGTTATTATAACATTAAATTTATATCAGTTAGTTGATATAGTTTTTATTAATAGATGCCAAACCGTAAATATCACTACAGCTGGACCATACATACTCCATAATTCGAAGTCATAAGAAGGCGCTCGAGTTCATGAGTCGGTTTAATTCCAGTTAGTCCGTCAGGCACGTATGTGAGAAGATTAATTCTATACTCCGATAGATAATAATAATATCCTACCACATTCACACAACGCCATCTAGTCCCAAACTAAGCAGAGCTTGTACTATGGGTACTAGACAACTGATATAAATACATATATACTATTTTTTTGTAAATACATACATACCCAGAATGAATCAAACATTAAATGTTCAAGTACACAAATGTGTTACTTAAGCGGGAATCGAACCCGCGACCTTTGGAATAGCAGTCCGTTACACAAACCACTACGCCATCCGGTCGTCAGATATTACTTAACTTTAGTAAAGGAAAAGGCATATATTAGGGTATTGGTTGTGAGCTCCGGTTTTCGCAACTAGAAGTTATATAAGGGTTTTTTTTTATGAACGTAACGTAATTTGGGTTAGCAGTCAGCATCAAAAACCAATAGAACAACAGGGCAGTCACAGTATATATGCTACAGTGACCAATTTCCATTAAAACTCACCTTAAGTTAGAAACATGGGTACCACAACACATATTTTCATCAATATTTTCAATACATATTATTCTTATTGTTTCCATACAGTCCTTGGGTAGTCCTCGGGTGTGAGCTTCATCCAACTCAGGGTCATTACTTTTGCAGAATTTTACATTAACTGGTACAGCCGCCCTTATTAATTCATTGCATTTATCTTCTGTGGCTTTTATAATTTCGTTTGTGACCTTTGTAGAGTCCAGTTCTACATAGCTCTCATCTGCACCGAGCCACCAGCTTGTTGTAAAAATGTTCTCTTTATCTAATAATGCTGATAGTAAGTGTTGGCCTGTGAAGAAGAAGAAAGATAGAAAAGAAGAATTAAGTGTATAACAACTTATAAACTATTGCATTCTATTCACTCACTCACTTTCCATCAGGTGACCCGTCTGCTCGTCTGCCGTCTCTAAACATAAAAACTCAATCTTACATAAAAAAAAGTGTAAAAGCGTGTTGAAAAACTCAGTGCACAGACCCTAAATAAACTTGAAAAAAGGGTTGGAAGATGATGATAATAGTGATGACTTTATTTTTTATAAAATACCTGAGTGCTGCTGCATGTGGTCAAATCTTCTATCCCAGTTGACTTTTTGCTCTACAGCAGTACCCACTTTGATAGGGTCCTTAGTAAAATGGATGGCCTCATCCCCTTTGCGGAGCACTTGAACAACTTCTACATTGTTTAAAAAGCCAGTATCATGGGGCTGCAAAATAAATTATTGTTATTATTTAAATATAGAGGAGCAGCTTATGACTGATGTGTATATGGCAGTGTTGATGTTCCGAGTAACTAGACTGATTTTTCTTGAATTACACAGTTTATTAAATAAGATCTTATGATTTTTTTTAACACATGCATCTCCTTCATTTCACACAAGAAAATACTAAATCAATTTAAAAAAAAAACATAATAAAATTATCTATAATCGAAATAAACACTAGCCCCTAGGGTAAAAGGTGACGCTCCCCGTTACCTTGGCAGAAGCATGAGTTGTTTCATCCACACCTGTCTAAACGGAAAGTAGGTAGGTAAGGCCCGCTATACGGAATCTTTAGTGACGTTATGGTGTAAGCGTTCCTATTAAATATGAATTACCTGTCCACCCCCTGCAGGAAACAGTATTGTGTTCTCCAATGTAACTTGATATCCTTCAAACTTCGATGTCTTCCCATATTCAACAATGGGTTCTTTTGTCGGCTCACACTTTAACACTTTTGAAGAGAACTGTGAACAGCAACAAATAAGATTTATTATGTGTGTTTGTTTTAAAACAGTTTAATATATGGTGGCGTAATGGTTTAAGTGATTGCCATGCCGCTTCCTACTACTCTGAGTGTAGCGGGTTCGACAACCACATGGGACGTCACTGTGTGATCCACCAATTGTTTTTATGAGTCTGGGTGTTCTTTGTGTCCGTTTCATGTATGTTTGTAAAGTCCCCCGCAACACAGGATAATATATTCCTAATACGGGAGTTGTCCATAAAAAAAAAGTTCCAAACTGGGTAGATCCTGTACTATAGTATGCAAAGTGTTGATGAATATTCATATTTATAATACACCCATATATTGTTGTGCGTTTCTCTGTTAATCTTAAATTTAAATTAATACAGATGCTTCTAGTTATATTATGAAGTACAATAGTAATTGTTCTATAATATACCATAGCTTAGGTTTTTAAATATAATTTACATCTCAAAACAATAATAAAGAGACATAAATGAATCTTACCTCTTTTAAAAAGCTGTCTTCCTGGCATTTGAAAACCATTATCTTTGAAATTGTTTATTTTTCAGGTTTCTTGATTAAATTAATTATGATTTATAACTGAATAGGTATTGCTCAATGTCGTCACTTCAAGTATTATCTTAGCTGCATTTGAAGCTTTAAATTATTATTGCATAATATATATTTTAAATTTATCAATCATACGAACCGGCGCAATTCGACACAACCAACACAACTTCCATCCCATGGATGACAGAATATTTATAAGTTTTTGACTTTTTGATAAAATTGGGATAAATTAAAGCTAAGTTGCCATCCCACGTTACTATTTCTACTACATACAGCCGACTAAACAAAAAGAAGACTTGTTTTCTACAAGCTCAACATCGATAGGTAGAAGAATAAAATTAAATCGTGGAAGAAAGTTTCTGAACTATATTATCTTAATTAACTATATTATATTTTATTTTATTTTTATTTTATTTTACACCTTCATGCACTTATGTACATCGGCGGACTTAATGCCCTGGGCATTCTCTACCAGCCAACCTTTAGGTGGTGTAGAAATCTTTTAGGGTAGGTGCACCGAGGTTACGATTGTAATCAATGATTATAAATAATTGTTTATCTAAAACTAAGCAAAATCTACAAATATTATGCATATAAGTTATAATGTAATACAAATATAATTACACATATATATAGAAATAAATATAGATATAAATACATATTATTTATGTTTGTACACTGTGAATGCTTGAATTTAGGAGGTGTATATCATTTGTTAAGTCACTTCCGCCATCTCTTCAAGAAGGTAATTATGTACATTCCTTTTAATTGCGAAATGCTTTGTGGACATCCTGATTTCGAGTGGGAGCGCATTCCAGAGCAGAACTACTTGTACAAAGAACGAGGAGTTCACGAAGTCTGAGTTGTGGGGGGGACACAAGAGAAGCAAATTATTCGTTGATCTAAGATTTCTGTCGTGATTAGAGGACAAGAAACGGATGTAAGGATCGAGGTAGGTGGGTAAAAATGGGCAGTTGAGGAATGAAAAGAGAGAGGTCAGCGCTCGCTGATTGCGACGCAAGCGAATAGGTAGCCATTTTAATTGGGAGCGTAAAGCAGACACATGGTCATACTTGCGAAGATTGAATATGTATCGAATGCAGTTATTGAGAAGACGGTCTAGCTTATTGAGGAGGTCTGCATTCAGGTCGAAGTAACACACATCACCATAGTCAATTATAGGAACAATTAGGGACTGCATGAGAGAGGTTTTCGTTTTAGTGGGCAAGAAATTTTTAAGTCGGTATAGTGTTCGCAGGTTACCCGTTACTTTTAGGCTCACACGAGTAACTTGAGCACGCCAATCTAGGGTTGAGTCGATGAGCAGGCCTAGGTCTTTGACTACCGGGCTCCAAGGTATAACTGAGCTGTTGAAGATAACTGGTGGGACTGATGTAGTGTCCAATCTTCCAATCATATGTTTGCTGCCGATTACGATCGCCTGGCATTTGGTAGGGTTTACTGACAATCCAAATCTGATCGACCAGGATTTTATAAAATCAAGGTCCCTGTTGACGTCATCGATGGCTCGCTTTATATCCTCCACCCTTGCTTGTGAGTATAGCTGCAGATCATCGGCATATAGGTGATACGCACACTGAAGGTGTTGAGTTATGAGGTTGATAAAGATAGAGAATAAAAGAGGAGATAAAATTCCGCCTTGAGGGACTCCAGCGTGGAGATCGCAAAAACTCGACGACACGTTCTGAACGCGAACACACTGCTGGCGCCCCTGAAGATAGGCGGAGAACCATTCCAGTGCCTCTGGGGACATCTTAAGGTATTCATGGATTGATAGTAGAATTTCGTTACTGACGGTATTAAAAGCGTTAGAGAAATCAACCAAGACCAGAACTGTAACTTTGGTTTCTTCCATGCCCTTTCTAATATCCCCAGTCACTTTGAGGAGGGCGGTAGTAGTGCTGTGGCCAGGTCTAAAACCGGAGTGTAGGGATCTTAGCAGTTTTTGTCGGTACACAAATTCTGAAAGCTGCTTGTATACACAGGCCTCGAGCACTTTAGACAGGAAGGGAAGAATAGAAATAGGTCGGAAGTGTTCGGGTAATGAAGGGTTATTTTTTTTGGGGAGAGGGATGATGTTCGCCTTACGCCACAGAGAGGGAAAGGTTCCTGAGTCTAGAGAAAAGTTAATTATGTGAGTAATTACCCAGAGAGTATAGTCCAGGATGGTGACAATCATGCGTCGGCTAATGCCATCATGCCCCACAGCATTAGAGTGGATAGATAGGATAATCTTCTTGATGTCCCCAGAAGGCACCGGAGAAAATTCAAATGAGTCGATACTGGGACTGGTAAGACCTGATATGTAGTTCAGCGTTTGATCTTTGGTTTGTAGATCCAGCGTGGGTGTGGATGAGAAATGACGATTGAGATCGTTCAAATCAATTGTGTTCTTAAACTCAGGTTGTTGTTTATTGCCAATACCTAGAGTACCGAGAAATTTCCAGATACTGGATGAAGAGGAGGACTCTATGTTTTGAAGAATGTGTTGGCGTTTAGAGTTGCGTATCACCTGATTACACCGATTCCTTGCAGTCTTATAACTGTTCCACTTATCCTCGCACCGGTCTCTCTTAAATCTAAGAAAGAACTGGTCCCTCCGCCTCATTGCTGTTCGGACCTCCTGTGTTAGCCATGGTGCCGGGGCACGTTTTATTTTAATTGACTTGATAGGAGCGTGGACGTCGTACAGTCGCTCAATTGTGTCATTAAAAATATGGACTTTGTTGTCCACGTCGGTAGCTGCTGCCACACTCGTCCAATTTATCTCCGCGTCATCTGCATGTAATTTATAATATTGGCTCAAATAAACACTATTCTATGAACAAAATGCCTTGGAATTATGGAGGTTAGAGGTAAGGAAAACCGTCTCATATTAGAGTTGCGTAGCTCCTGAGTGAGTGATATAAAAGATATTATCATTCACGACGATAAAATGTATCACTCACTCACACTTGCTCCGTATATATCAGTAACTCAGTACTAGCTCACTAGATCACTAGCTCAACGACGCCGATCTTTGTTTCATGAGCGAGTGAGACTAAAGATAAATGATCGGATAGATGATGGTTGAGTTCACGCAAGTTTCTTTATGCTAAATGTACATTATTTCTATAGGATTAAAGTTTAATATTACTTAAGAATTAAGCCTGCCAAGTACAAGGAAAATCAAATTATGTATGATTTCTATTATACAACCTAAAAAAAAGTACAAGATATAATTTCTTATTTTTAAATATTATATAAAAGGGTGTTAATAATTTTGTAATCTTATCAAAATGAATAAAATTGTATTTAAACAAAATTTTAAAAAAATAAATGTGGTTTCAAAAACTGAATTTAGGTTAATATGAAAATAAAGAAAGGTTTGTGTGGCGAGAGAGGCTTAAAGTGAGTGATGTACGAGTATACTGAACAAAACGATCAAGATGAAGAAATGAATTAATTGAGAGACCAATCAATTAAATCGGATCAATGAGCTAGTGAGCTAAACGAGTTAGTGAGCTAAATGAGCTAGTGAGCTAGATTAGTGATATATATCTTTTGAGCAAAATGATATGTATCAATCTTTTCAGCTCAGTGATACATTTTGCGCATCACTATCTCATATAGTGGGAAAGCTGAAAAAGTGTCCAGCTGTATACTGAAAATAGAGGTCGCTGGCGTACGATAAACTAAGATATGAATATAGCTGTTGTAGAAGGACTGAAGAGTGTGAATTCAAATTTAAAAAAAAAACATGAACAGAGTAGTTAGTAGTAGTAGTTAGTAATGCCAGTATATACAAAACCTCAACTATTTACGTAGTCTAAAATAATTTACTAAATATAACCAAAAAACTGTTGTGAGGAAACGTGATTTGATTCTTTCTTTAAGATTTATCCTATGCTACCGCAGGGCCTCCCTTCTTAGACGCGTTTTTAGGAACACTTATTCATATTTAGATACGGTACTTCTTACCTTTCATTCTCGGCATTTTATCATAGCCTTAGCAAGTTTTAGTGAGAATAAAAAGTTTTGTAGTTTTTTCTCACCCCCAAATTAGAAGAAAATGGCAACTTTTGCAATACCAAGTCAAAAACTATCGTGTAAATAATAAAACGTTTCATTCCTCACTTATCAGAAGTAATTATTGAGGGTATAGGCAAGGAGAAACATCTCTGTGTGTAAAAAGTGTCCGTCAAAATGCGTTAAATTCCGGCGCTACAGTAGCATAGGGATATTTTTCTAAAGAAAGTTTAAATTGGCTTAACTAATAATTAGACACTTGTACTAGACTGCGAAAATATTCAATTAGTGTTACAGTCAATAAATAAATGTGTAATAACTTTCAAAGAACAATTTATTTATACGAGAATGGGAAATCAAATACTTAGGAATAACCTTATACAGATTAAAAGAAAGTGGTTCCAAATCTTCAATTGGATGGTTTTGATTAAAAAAAAAAACAAGCAAGCCTTATCGCCATAGAGAAATAAGCATATAGAGAACACGGGTACAGCCTATAAGTGGAAGCGATACTGGCGACGAGAGAGATGGATGCCCGATAATTCCCTCTGTTTCTGTTTACCTAAGCTGAGATTGGCTATTGTAAAGTGATCATGGTTTTTATCGTAGAACAGGCGGGAGATTAGAAATTTCCTCAGCCAACCACAGAACTCGACTAGAAAGAGACAGAAGGAAATATCCACTATCCATCTCTCTCTTACCTATATTGCAATATTGGGGCTCTTGTAAACGCTATGATTATATATACTGCCCCCTCTAACAAAAAAAAAAAAACACAGTAGTACATCCATATATTTTGTAACATCTAATACCACCGACATACCACTTCCGCCCCTTTTCACGGCATTACTCCTACAGATTGCAGAGAGCAAGACGAAGAATACTAAATATTAAAATAAAATAATAAATAAAACTAATAAACACAAGTAACTTTATTAATTTTTACAATGTTCACATTACAACGAACGTTGTCGAACAACTTTCTGATATACTCGTATCATTTCGATTTTGCAGTTAAATGCTGTTTTATTGCTTTATCGAGTACATCCACGGCCAAATCGACGTTCTCTTTGTTGATGCACATTGGAGGTTTTATCCTCAGTACCTGTGAAAACATTATAACATATCATTTTAATTAAGTACAAAGAAAAAGTGTATAAGTACATAGTACAAGCTCTGCTTAGTTTGAAACCAGATGGCGTTGTGTGTCAGATGCCCGAAATATAATATTGTAAATATTAAAATCAACTCTGTATTTCGGCGATATCTATCCATTTCCATCCACAGTGACCCTTTATCAAGCAGTAAAAAACTTAACACATCAATTGTAGCCGTATTTTACATTTTAAGTTTTTAATTAATAAAGTTCGAGGGTGATATGTCGCTAGAGCAGGATTTTAATAGTCATGCCCCATGATCCCACACCATGGGGGGCGATGTTTGTGAGTCCAACCTCTGAGTTCAAATCTGCATACGCCCCTCATATGTAGGTATAGAGGCCTAACCGTCACCTATTTCCAAATCTTAATATGTAACTAGAAACAACAGTCTTTCTTACATTGCCCCATCTTCCTCCTCGGCCAAATAAAACACCGTTATCTTTAGTTATTTCAAGTATCTCAGACACGTCAGTAACAGGCAAAGCTGTCTTAGTTCCCGGGACGACGAGTTCTATACCCAACATTAAGCCCTTTCCCCTGACGTCCCCAATAACGGGGTGGTGTTTCTGCAGCTGTTGCAATTGTTCAATGAAGTATTTTCCAACTTCTTTACAGTTATTTTGTAGTTGTTCTTCTTCAATGACCTGAAGATTAAAGTAAAATGAGTTAAGAAGGCAAAGGAAGTAGATATTGATCTTGACTACGTAATAAGTATTGAAATGGTCCTCTAGATGATTTCAGTTCAAGGAGTTTATGTATCAAATTTATGATTGCTTTGAAATTGAAAGAAAGAGAACTATTGGTGGACATGGGCCTCTCCTTAAAAGGAGGTTTTGGCCTACTATGCTACTCTGGCCAGACGTGTTGGTATAGGGTTGGTGTCAAGTTTTCCTTCTCTTTGCAGTGATATTGTCCTGCGTAGTTTGCTCCTTTAGTCGGCACTTACGACACCCACGGGATGAATAGGGGTCGTGACACTCTAAATTCTTAAACCGTCACCACACGGATATAAATATACAAGATAGATATACGATGCACACACGGATATACCACACGGATAGGTATAGAGGCAATATAAAATTTTATATGTATATTCCGCCACCCGGCCAGCTTGGAAAATGATGATAGTCATACAACTGTTCATTTCTTATTTTACCCTCTTAGGGGTGAAATTTCCTGGGCACGCCGTTATCGCGGCGGTAAGACCCGTTACGGAGGATTTTCTCGAGAGGCATCACGGAATCCCCTCATACCGGTTGACGCAGGTGATCACCGGGAAAGGATGCTTCGGAGATCACCTGTGTCTGATCCGTAATGACCCGAAGACTGAGTGCTACCACTGCGACGGCCGGACCGTGAAAACGGCGCTACACATGCTGTCAGAATGCCCGGCGTGGGTGGAGCATAGGCGTGATCTCGTGGCGGACATCGAAGTGGGAATACTCTCGCTCGGTAACATGATTGCCGCCATGATACGGAGCGAGAGTGCGTGGAACTCCGGTGTCTCCTTCTGCAAGCAAATTATGCTTGCGAAAGAGATGGCGGAGCGGGACTGGGAGAGGTTTAGGACTGTCCAGGCCCGCCAGGTCCGGCAACGGGCCAGGTACCGCAGACGACTTCCATTTTGCACCCTTAGGGATGGAATTTTTAAAAACCCTTTAATCGTACACACCTACGTCACCTACACAACACACACAACGTTATTGCAAAATTTCATAATTTCATAATCTAGATCCAGTGGTTTCAGCTGTGCGTTGATCGATCACCAACTGAATCAGTCTGCCAGTCTCCTTTTATAGATATAGACTAGGTTACGAACTTAATTTTTTAAAATTTTACTTTTACTCATCTTGAGAAATTGCCTCAATTTTTTTATCGCTCACTCCCGTGTTGGGGATCCCTAGCCTGTGGTGCAATACAATAATACTAATACAATAGATGCAAGGGTCAATTAAGTGAATTATAAAACCATTATGGGGAAGATATTATTACGTCAAGAACTGCTGATCCAACTGCCGATGCCATTGGGTTGCCTCCAAAGGTGTTGAAGTAAGCTGCTTTGGCGTGAGCAGCAGCTATTTCCTTGGTGGTGACTACAGCAGCCATGGGGAAGCCATTACCAATGCCCTTAGCCATTGTCACTATATCTGGCATTATTCCGTGCCCTTGGAAGCCCCAGAAGTGGTCTCCAGTACGTCCGAAGCCAGTTTGTACCTGAAGAAAAGCATGAAAACTAAAAAAAATAATCTAAAATTCTGAAAACAGCAGAAAGCTAATATGGATGTTCTACAGATAGTACTCGTATTAATATATTCTAGTAATAAACTATTGTATCATTTCGTACGGAATGTTATTGTCAAAATACTTTTCAATATCTCTAAGTCGCACAGCAGTCAAGTGGTAGGTATCTTGTCTATTAGTTGCAAACTTTGTTAGGATGTTTTAAACAAATAACTTACTTCATCCGAAACAAATAATCCACCGTACTTTTTAACCAACTGTTGAGCCTTCCTTATGTATCCTTTAGGAAATTGGACGGTGCCGTTGACTCCTTGAATTGACTCCGCGAACATTGCTGCTAGACGTCCCGCCGGGATGGAAGTTTCTAGAACCTGTAATAGCTCAATTTACTATTGACTGAATTATTGACGGCCATTTTTCTTTAATTATATTTGTAACTTTCGTTTTGCCTCAGCTACTGTTTTCTGCTTCACATCAACAGCCTTTAATAGTCCACTGCTGGACATAGGCCTCTCCTTAGAAAGGTGGTTTTGGCCTACTATACCACGCTGGCCAGATGGTTTGGTATAAGGTTTGTGTCAAGTTTTCCTTCTTTTTGCAGTGCTGTAGTCCTGCGTTGTTAAGCGCCCTTAGTCGGCTCTTACGACACCCACGGGATGAATTTGGGTAGTGACATTCCGAATTCTTAATCCGTCACTACACGGACGTTTTCTGCTTAACCAAAATTAAATAAAAACAAGATAAATTAGTAGTTGTTTTTTGTTTTCTAATTGTCTGCTTAAAGTGATTTTGTAAAGTCACAGTCACAAGTTTTTAGTTGCCAATAAAAAGATAGGTCTTAAAAGGTTGGTTACTACAATCTATTACAAAATAAATTTCTAGTTTATATCTATATGAGAAATGGTTACTATTTCTGACCAAATAGTTAGCGAAATACCAATTATGTTGCTCAAAGAAATCTCTGGCATTAAAAACAACTGCGGGTGGTAAAGGAAGGGACCTACTCCGCTAAGTAGATCGGGTGGTGCTTGGATAATGAAGAAGGGTACTTTACCTCATTAAGCTGATGAATATACTTGTCTGCTGAATCACAGTCTTGACCTGTAGTACTGCAGGATGCTCCTGGCACCTGAGAAATTGAATCTCGCCATCCACCCCAATAGCCCCTGAACGGATCTGCTAACGGGGTCTGCACGAAAAAGTAAGATTATTTTATTAAATATGAATAAATAAATTTTCTGCTTAAATAGGTTCATCTTTAACTATCACGTTCCTGGATCTTATTGGATAAATTTATTTTTTATTCATCCACAGATATTTTTGTCCATGAAAAAATATTTGTCCATAAAAAACGTAGCGAGTGTAATATTTCAAAGCTTTGTCACATGTGTTGCACACATAAAGTTTTTTGTTTAGTTTTTGCTTCTTAACTATTCAACCGAGCACGAGATCTATGTTTTTTTTTGTTAGGTACACTAAAATGCACAGATTTGCACATATTATGTACATAGATGCACTATGTGTATTTGGATAGTAAGAGTATTTCCAAACATGACTTACATGATAGAAGCCAGGGGGAACCGGCATGGGCATCCTATAGCTCTGTGAAGCAGTTAGCGCCATGAGTCCAGTGGAATAACCATGATAACTGCTCTGTAGAGATATGATGTCATTGTTGCCTGTGTACGCTTTCGCCAGCAGAATAGCTAAGTCGTTGGCTTCTGACCCACTATTGACTAAGTACACCACCTGGAAATAATGGGCAAACAGTAGGATTAAAGTGCACAGTGGTATAAACTCTTATTATGACATTAAAATTTTATCTTTTTTTATTTTATTGATGCGAACCAGCTTTTCGACTATGTTACATATCAAATGCGACTTATGTAAGGGTCACCCTTTTTTTTAATTGTCACATATTGTAAATTACCTAAATATTGTTTAATAAAAATGAGGTGATATACATTATAATGGTTAGTTATACCAGTTTGATTACGCCTGGACTTGTAATAGCCGGCAATTGTAGAACGATAAAAGAATTTGCATCTATTATAATTCTAATAACTTTCACGAGGGTACGCAGTTACTGTGACTAAGTGAATTTAAAATGAGTGAGTGAGGTACCTAATACAAAAATTGGAGGTCGTATACCTTTAAATCGCCCGGGAATTTCGATACTAATTTCTCGATGTATTCGTAAATCTTGGGTTGTTTGTAAATGTTGGTCGTATGCCATAAAATATTGATTTGATTCTGTAACGCTGCTACAACTTTTCTGAAATACACAAAATATATTTATCAGTATTTGAGTGTTCTGATAAACATTTTTGATGTTTAATATCTTTCTTCTTACACGAAGTGACTTCGTGTAATAGAACGGAAGCATGTAAGAGAAGGCCGCCGGAGAAACGCGCGCTTTTTGATTCGACGAAATTGACTCATTATTTATATTAATAAACTAGTTGACAGAATAAGATAAAAAAAAACACATCATGCGACTATTTTAAGTCTAATGCTTGCTTCGCTCGTTTGTTTTAATTGTCACTTATTGTTGAAGTAGGAAATCTCTGGTGCCAGGTTTTTTACAAACACACTATTTATTGCGCTTAAAGTGCTGAGATTTCAAATAATTACAATAATATTTGCCCCAAAAGTGCAGAAATAAATAGAACTCACTCAGCATCGTTATTGGTGTAGGACTTAACATATTATGCCTGTGCGGTAAAAGTGTTTTTTATTTACTTGTATACTACTGTAATTCATCCACAGTGTTGACCCTGCGCTGATGCGCATTGGCACACGAAATCAGGGTTTACATTTTCAATCGAGCGAAAATTTAAACACATGACGAGTCGCTTTACATTATGTTTCAAGTAATACAATTATAAAATTATACTTTCAGATTGTCTCTATGTAAATAATTGGTTGTATGTAAAATGATTTAGTTATTTGGTTCCTAATTTTGTACACTTTTGTTTGAAGTAGGATAGGTATGATATTAAATTTTAGAAGCATTATGAATATGACTTTTAGAGCTGAAACTATTTGATCAACCTTGCAAGGAAAACAATGCTTTTTCTTATTTGTAAGCAACATGTTATGAATTTTCATAAAAATTGCAATTTTTTTAGGACAATTTTAGACAAACTGAACATCATAGTCGCGTCGTAGTTTACTTTTACGAAATACATATTATTTTAATTGGTCACTTTTTAAGTTTTTTTATTTGTTGAAACTAAGATTTCTGTATTAAAAATCGCGATTTTTTTCCAAATTCGTTAACGTGTCGCACCACAGAATCCGTGAATAACCCATATTCACGGATTCTGTGGTGCTACCGTAAAAACATGTTTTACAGACAATGAGCAATGACCAATTAAGAATTAACAAATTTCTAGTGTTAATAGCTACTTGGATGAATTTTGTTAGTTGAAATTTTTAAGGTTCTCTGAGATATCCATACAGGAATTACGTACGTACTTTTTTAAAACCTATGTAATAACTATAACCCAAATGGCACCTCGCGATTAAATCGTAGGTAGGTACTTACGGGTGACAATGGCCGACCGATACTGTGACGATTCCCGCGAACAAATCAAGGTACTTCTTATTCTCGTGATCATAGAGCCATTGCATGTGACCTTGGTGTAATAGCAGGGGGCGTTTATAAATGTTATACACGGCCGGAGGAAAGTGATCTGCCTTAAGCTGTTCGGTTTTTTCGTACGACGGACCCTGTAAAAATAATAATTATTATTAACAATAAATTGTTTAAGTTAATATAGGTACAGTAACTGTAAGAAACATACAAGGCTTTATGGATATATTCGTGATAAGCTTCCGCGTGTATCCCCGAAGGGGGATTAAACTAAATTTTAAGAGATAGTTTATAATATGCTCGCAAATTAACTTGGCAAAAGTAAATAAACATTAAATCGGTAAAATTTCACTGAATTACTTCATAAGCTAATTTAAAGATTGTCTTCATTTTTATAAAAAAAAATTGAGCCAGCCATTTCTAGTTAATAACATACAAACACACCAATATGTACCTACCTACTTATAAAAGGCAATCAATAGGTAGGTATGTGAAACATTTGTTATTCAGAAACGTAAAATATACCTCTTATTTACCTAATGTCAACTGCTGGACCATGACCCTCAGAAGAACAATTAGAAGCGAATCTGTGTCCACCAAATGTCTGAATTCCCCTCTATTTTACCGTGCAATTTTCACGTAAGAATACATCAAAAGATACAAGGAATACCTATCTCGTGTCTTTTATAAGATTAAAATGATAATTAAAAGCTCGTGAGGCTCGTGTGATAATTGAGTAGCTTAACACACTGCAAAGTTAAGCAATTCTAAACAAGTCAGTCTTTTGACGGGTGTCCATTCTTAGCACGTTGAGACCCCTCGATGTTTTGGTGAGCACGTTATGCCATCGCTGCCGGTTGCCATATCAACATCGTAGCAACCGTTACGGGTAGTTGTGGAGCCCTAAATATTCCGACAATAGTCTGTCCTAGTAAAAAAAAGCGAAGTACAGCCGTATCGTGGTAGACTTAAAGCCGACCCCTTCCTAGTTTGGGAAAGAGGCTCGGAAGATCAATTAAAAGCTCTCTTACCTTATATTCTTTAGGAACAAAATTACTGGCTTGCCTGACATGGCCAGTAAAGCAGCACCTGGAGAAATTTTTGGAGCAAAGAAGGAAAACTGAAAAACAAATATACACCATTGAAATTGTATTTGCATGTGTACGTATTTATAAGTATAAGTATCTGTGATCTTGAATCGAAGCGAAGAGAATTGAGCGGTAACAAAATATCTAAATCGCAATATTGTTTAAAAATGGCAATGAACGGTATTAACCTTCGTCATTAAAATTACGATGTCAATTTGTAACAGTAGCTTTTTCTAATGTAAATAAAAATTTAAAATACAAAAATTAACTAAATTGGACATACGAAAAAACTGTCAAGAGCTAGTCGAATTCTAGCGTTCTACCGTATAATTATTTTATTTTATTCAAATGTATCTATTGTTAACATAAATATTTTGCCGTGTGGTGAAGGATTCATACAGCACTATTCATTCCATGGGTGTCGTAGGAGAAGGCACAAAGCACTGCAAAGTGAAGAAAAACCTGAAACAAACCTTATACCAACTCGTCTGGCCAGCGTGGTACCTATAGTAGGCCAAAACCTTATTTCTAAGGAGAGGTCTATTTCCAGCAGTAGACTATGAAAAGCTGGTATTATTCGATGATAATGATTATTAACATTGAGTAATGAAACGTCAAAAAACACATTTCCTTATTTTCTAATTTACTTTTATTAAGTTAAATTATTTATTTAATAGATGCAATAAAAATACGCACTATGTGAAAAAATCAAGATTCTTCTCAACGGTAGGTATCTATTTGCTATTGTCAATTACTACAATAATATTCTATTAAAACACATACTGGCAGCGGAGTTTTAGTAAAAGGGTTGCGTTAGCACCCTTGAGTAAGAAACCTAGATGAATAACATTACACTTGTCAAAACACATTGTAGTATTACGTAAATCACAATTTATGAACATTTCATTAATTCAATGTTATGATTACTTTTACATTACTTTTATACATATTTTATATTTATGATTACATAATTTATTGGTTAGGTACCTCTTGCCGCCATCGCGTTGAACTTTAAATAGTCGACTGATGCAGTTTTTAATCATTGGCGTATTCTTCGTTGCGTACAGTGACCCATGACCTCAAGTGAATAAATCTGCACCACTAAGTACTGCCGGGCTCGTCCACAACAGACTTTATTTATTTTTGAATAAATCAAGCATTTTTATACAGATTTTAGGGTTGAATTATATTCGTGCCTTTCTTTGTTACACCGTAAGGTTTATTCTATTTATTTATTGAAACCTTAAATTAATCATATGTCAGATTTAATTAATAGGTATTTAATTATTAATATATAATATTAATATATGACATTTATTTAATCAAAGATTAAAACTTTGGTAGGTACCTATAAATTTAATACCTCAGGCATTTTTTTAAAGTAAATATTAATGACTGATGGGTTTGATTCAATTTCTGTCATGTTATCACAGAACAGTAATACTATTAGCATTTTATGCTCATGATGTTTATTTGTGTTACATTAATTTATTGTGTTGTTTAAAGATTGCTTAAATATCTTCTATTCTCCTCTCCTATTACTACTGTGCCCGATAGGGTACATGATTGTCAACGTACCATAAAAAAAATTTTTGGTGGCAAAATCCTTCGAATCACCGGCGCCTTGGGGACTCAGAAGTCAGGCGTGTGTGGTGTCTTAAGATTGGACCTCCTCAGTTCATCAGTCACTTTCTGGAGCATTACAGGTACACAGAAGCCGAGAAGAGCCCTCCTGACTCGCCAGCATGGCAGTAATGATTGCTAGCAGAGACAGATCTCGTCCGATTTGATTGACCATGACCTCATTCGCCATTCTGCCAGCGGTTTTTTTTGGGGATAGTCCCAGTCGGCTGCGCAGTGCTGGAGTTGTGCCGTCTCCTCGGTCCGATTCGAAGCAGTTACTACCATACCTACCTAACATGTAACATTATGAAGTGCAAGCAAACAAAGTATATAAGATTTGATTCCAGATACTCTAAGTAATAAAGCACATTGCGTAATAAAGCGATAGCCTAGAACTCAGATAAGCAAATATGACTATATTATGTTTGTAATAACTTTATCGCATTCTCTCTCATTCTCTACTTATAAGTTGTACAATAATAATTTGTAAGGGTGTATTCACATTATTAGCTAATTTGACTGAACAGTCAAATGTTACTGTACGGTCCTTGGAACTCGATAAATTAGAACAAGCGGCTTTTATACTTCATAGTGTTTAGAAGTTGAATGTTTACACTTATCTCTAACTAAACCAATATATATGGGCAACGGATCAAATGATAGACTTCGTTTCAACGTGTTTTCCGAGACCAAGAGGAACCGCTTATCATATTTTAATAAACTTGAAAAGGATGAAAGTTTAAATAGTCGACTGATGCAGTTTTTAATCATTGGCGTATTCTTCGTTGCGTACAGTGACCCATGACCTCAAGTGAATAAATCTGCACCACTAAGTACTGCCGGGCTCGTCCACAACAGACTTTATTTATTTTTGAATAAATCAAGCATTTTTATACAGATTTTAGGGTTGAATTATATTCGTGCCTTTCTTTGTTACACCGTAAGGTTTATTCTATTTATTTATTGAAACCTTAGATTAATCATATGTCAGATTTAATAATAGGTATTTAATTATTAATATATAATATTAATATATGACATTTATTTAATCAAAGATTAAAACTTTGGTAGGTACCTATAAATTTAATACCTCAGGCATTTTTTTAAAGTAAATATTAATGACTGATGGGTTTGATTCAATTTCTGTCATGTTATCACAGAACAGTAATACTATTAGCATTTTATGCTCATGATGTTTATTTGTGTTACATTAATTTATTGTGTTGTTTAAAGATTGCTTAAATATCTTCTATTCTCCTCTCCTATTACTACTGTGCCCGATAGGGTACATGATTGTCAACGTACCATAAAAAAAATTTTTGGTGGCAAAATCCTTCGAATCACCGGCGCCTTGGGGACTCAGAAGTCAGGCGTGTGTGGTGTCTTAAGATTGGACCTCCTCAGTTCATCAGTCACTTTCTGGAGCATAACAGGTACACAGAAGCCGAGAAGAGCCCTCCTGACTCGCCAGCATGGCAGTAATGATTGCTAGCAGAGACAGATCTCGTCCGATTTGATTGACCATGACCTCATTCGCCATTCTGCCAGCGGTTTTTTTGGGGATAGTCCCAGTCGGCTGCGCAGTGCTGGAGTTGTGCCGTCTCCTCGGTCCGATTCGAAGCAGTTACTACCATACCTACCTAACATGTAACATTATGAAGTGCAAGCAAACAAAGTATATAAGATTTGATTCCAGATACTCTAAGTAATAAAGCACATTGCGTAATAAAGCGATAGCCTAGAACTCAGATAAGCAAATATGACTATATTATGTTTGTAATAACTTTATCGCATTCTCTCTCATTCTCTACTTATAAGTTGTACAATAATAATTTGTAAGGGTGTATTCACATTATTAGCTAATTTGACTGAACAGTCAAATGTTACTGTACGGTCCTTGGAACTCGATAAATTAGAACAAGCGGCTTTTATACTTCATAGTGTTTAGAAGTTGAATGTTTACACTTATCTCTAACTAAACCAATATATATGGGCAACGGATCAAATGATAGACTTCGTTTCAACGTGTTTTCCGAGACCAAGAGGAACCGATTACCACATTTAAATAAACTTAAAAAGAATGAAAGTTAGGTGATTTCTAAAGCTTGATGATAAATCTGTGCTTTCATGTTCTTCATTTACCGTAGAAGGGTCTGGCTTCGGCACAAATGGGCCGGCTCACATAAAACCCATGTACACGTTCACTGTTGTCATCATCATCATCACCAACAACCTTTAATAGTCCTCTGCTGGACATAGGCTTCTCCGTAGAAAGGAGGTTTTGGCCTACTATACTACGAGACCCACAGGATTTTTAATCATAGAGTTTTATTATTATTATTTTTTATGGTCGGAATGCTTTCCGCACCATACCCTTCGTTTGGGAAACAAAGGGCGTGTGCGGGACTCCCGGAGAATCGTACTACCCACTAAACCCCGCTGCGGACTATCTCGGCAGTCGGGAGGAGCTCCAGAAACGCATCGGTGTCTTCTGGAGTCCTCCCACATATGCCGGGGTAGGACGCTGTCGCACCTCTTACTGCTCTACACAGTAAGAGGCTCAACAGCGCGGTCCGGTTTGAACACCACCACCATCATATTTTTTTAATAAGATCCAGATTTTATTTAAAAATTAAAGAATCACAATAAGACGTAACCGTAAAACCAATATTTTCGTCTCTAAACGTGTTTTGACCTTGGATTTGTGACCTTTAGAGGTCTAAATTTGCATACTGAAGGTCATATCTGACTGTAATTTTTCCTCTCTTTTCAATTCCGGTCTCCAAAATATGCAATCCTATTTGAAAATTGCCTTTGACCCCTGAGGTAACCTTCAAGGTTGCGATCAAGGTTACCAATGGATAGCCGGGGAAAATTCCTGCAACTTTTGTGTTTAACGTTTTTCCGAAAAATGCATCCCTAGCGAATTATTCTGTTGATCCGGTACTTTTCTAACACTCTGTATATTTTTATACTGTGTTAGCAGTACTCAGGAGTGCATATGTAATGTATGTGTGTAATGTAACAGCAATACGGGGAACATACGTTTGAGGGTTTAAATGTTTTTTTATTTTCGTTTGTTGCGTACATATGATGTATGATTTTTATTTGTTTGTATAATCTGCAAATATTTGTTTCGCAGTTTGGGTATTTTCTATGTAAGTTTAATGTGTATGTATTTACAGTTTCTTTTTTAAGTACATATTCTATTAGTCAATCTAGCTTTCATAGTAGGCTTTGCTTAGTTTGAAATTAGATGGCGTTGTGAGTCAGATGTCCGAAAATATTATTTTGTTCAATATGTGTGCTACCAATAAATATATAACAATATTATTTTGTCTCTAAAATAAATATTAATTATGAAAAAAATGTCGAAGACGAGTCTGTATTTAATTTAAACTTAAAAATATTTTTATTGACATTAAAAAATAACGTGACGATTTTAAAGAAATTATTTTGAAAGCAATTAGGCTCACGATGGCTCATTCACATTTTATTTTTTTCTAATCAATGTGGAGTTGAACATAAATTGTGCAAAGGCATAAAATAATCATCAATTTAACGAAATGGCATATATTTAGATAAAAAAAAACATTTATACACTCAAACGTTTGTTTCCCGAATTGCCGTTAAGCTATATGTATAATAGCACTCTCGACCGTTACACATATACGTGTAAGCAGCACTCCTGCATAGCACAAAACACAAGTAGTGTGGATTATAGCACGCTCGTGGGGTAGGTACGTGTTTGTAATTGCACTCATGTAAGGAACACAACAGTTGTTTATCCAGCAGTTATGGATCGAAAAAATATCCGTTTGTTCAGCACTGGAGAAAGTTTTTTATAAATACTGGGTGTGTGTTGTAAAGTAGTGCAGGAGTTAGATTGTAAATTAAAAATACGTATTATTGCGTTGCAAGCACTAAATAACCTAACCTCGATTTTCTCTACTTAATAAAATAAAAATACAATAAAATTTAACGTTTTTATTAAATAAAATTCTCATTACGCTCACGTTGTTAAAAAGCTCCCACACAGTTTGTTCCATAATTTACACTCACTAAACACTCAACTTAGTAACTACAAACCACAAAGTCTGTATAAAAAAATCGACTAAAATAAAAATAGACTCCTCATTATAACTTACTAAATTATTTATGAAACATTTATTTGTTTACAGGCATTTAGATAGGATCCATTTTTATTTCAATCGTATCGCGGGAGATCGATCAGCACCCCACGTTGTGCTCCTTGTACTCTGAAGCTCCCCGAAGGTTGACTTAGTCGTCTCCGGCGGATCTCTTTGCTTTCCTCAGGCGAGGAGACTGTTTAGGCGATTTGGGGGATTTTTCTGTAAAGAAAAAATGGAAATTATGAATAAGGTTAAAAGAGGTATTTAAGGCTTTTGTTGAATTTGTGGCTTTAGAATCTATTTGATGTTGTTTCGCCTACGTCCATGATAAATTATACACATACACTCACGTCCTTCATCCCCAAAGGGGAATCAGAGGCATGTTATAAACGTCACTTGCGTAATAGGGGGACAAACCTATTATTGTCAACGGGGCACATGTATTCCTAAATATATACAGGGTGTGAGGGACGGTGTAATGAATACTGAAGTGTATTCAGACCATCATTCTAAGTCGAAAATCATTGGAATTTTCTGGCGGAAAATCCATCAATCTTTTTGTAATTTTACATTTTTTGTTTGGTTAATAATAATACAATCACAACAGAACATTCCACCGATTTTTTAAAAATATCAAACAGCCAAAGCACCCGACACCCCAGCCCCTCCCCGGACGCTAACTTGTGTTATTGTGTGTAGACTATTTGCACAGAATACAAATGTAGTTATTACCTTTTTGTAATTACCTTTTCTAACTGATTGCATCAAACGTTTAATTTATTTCCCTTACACCCTGTACATATTTTAAATAAATTACATCCAAACAGAACAAATTATCGTGTTCATCACACAATATCAATTATATCTTGGATGAAATCGAATCCACTTTTGACTTAGTGTTCAGAATCGCTAACCCATTAGACCAGAAGGCCCGCCAATAAATGATAAGTTGCACTGAGAAAGGCATGAGCACTTACTGAGCTGGTTGACGACTTCCTTGGGCAGCCAGTCGTAGTCGACGTCAGTGGCCGTGCCGCGCTCGAGGGGGCGGGGGGCAGCGCGCGGAGAGCGGCGGCGCGCCAGCGTGGCCAGCGCCTGCTGCCCCAACACCAGCGCCAGTACCACGGCCGCGCCCAGGAACACGTACAGGAAGAACGTCTCGCCGTCCAGACCCTCCGACACCTCTACTATGTTCACCGTCTGGTTGTAGACAGCCTCCTGGCGACGATAACTCACCGTGTCATACTTCTACCAACTTACACTTCTTAGTTACATAACATATGATTATATATATAACGGGAATTAACGAAATTACACAGTAGGTTTTATATATCTTTGAATTGCCTGAATTTTTAGACCAGAAAGTCAATTTTCGTAATAAAAATTTGTTCAGTTACTATCTACTATAAATCGCACAATGTTATAATAGGTATTCTCGTAATAAATTATTAAACATTCAATGTTGACTGTAATGTGATTATATCATACTAGCTGACCCGCGCAACTTCGTCTGCGTCTCTCAATAGTAATAAATTTTCTCCGTTTTTGAAACATTCTTCATTGGTGCTCCGCTCCTATTGGTCTTAGCGTGATGATATATAGCCTATAGCTTTCTTCGATAAATGGGCTATCTAACACTGAAAGAATTTTTCAAATCGGACCAGTAGTTCCTGAGATTAGCGCGTTCAAACAAACAAACTCTTCAGCTTTATAATATTAGTATAGATTGTTACTGAAAGTTGAACTCTGCAGAATACCTGCTAGTCATAATATTTTGCTTTGAGAATCCCTTTTATGACATTTGTGAGATTGTGAGTAGATCAGAACTGAATTTTGAACAAATTTTTAATACGAGAATTTTAACCTTCAGGACTTAGTCTCAGGTGTACCGATATCATCATCATTAACAGCCCTTAATAGACTATTGTCGGACATAAGCCTTTGGCCTTAGAAAGATTTTGGCCTACTATACCACACTGACCAGACGGGTTGGCCAGAGGGCTTGTGTCAAGTTTTCCTTCTCTTTGCAGTGCTGTTATCCGGTTGCTCGCTTAGTCGGCCTTTCCGACACCCACGGGATGAATACGGGTAGTGAGTTACCGTATTCATAATCCTTATGGACTTATATACCTAATTATTAGTATTTCGACGTTCTTACGACTAGGGTCTGAAATTTGGTAAACTTTTACTTACTTGGTAGAAATTGCCACTGGCATCCCTGTAGTTAAGCTGAATGTTCAAACCAAAAGGTCGGCCTGCAAATCCTTCGTTGGGAATAAATGAGTATGCAAAAGTGGCTTCTTGTTTAGGCTTCACTTCTTTATTGTAAGGCAATGCGGTGAAGTTCTGGATGTAGTATGTGTAGTCCATGGGATATCTGAATGAGGCCTCCATGGATTCTACCAAATAATCCTCAGCACCTTTGTTGGTGAAACCAACAAAGAATTCCACTGGGAAACCGGCTTGAAGGTCTGTTCAAAGAGTTTGCAGTTTAGAATTATATTAATTATGTGATTTATAAGTAGGAATATTAATAAAAGCTTTAAGTGTACATGTCCTACCAAGTTATGAAATTATTAAGTAATACCAAACAAAAAATATGACATAGAATTTGTGTGATTTTGTGTGATTTGTGTGAGAGATGTGTGTAATTAAAAATGTATTGATTCAATTTGAAGATATTTAATGGCTTTTTGTTTTAAAGCAAAACTAAACTCAAGTATCCTTCTTATTTTAATATTATGAATATGTAACTAAATTATATATAATCTATATTTAAGAAACAGATAATCTTAAAAGGAGTGTTCACAACATTGGCGTTTCGTTTCGCAACAAACTTATGTATCTATATAATTATCAGGAGCCTAGCAGGCTATAATTGAAATGGGCAATACAAAGGTGTGTTATTTCTACATTAAATGTGTTTCATGGAATGCAATAGTTTAAAAGGTAGGATAATCTGTATGTGAATGATATTGCTCTTTTCAATTCCTAAAACCCTCATTCTGTGTTTATGTAATAATAATAATATTCCAGACATCTGACACAACGCCATCTAGTTTCAAACTAAGCCGAGCTTGTACTATGAAAGCTAGATTGACTGATAGAATACTTATATGCTTTTTTTGTAAATACATAAATATTATACAAAGAAACAGCCGAACTCAAAAACAAATATTTGCAGATAATACAAACATTTGATCTGAGCCGGGAATCGAACCCAATACCTCAGCACAGCAGTCTCATACTGTACCACTCAACCAATCGGTGGTTCAGACAGTGGTGTACAGAAATATAAGCTTGAGTACTAAAATATTTTCACAATGATCTTACCAAAAGCAGTATCTCCGTAAGTAGTGATAGGCTTGGTGAACAGTATCGTAGTATCAACATCTTGTGATGATTTCACTACTGACTCATCGTCGTCTCCAAGTGCATCTTCACCAACCACCTGGTTGTCTTCACCTTCAATATCAACCACATCGTCAAGTTCATCTTCCTCTGCCCTTGCTAAGATTGTGTTTGCTGGAATGAAGGAAAACATAATAATATAATATTATTTCAGACATCTGACAACGCTATCTAGTTTCAAACTAAGCAGAGATTGCACTATGGAAGCTAGATTGACTGATAGAATACTTAAATACTTTTGTTTTTTGTAAATTTATAAGACTTACATACTATAGTTAGAAAACACCCAAACACGGAAACAATTATTTGCAGATCATACAAACATTTGGTTGGACCTGGGCATCGAACCTGAGACCAAAGCAAAGCAGTTGCATACGCTTCCACTGTGCCACCAAGGCAGTCAAAAATATATATTTTTATAGTTATTATGTTGTCTATAAGTGAATGCTGTACATATCTATAATTAGAGTAACACCAACTAAATTTTAAACAATTAACAATATTTGTGTTTTGTGATGGCTATATTTGTTGGGCATTTGTTTGGCCATATTCAATGGCAAAATAATCTATTTTATTCTACATTTATTACAATTATTATACTCATATGATTGTATGTGATGAAGATAACGTTATAACAAACTTATACCTGGCATATGGATAATAGAAAAACATTCAAAATTATGTACTTTTTTCAAAATTGCATTGCCATTGAAAGGTCTGGCATAAATAGGTACCCCCTAGCATGGAAGACAAAAGACAATGTAAAACCAATGATATATTAATTTAGCTTGAAAATATATCTACTAATGTTCTATAGAAATTATAGTCATTTAAATTCTGTACAGACTGCAGAAATTTATAAAATAGAACCCCTCCAGCATACAGTGATATAACTTTGCCAAGGCAATAATTCAATACAATTGTTTGTGCAAAAAGAATTAAATTTAAAATAGAAAATGGTTGAAGTCATGTGATCATTCATATTCGATAACTTTCTCTCACAAAATAGAAGATATATGATGCCACGTACTTGAACCTTTATAAATCAAACAATTTAACAAATATTTGTTTTACTTACCGCTCTGGAAACATAGGAGAGCTGCCGGCAGAACCAGACAAGTCAAATATATTAACTTCATTTTGATTTAATGTGTAAATTTACTATTTTATTACTATAAACTCCACAGCGACTACTCAACGAGATAGTAGGCCATTCACTTTTGTTACAGTCGGCTCAACGGTGCAAGAAACTTAAGGCAAAATGCCAATTTTCTTTCCAACTCGATTGACGTGGAATATTATGTCACTAGTGATGTGGCACTTTGTGAACAATTGTGAACCTGAAAGATTTGAGATTAAGGTAAAAATAATGTTATAATATATATATAGTAAATAATATTCAAGTCATTTAAAATTAGATTACTTAAATTTTATATATTTTTTTTATATTAAAATTTATCAACAAACTAAACAAATAACATTACAGTTACTTAACTTTTTCTTTCTTGTATGAAACAATTTAGTGGCTGAATATACTAAAAGTGACAAACAACTAAAATAAAGTCTTCTCTATCTGATTAATTTTAAAATAAAATAAATTTTAACATGCTTAGTACTAGTAAGAGTACCGGTAGTAGTAATCATAACTTTGAAACACATTAGTAAATAATAGTTTGATTTACAATTATTTACAATTGTGTATGATAAATTTTTAGATGATTTTTAGAGCGCAAAACAAAAACGGAAAAAGAAACGGTTAAAGTTCAAAAGGAATTTTAGAGAATTATAAAAGATTTATAGTTATAATAATAGTTTAATACGATTTTTTGTTAGTCATTCACAAAATTGAACTTCCATCACATCAACATCCTTTAATAGTACACTGCTGGACTTCCTATCCTAGGAAGGAAGTATGGGCTTACTATACCACGCGGGCCAGACGGGTTGGTATAATTTGTTTCAAGTTTCTTCTTCTTACAGTGCTTTTGTCATGCGTAGTTTTACACCCACTTGATGAATAGGGGTGATGAAACTCCGTATTATGTATGGTGTATAGTCATAAATAATTATTAACTACCTTTTTAAAAGTTTTAAAATTTTGTTTATTATTATTTTTTAAACTTTTAAAGTCAAGATTAAATATATCATCAACAGCCTTTACTAGTCCACTGCTGGACATGGGCCTCTCCTTAGAAAGGAGGTTTTGGCCTACTACACCACGCTGGCCAGACGGGTTGGTATAGGGTTTGTGTCAAGTTTTCCTTCTCTCTGCAGTGCTGTTGTCCTGCGTACTTTGCTCCCTTAGTCGGCTCTTACGACACCCACGGGATGAATAGGGGTGGTGACACTCTGTATTCTTATTCCGTCACCACACGGAATATATAATCGAGATTAATAGTTATGTTGTATCTAGTGTATTAGTAAAAAAACTGTTTCAAAGTATTTTTGAATGCAAGTGTACTACGTATTTATTAGTAATTTGGATAGTAAATTTCTCAGTCATAGTATCGAGAATAGTGTTCCCGAGGACTATGGGCTTTTAGCCTTTTTTTTAAGGCTAGACTCGTAATTAAGGGGCCCAAGCCTTTAATGACTTTTAGTTCTTTAGGCTAAGCCTATTCAAGACCCTTGGTTTTAGGTTAGCTTTTTTAAGGCTAGTCTAACATTAACGCTTATTAACACTCTGAAAGGGCTATGAAGGCTATGAAGCTTTTAGTCCTCGAGGCTGTAGCTATATAAGTAATTATGACTTTTTTTTTTATTGTTAACTCTTTATTCGATGTCTCTTAAATATTGTCGATTTTTCGCAATAATTTACTTTTCAGTGAATGCTCCTTCCAAAGCTCTTAAATAATTTTTAAATTGATCCATTTTTTATGCGTTTAATTTGAAAATGTAACAAAAAAGAAACTGAACTGTGTCTATAAGTATTTAAAGTTTAATAATCTGAAAAGTTCTACGTTAAAACCAAAAGTACATCGGTTGAGTTCATGTTTGAGTCAAACAACCGGGACAATATGGCATTTGATATTTTATCTATATCTGATACAAGTGTTCCCAGTGACCAATCGTTTTCCCAAGCAGGAAATTTAATTAATAAGAAAGGAAATCGCCGGCCTAATAAAAACATTAGTTACTTAATGTGCCTTTCCTCGTTGCTAAATTGATTTCGCGATACTTAGGTAAAATTATATATTTTTTTCTTTTTCTTAAAATAAATGCAAAATAATAAATGTTTTTTTTCATATAATGGCTTACTTAGACTGACGCTCCAAAATGCCCTAATGCTTTAGCCCTAATATAAGTCTGTTGTTCAAAAAAGTCTCCAATCGCAAGAAAAGCCTAAAGACTTTTTCAATTGCCGAATCTTATTTTTTTTTTTAAGATGGCTCTATAAATGGACCAATAGGCTTTTTAGGGCCAAAGGCCTAATATGGCCTCGGGAACACTAATCGAGAATGCAAACTTTACTACAATTTTTATCTACATTTTACGTTAACGTAACGTCACTTATTTCAGTTTTATTCTGGTTCATAGTGTTTTGTCTATGGTCACTTTACTTGACAAGTTCTTTTCTACGCACGCCGTTCGAGGTGCACGTGTATAATTCACGAATTGCTCGATATCTAAACCAAAATGGATAAACCAAACGTTCTTGCCCGCGTCGTTAAGGTCCTGGGCCGTACCGGCTCCCAAGGACAGTGTACTCAGGTGAAAGTAGAGTTCATCGGAGAAACCAGCCGTCAGATCATCAGAAACGTGAAGGGGCCAGTCCGTGATGGTGACATTCTTACTCTTCTGGAGTCCGAACGTGAAGCCAGGAGACTGCGATAAGCGGTAAACATATTTGTGCGATTAAAATTTGTCGTGGACAGAGGAAATTAAAAATGAAATTAATACATAAAAATTATGCAGGTTATGTCGTGTTTTACAGGCTGAATTGTTTGTTTCATTTGAAAATTACATATAAATATTTCAATATAGAGAGAATTAGAGTAATAGCAATGTAATTGCACGGACTAGAAGCTGTTTTTACTAAAAAATTCGTGATATTTGGCGTGACATTTTACAATTAAAATTTAACACAAAAATCATCACAAGTGACCTTTATACTGTAAGCAATCACGCTTAAATCATGTTAAAAAGAAAACAAGTTTTAATGTCATCAAAAACCCTTTTTTTCATATATTATAAAATTTTATCTTCTAAGAAGTATGAGTAAAAACATTAAATACGTAGCACACTTTGTTTGTGAACAGTTTCATATTAAGATGAGCGTTCAGCTATTATACTCTCATTGTAGGGAAAAATTTGTGATCACTCGTACAAGTCATGTAATATTAACTTTCTTAATTTGAAATTATTCGTAAATTTAAAAACTGTCAAAATTTGAATTGTTTTTTTTTTCTTATTGTTGCAGATTTATGTAGCAGCACATTAGGTTAAGGCTCGTTATTTACCAACTATCCAGTATGTGTTAACTTTAAGAAACCGTCAAAGATGACCATCTCATGTACTCACACATAATAAACAACTTATCTGTGTATTCAATTGTTTTATTTCTATAAATACTTTTAACCTGATCTGTGCTTAGTCGTACCAATATAATAAAGCTGAAGTTAGTTTGTTGGTTTGGTTGAACACACTAATCTCGGGAACTAATGGTTCGTATTGAAAGTTGGAGAGCCCATTTATTGTGAAGAATAATAATGTAATTTATTTCAGAAAACTTGTTCCACATACAATAAGAATAATTCATTACGTCATATCATGAATTACAACTTAAAATAAATAAATAAAGATATTAATATTTGAATAAACTATTACATTACTTAATTGTTTAAGATTAAAATTAAGACGTCACAAAAATTAGACACAGGTCTGTGCGTTCACCGCAAAATGATACCATTTGTCGTATCATGTCAGTTTAAGAGCACCTCCCTAACTGCCTTAGACAGCATCGGAATCCTAGGCATCGACATATCGAGCCAAATCCGGTTTCGGGGTCACTTAGAGGGTAACGTCAAATTGGCCTCGAAGAAGTTTGGTGTGCTGAACAGATTGAGGCAGTATTTCACTCCTGCCCACCGCCTTCAGGTCTAGCAGGCGCAAGTCCGGCCGCATATGGAATACCGTTCTCATCTCTATGCAGGGTAACAACTCCGGAGTGAGCTAATCGAAGGGCTTAGCAGCACCATATCGTCCGCGTAACTGATGTTATTGACGTCGACGCCATCGATTGAACATACCGCATGCATCCTGCTGAGCTCTCGGATCAGCCCGTCGACATAAAGCTTGAAAAGCCTAGGAGTGGTCAATTTGCCCCTTTGCCTCACCCCGCACTCCAGCCTATACTCCGCCGAGCATTCGTCCCCCATCTCACACCGTTATCCTGATTCTCATACCAGTGCCTAAAAAATCTTTTGAGCAAAATAAAGGGGGGGACACCCACCCTTTCCAGGTTATCCCATAGCACTGGATATGACACCAGGTCGAAGGCCTTGGATAAGACCAGGAAGCATGCATACACTGCTTCTGCTGATTCTATCGGTATAGTATAGTAGAGGGTTATATCATTACGCTACCACTGTTAGGAGCCGAGCATCAAGGAAAAAGTTGCAGAAATGGGGAAAATTTATTACTTGATTATCATGATTAATATAATACATTACTGTGACTCAACTCAAATTGACTCGACTTTTTAAGTGGGCAACTACTGCATTATTAATATATCCTGTGTCGCGGAGGACTTTACAAACTTATACGAAACGGACGCAAAGAACACCCAGACTCAGAACAACAATTTGTGGATTACACAAAGTGTCGTCCCATGTGGGGATCGAACCCGAAACACTCAGCGTAGTAGTAAGCGGTGTGGCGACCGCTTAAACCACTACGCTATCTGTGCAGTCAAATTATTTGTGATTCTTTTGAGAGTTTCTGACAATGTGCCCGTGACGTCTCAATTTATTTTTATCTGTTGTTTTCTTAAAAAAGTCATTTTTGTATAGAAAAACATCGATGAAACCGACCAACTTTCCTATTTTAGTTCTATAATTTTTACGACTTACAATAACGTAAAATGGAACGTATTTTAATTCACCAATCAGCGCTAAGTAACACGAGTGACGTCGATTAATGTTATGTCAGAATTTCATCTGAAGCTGTAGTTTTCAAAGAACATAAACATAATTTCACCTCATTTTTCACCTCATTTAAACAGTCAAGCGAGCGTCGTAACGGACCACGAGGCAAGCAACAAGACGCCTAGGTGCGGCGTATGTAATCTAAGAGAAAGAAATCCCTTTTTCTTAGTATTTAATCGTAGTTGCTGACTCCCCTTGCTACTTGCAGAGCTGACACATACACATACCAATACAGTCGACTCTCGTTAATTCGAAACTTGAGGGACTCCTAAAATATTACGAATTATCGAATGTTTGAAATATCAAATGGTTCGAAATTTGTGAGAGAAAATAAATAAAACTTCGAATTACTAAGTATTGATCAATAATTATTTATTAACTGCTATTCTATAACAATGAAAAAAGTTTAGAGTGTACATACATACATGTACCTGCATTCGAATACATACATACATAAACCTATTCATAATGTAAATTAATTAATGTTTCGAAAGAACTCTGTTATACTGGTTTGCTTCAAAACACATTGCTGCTGCTCAGACTGCTCAATAACTTTTTTTAAGAGAAAAAGTGCCTGAAATGCTTTTTCATCACTTTCATTTTGTAGACAGAAGCGTTTTAAGGTATCGAATGATGATCGTGCTTCCTTAACTGACACCTCTGTTAAAGGTTCTGATGTATCGTCCTCATCTTCATCGTTGCTTTTTTCATTCGTATCTGTCGCAGATAAAATTTCGCCATCGGTTAGTGCACCTGAGACAGCAACATCGTCATCCACTTGAACAAAGTCAGAAAAACTCACACCGCTGATGTTTACTAATGGTTCTATTGCTGATTCTTCATAATCCATAAGTATTGGAAAATTTTCTTTTAAGAAACCGGATTTTTTGAAGCAGTTGAGAATCGTTAGGAGTGTTACAGCTCTCCATACCTTGTCAATCAGTAAAATAGCTGTCAAAACCGTGATATTCGCAGTTAGCTGCTTGTCAAGAGATTCGAAAACGATCTTAACTATTTCTTTGCGATAGAACGTCTTAAAATTATAGATAATCCCTTGATCCAATGGTTGCAATTTCGAAGTTGTATTCGGCGGAAAGAAGTAGAGTTCCACGTGGGACAATGTAGGAGGACTGTTGTGTACAGTACAATTGTCTAAAAATAGTAAAATTTTCCGCTTTTGTCGTTTCATGTCCCCATTAACTGTTAAAAGCCAATTGTTAAAAAGTTTTGTCGTCATCCAAGCTTTTTTGTTAGCACGATAATCAGTGGGAAACGATTTCACTCCTTTGAAACATCGCGGTTTCATTGCTTTTCCTATCACTAAGGGCTTAAGTTTTTCCGATCCGTCCATATTTACCGCAAGTAGAACTGTCAACCTCTCTACTATGTTTTCCCCCGTGACATTTTTCATCTTTAAAAGTAAGCGTCTTGTCCGGTAAACATTTGAAAAATAGGCCAGTTTCATCAGTATTAAAAATGTCTCGGGCATCATAGTTTTCAATCAAGGTCTTCAATTTACAGTGCCAATCTAAGCAAACTGCATTATCAACACTTCCACTTTCTCCACAAACTTTTTTGAACACAACTCCATTTCTCTTTTTGAAATTCGTAAGCCACCTTTCACTTGCCGCAAAGTTTTTGATACTTAGAGTAGATGCGAACTCTTTTGCTTTTTCCTTCAACAAGTTTCCGCTAATAGACACTTTTTGTCCTCTACACTGTCTTAGCCAAATGACCAGGCTTTCTTCCAGACGAGGAAATTCACCTTTAGTAGTTCTTTTCCGTACTCCAGCAGTTTGAGCAGAATTAATTTTCTCCTTGTGCTTTATTATGGTTGAGAGAGTACTCAGAGGAATCTTAAATTCTTTTGCAACATCACTTTTCTTCTCACCTTCCTCTACTTTTTCGATTAACTTCTTCTTTTCAGCAATCGTCAAACATTTATACTTTCTAGGACTCATAATTAACACAAACTTTTAATATGCATACCAAAGAAAGACTAACAGTAACTGAAACATAACTAAACAAACCAATTCGTGCGGAAGGGGAGTTTAACTAATCATAACAAAAACAAAGGCTCGTGTTTGTTGATACAAGTTTGAACTTGTCACAAAATGTACTTACATTACAATCATTCGACCTCTTTCTCTCTGCAACTTTGAATTGTCGAGTGTTGGACGCCGATGAGTTCGAATTAACGCGTCGTTTTATTATATAGCAATTATTTTTTCGTTCGAATTACCAAGTGCATAAAAATGTATTGATTTAGTTCGAAATATAAAGAGATTTTGTAGGGAACTCGTGATAACTTTGAATTATAGAGAGGTTCTAATTATCGCAGGTTGGAATTAACGAGAGTCGACTGTATAACACATAGTTATCACAGAGATAAATAGTGATCCTAAACGAGTTCTTTAAAAGTACCTACTGACTTTACCTGCCTTACAGTTTCCGGTAATGTATTCCAGAGGCGTGCTGCTTTCGCCGTAAAAGACGTATCGGTAAAAGTTGAGGAGTGTATTGGAATTTCTAAGGTTAAATTTTCCGATGATCTTAAGTATCGAGTATGTGTGTCATGAATAAATGCGAAACGCTTCTTTAAGTAGGTGGGGTTGTAGGATTAAATAGAGTATTATACAGTAATGACAGGATGTGAGTATTCCGGCGAAGCCGAATTGGGACCCACTTGAATTTTGTTTGTTTGTTTGTAGTCGAGGCCGCTAATAAATAAATCAAAATTTTTCCATTATTGCTGTCTCAAAGTGAACTGAACGCTTCGCGAGAGTGTGAACGATACTTATCTCACATTTCTACTTTAGCTCATCTATTTATTTTTCTGGTAGTTAATTTTTTTTATGCAAGTGTATTAGATAGCGTAACGTATTCTCTAAAATGTACTTTTACAATACGACTATGAAGAAATGGATATCGTACCAGTACCAGCTTTAAATAAAAAAGTAATTTGATGGAAGCTGTCACTCCTATTTCACCCTTTTTTTTCTTTTTTTCCTTGGGGAAATCCCCTTGGATACCACCTCTCGGTGGCTTGTCGGACTCGAACCGACTAAAACCGCACGCCGTCTCGGGTATAATAGCCCGGGAACCAGGTATACCCTAGAAAGGAAGTCCCTGGTGCTCCTATTTCACCCTAATAATTTTACATGGCAAATATTTTTAACAAAATTAATAGGTACTTACGTTTTTTTATTAAATTTTTTAATTAAAACCATTTTCTCTTACCATAGAATCAATAAGAAGTTACGTAGTAACTGTACTACGTAACGTCTTGTGGTTTTGATCTATTTTTATTCTATTCTAACTAAGAAAATAATTATAAATAGGTGTCTTTTTTGTGTGCGTTACCCCAGCAAAATAATGTCGAAAATGGTCATTTAAACGTTATAGATAATTAGTTGCTCCCCTTCTGTAATTGTTAGGCACATTTTTAAATTTGTTTCACTTAAACTTTTTTAGTTATTTCAAAAAAACATTTCCTGCTGGGGTAACGTTTGAAACGTTACCGCAGCTAGACATTTTCTTTTTTAATCGTAATATTGAAATAAATTTTAGATAAATAATTAGTTATCTGGACTAGGTAAATGTTACAACTTATTTGGTATTTGTATTTTCTTCGGCTGCGAAGTTATTCGAGATCCTGCTGGAGTAACGTTTGTGGGTTTGCTGGATCTCTGAAACGGGTAAGCGGATTGTAACCATCTTTTGTACATAACTTCTTAAGGATTAGTTTTAATTTGTTCGACAATAAAATAACAAAAATAATGGACCGTTTAAAAATTATTTAGGTAAGTATGAAAACACTTCAATACGTCCTAACACTTTAAATAAGACCTCTAAACACTTATTTGAAACGTTATTCTATTGCTTGTAACTACCTTCAAATGTATACGAATTTTCGTAAGAATACTGTAAGTGACTAAAAAGTTATGATGAAATGTAGCTCTCCACGTTCACGATCACAATGTGTGCGGCCTTTTTTGGCCACCGATAAACCTGTGTGTGGATATATAAACTGAATGTTATGCCAATAATTAGTTGTTTAGTTCAGTTGTCTACCTGTAAAATTTCAGCGTCGTACATATAATAATTTACGAGATAATTAAATAAAAGTCATTAGAAGGTGCAAGACCGTGGTTACCCGACCATGTTTAGGTGATTAAAAAAAAGCGATCACCCAGTACATTGTGCTGGCTTTTAAAATATGTAGGATATTATTTGCAAGTTTACTACGGATAGGTACATCAGTGTTACAAAAAACTACGTTTTTAAATAATTTTCATTTGGGATTGTTTATTGCATAATTAGTAATCAGCCGGGAGATTAGGTATTGTTTTGAATGCTTTTGTTTTCTCGTAATGTTTAGGTGAATTGTTTATAGTTGTTCATAGAATTGGTACCTGTGTAGTATTTGTTAATTGAAGTGTAATTTTAGGGTAGGTATAGGTAATTTAAGTTTTGAAGAGTGTAACGTATGCGTTGTAAATAGGTATTTTGTGAATAGATTGGGATTTTTTTAAAGTCATGAATCGACTTAGGCTAGCGAACCATATCGCGAACAAACTCTGCATTGCATTATTTCTGTAATAATGTTTGAGAAAATAAAATATTTGATCACAAAATCGCGGTGAGTTAAATTATAATAAAATAAATTATTTATGTAAATTTAGTAATAAGTGAAAAACCTACCTACAAGTTATGATCGTTTTTAATTTGTTCACCCCGAACGAAATTTCAATATTAGCATTAGTAATTAATATCCTAAGACAAGAATTGACAATTACTTAAATTGAGTCTAATTAGCATTAATGCCCATTATTAGTAATTAGGTACACACATATTGAAGAACTCTCAAGAATACGATAAATATTTGCAAAAATAGAAAGCGGAAGCGCACACGCACTTTACAAGACGTATATTATCTGCCTAAGGGTCAAGTTTAGTGCACTAGATGCAAATTGCAAACAATGAAGTATCCCTTCGCCCCTCCCCTCCCGCGTTCTAGCGAAGGATGTATTATCGGCGATTCTTGATTGACAAATATTATCTGACCAATAATTTTATCTATAAAAATGTATCACTTTCACTCGATTAATTAAATTACCGTTATTATATCAAAATATCATTCAACAACTGGTCGTTTTTAACAGAAATCAACAGTCACGGCACGGTACAATTATAATACAGTACTCCAACTTCATACAAACGGACGAAACGCGAGCTATACCTACGCGCCTCGATCTCGGGGTGCGCTCGGGGCGCAGACAATCACGGCTGTACCGCAGTGTCGAACGGACGGTGTGTTGTTTTTTTTAACAATAACCGCGCGATTTTTTCTCTAAAAATCAGTTAATATGACGAGTAGGAAATATTGTGCTGTTTTTGGTTGTATGAATTCGTCAATAACGCATCCAGACATAAGTTTTTTTAAATTACCTGGAAACTCTGAAAGGTAAGACTATAAAATAATTTTACTTACTAGTAGGTAGGTACATAATGTGTGTCTTTTTAATGGATAAGTATTTCCTTTTATCTTACGAAAAAAAAGGTGTTTGGATTAATAAAGCGAATAGAGTAACGGAAAGTTCTTGAGACGAGTGAAATAGGTAGTTATATGCGGTTCTGAATGAATCATGATACGGTAGGTACCTACCTACTTACGCTTGTGTTAAAACTTCGGTGCATGTGTGTTTTGTTACTTTGCATAATTCAAAGTAAAGACGTGGTATTTTATTTTTAATAATATTTGTTTATTATCTGTGTGTATAAATAATACTAGAAACAATTTTTTACCGTCAGTGTGTCATTAGATAGTTTTCGAAATTTTCATGGTCTTAACGTGATGATATATAGCCTGCCTCGATAAATGGGCTATCTAACACTGAAATAATTTTTCAAATCGGACCAGTAGTTCCTGAGATTAGCGCGTTCAAACAAACAAACTCTTCAGCTTTAAAATATTCGTATAGATTTAGATGTTTGAGGGTTGTGATTTTAAAACATTCGTAGTCAGCTGTTCAGCTTTTTAATAATTAATTAATTGGTGACCAAAGAATTTTTGTTTTGAGTTGTAGGTAGGTACCTAATTTATGGAGACGTTAATAAGCTGAGATAAAAAGTTACTTACTCGTCAGCTGTTTCTTGCATTCTAGTTGAGTAGGTAGGTGTTGGAGTTTCTAAGGATTGGAGTTTTGTAACGCGTAAGGAGAAAGCACATTTTTTTATTCTATAGAAGGATTTTTAAGCTATTGCAGCTTTTATCGCGGGCTCACTTCCTATTCAATATACAAAGTATTTCATTTATTTATATAAAAAGGATATTTACAATCACAAATCTAAATAGAAACAGAAAGTAGGCAAATATAAATAAAATGCTGGAGACGGGCAGCCCTAACGCATGTTTACGTACCGCGCGGCTGTAGGCATTTATTTCTTTCTACTCTTACGAGGTATACGAATGTTGGGCGATGCAATGTTGATGCATTCTAATTTACAACTGTTTTCTTCTACTATTCGGTCTATTTTAACTTATTGTAGATGACTTGTTGCTTTAAATATTTTGATGCATTCAAGTCTAAGCTCTATACACCTCAAAATAAAATACAATTACTTTCGTGTTATTTCTTTACAAAAAAAAACAAAGAAATGAAACGATTTCTTATTGGTTTAAATTTTCTATTTATTGCAGTCAGGTGAATCGTTCGTACATGTATCTACCTACATATTTATAATGTTAGCGAGCCAGTGCAGATTTTCTGTTGATTGTAGCCCCGGAGTTAAAAAGACTAAAGAAATTTTAATTAAAGAAACTAGTGCTTTGCTTGCAGACAACTGAACTAAACAACTAATTATTGGCATAACATTCAGTTTATATATCCACACACAGGTTTATCGGTGGCCAAAAAAGGCCGCACACATTGTGATCGTGAACGTGGAGAGCTACATTTCATCATAACTTTTTAGTCACTTACAGTATCCTTACGAAAATTCGTATACATTTGAAGGTAGTTACAAGCAATAGAATAACGTTTGAAGTAAGTCTTTAGAGGTCTTATTCAAAGTGTTAGGACGTATTGAAGTGTTTTCATACTTACCTAAATAATTTTTAAACGGTCCATAATTTTTGTTATTTTATTGTCGAACAAATTAAAACTAATCCTTAAGAAGTTATGTACAAAAGATGGTTATAATCCGCTTACCCGTTTCAGAGATCCAGCAAACCCACAAACGTTACTCCAGCAGGATCTCGAATAACTTCGCAGCCGAAGAAAATACAAATACCAAATAAGTTGTAACATTTACCTAGTCCAGATAACTAATTATTTAGCTAAAATTTATTTCAATATTACGATTAAAAAAGAAAATGTCTGGCTGCGGTAACGTTTCAAACGTTACCCCAGCAGGAAATGTTTTTTTGAAATAACTAAAAAAGTTTAAGCGAAACAAATTTAAAAATGTGCCTAACAATTACAGAAGGGGAGCAACTAATTATCTATAACGTTTAAATGACCATTTTCGACATTATTTTGATGGGGTAACGCACACGTCTTTTTTTTGACGCAAGTGCACGATGCGTAAAGCAATCCCCACTCTGCTGCCAAACGCTCAAGATACGTGCCGGTAACTATATCACTGGAGCTGCGAGGCGAGGTACGGTACAACTGATACAAGGCAGGCATGAGGTGAAGGTCTAATTATTAGCTATTTAATCGTTATAACTTTTTGTCGAAAGTTTACTGTTCAAAATGCAAAACTTAAAGGGACTAAACTACTTTAAATCGCAGTTTAAACATTACAGTTGTTTTAGGTAAATAGACAGTCTAAAATTTTCTATTTTAAAATACCTATTTACCTGGTAATCCAAATGTAAATTTATTCATAAACATACCTACATATAGTAATAGTTTACACTGTCTTACCTATATAGACCACAAAGTACGTGTTGAGTATGGAATATTATAAAAGTTAACGAAGTGATAAACAAGTATTCATGACCAGTGAAAGACAACAAGTGAGTGAAGGCATTGGTAATAAATAAGACCGATTACACGCATAAAACTATCATTTGAGCCCCGTTTCTTGATTTATTATATATTGATTGATTCATCATCATCAACAGCCTTAAATAGTCCACTGCTGGACATAAGCCTCTCCTTAGAAAGATTCTTCCTCTTGTTAATATTGATTGATTAATGATTAGATATTGGAAAATGTTAGGCCAAAATCAAACAAACGTCAACTTTTTGGCAGGTGTTGTAGAGCGACGCGTTTTTGGTTTAATTGCTTGTTTTCTCACAAAGTTTTGTCGACTACAATACGTGTATTCGGGACAGTTCACTTGCCTATTGTTTTTATTTTAATTGTTTTATTATATTACGTGTCCTCTTAAACGACGGTAATGACAAAATTATCTACATATAATGATATAGGTACAGTGGAAAGCAGATAAAGATCATTAATCGAACGTAGTTAATGATAGTGTGATAAACTTTCTGTATCTGTTGTTTAAATTATTCTAATTACATCAATTTTGTTTTCTTGCTATCAGTGAATGTTACCACTATCACAACAAATTGGTAACAATTGGTACAAAAGTCGAATACTACTCTGTCTACGTACAATATACGAGTATTTGTTAGGCACTTTACTAACGGCTGACGGAAATTTGTGTGCAGGAGCGGTCTCAGGCCACAGCCAATGGTTTGGTTTGGAGGTTGATATTATTAATTTAATAGTAGGGTTACATTTATAGATGCAAGTAATAGTTATTTCATCGGCAGCTAAATATGCAGATAATCTTGAAGTTAGATAGCCGAAAAGCCTTCTTCCACATATTATGTTAAGTATTTATTTTCTACCATTATGGGTAAGTGCATTTATTCCTTAAAAAATATCCAGGTAATAAGAAACTAACCTTGAGTTCAGCAAATTGAATTTAAAGTAAGAAAAAGTGATTTAAATCAGTTCAGTTTCTGTAGTAGCTTTTTTTTTTCGCGGTTGGATCCCCACGGGTCCTATCACGGGGTGCGGTGGTATGTCGGAATCGAACCGACTAAAAAGATGTTTCCGTCACATGTAAGTCTATTGCAAAGGAGTCTGGTATACCCTAGGAAGGAAGTCACCGAGACCCCGGCGGACCTTGGCCACCATGGGTAGCTACATCATCGAGTATAGAAGGCCTTTCCTTCTTGCCTGTTTACAGGTGCGCGTGGAACTCGTCGCACCACCTTTTATGGCCTGCTTCGGCTAGGGTAACAGCCAGCCGTGAGGCTACCACCAGACCAGCGCATGGCGGCCGGAGATCGTTCTCGATCGACGCTTGGTGCCACTTCTTAGGGGCTGACCCTCTCCCGTCGCCTTGCCGCTGCCACTAATAACCATGGTTATAACCATGGTGCCTAGCGAGAAGCTTCCTACGCCAATAGCTGCCGTGTGGTCGGAGCATTGTTGCGTCCACGCTGAGCACTCCACTAGAGTGTGGAGCGCAGCATCCTCACGTTCTGTAGTAACTTAAAAATATGAATTTATATTGATACTAGCCGACCTTGCGAACTTCGTACCACCTTAGAATTATTAAATTAGGTGACATATCGACAGCAGCGCCATCTACCGGGTCTAATTGAGTTTTCAAACCATCCAGGAATCCTATTATTAAATTATACTCACAAAATTGCATCCAAATCGGTCCAGCCGTTTAGGAGTTAGGTTACAAACACATGTACAGAAGAATTATATATATTAAGATTTGCTTGTCACAGGCCTGATCATAAGACCTTACTTGCTTCAGTTAGGATTTATGTTGCAAATTTACAGAGGCCTATGTCCAGAGGTAGACTACCATATTATCTTAATTGTTGATTACTGATTTTCAACTGATGTTCAACTTTAGTCATAAAATTGGAGGTGTGGATGACAGATTAAGAATACTGTGTCACCACATCACAAGGAGCAAATTATGCAGCACAATAGCACTAAAAAGAGAAGGAAAACTTGAAAAAATCCTATAACAACCCATCTGGCCAGTGGTGGTGGTGTAGTAGGCTTCAAAGGCCTTCATGGTAATGATGATGATGATGAGTCATAAATTTCTCATTGAATATGTACACTGTGTAGTGATGACTTCACCACTTCTGGGCTATTGTGTTTACCAGTGCACATGTAAATATCACAAAAATTTATTGCTGTTAATTAAACCACTCCCTCACAATAAAATGTAACATAGTTGAGTACCACCTTACACCACCATATGTATAAAAAAATTTAACTGCCTCAGTGGTGGAGTGGCAGTGTGTGCGACTGCTGTGCCGAGGTCTCGGTTTCGATTCCCGAGTCAGGCCAAATGTTTGTAGGATCTGCAAATATTCGTTTGGGTGTTTTCTATGTATGTATTTACAAGAAAGTATATAATTATTCTATCAGGTAATCAAGCTTTCATTATACAAGCTCCTTAGTTTAAAACAAGATGTGTATTGTGTGACAGATGTCCAAAAATATCAAAGAAAGATTAAAGACTAGCTGGTACCAGGTACTTCGTGGAACTTGAAAAAAATGCCTTAGTGGATTTGATTCTCGAACCGTGCAAAATTTTAAAGGGTTTTTCTGAGAGGAAAAATAGCCTAAGTTACAACTTATATAAATAGCTAGTTTAGAAGATTACCCGGAACAAACAGACAGAAAAACAGTCAATTTTTTTCAAACTGGTATTAAGGCATAGGTATCTTGCAAATAACTATGAAAGCATGAAAAAAAAAATTTTTTTGACATTACAAACAGACACTTCAATTTTACTTATTAGGGGAATTGGGGTAGTTTAAAAAATATTGTGTAAAATATAGGGGGTAGGGTAGAAAATTGCATCATAGATATACATAACTGTACATGTGTGTGTCTATCATTATTCATTATTTCAGCGTATGATAAGATTTTATTGCCAGCTACATACAGATAAGAGTAACCGTTGTAAGATATTATTGTTAGGCAATATGTGGCCCTATATTTATCTACAAAACATGATAATTACTATTTACACAGGAGTTTACACAATCAGTAAGCTATTTAATCCCTCAAAATGCTTCTTGTTTTAACCAAGTTGCATTGGTTTTGGTCAAATGTAGCAAAACTTTAATGTTTAATTACTGAAATTAGCTATTTGATATACATTTATATTAGTGTTGTTTACCAAATAAATTACTCTTTTTTTCAATCAAGATATATAATTTGTAAGGCAGATTGACTGAATAAAACAATAAATTATCCCCAAATTGTAATTCATATTATCAATAATCGTTCACTAATAATAACTGTACAATATCATCACATTTTTAAAACAACATAACAATAGCAATACTAAGTACAGATCGTCACATATTTTCAATGACTTCCATTTTTTTTTTTTTAATAATATTTCCAATGTTACAGAATAAGATGCAATAAATAAAAGTAAAATATTCTATTTACAAAAATATACATATACAAAAACTTTTTTTTTTATCAATGCCCAAGGCATAGATATTGGTGTTCATTTTTCTGCTGTTCAATGACAGAACAATAGTGTAGCACTTTGAGCACTTTGGAAGGTTACTCTGGAAGATTTATCTAGCGAGGCTAGGTGTCATATTTCTCACTATCACATTGGCTGGCCCAGAACAGACAGTTTCCGATACCGCTATAACAAATTAGTATCACGGCTGCAAGGAAGACAACACTGCACACTGTACAAGGCTTTCTCTCCAAGAAAAATCCTATTAAATATAACACCATGAACATAACATGCGTGTTCACTAACGCCGGGTTCACGGGCTTTGGAATTAGCAGCACGGGGATTAGCCATTGCAAACAATACATGTCGCCGGGTACGGGTGCGAATGCTGAACACTATCCCGTCACACTATCGTCAATTAGTAAAATATATCGCAATCGACATGACTGAGACGACAAATTCATATTTTACTTTAGGCAAAACGTAGGTAGATACAGTTCGGCTTTCTTATTTGCGTTTAATTGATAGTTCATAACTTAATTTTTGACAGTAGGATAGTTGCCAGCTTGCATATTATTTCTATTATGTCAGTGTTGCACAATGTATATTTGTTCAGATTAGTGATGCAACGATAAAAAAACTTGCTTACCCTCAGCTTGATTGAGGAAATTTATTTCTAGCAGTGTTAATTGATGGCATTATTTACGTTAATATTCCAGCAAGCATTCAAATAGAAACCCATGTTGTATCACAAAGTATAGGGCAAGAAAGGGTCAACAAATCGGATTCTGGTAACACGATTAAAATCGCATCGCATTAGATTACATTTTTTGGAATCTGAAAACTGGACTCATTCCGTCCATCCGTTGTCTGGTATTTCCGGTCACATAATTTTTTTTCTCATTAACAAAATATAAAACTCGTCCTGATATTATACTCATTATTACCTCCGTCACAGTGACAGTCAGTAAGCAAACATTACGTGTTCGTAAAGTAATAAAGTTCAGTTTGTACATACGCAGCTCCTCAATACGCTCATGAGGAAAAATTACTAATTAACTATTAGATTAATTCATACTATGCGAGTTTGACTAATGAGGCAACTAAGGTGACATTAACTTCGAAGAGTAGGTATAAGGCTTGCATACTACATGAATCTACTGGCACGGAATGACAACGTCACAGAATATTTGTATGAAAAATTAGGTTTTGAAGTCATAACGTGCTATTTTCTTTTTATATTTTGGTTTAAGAGATGTACCTTTTCTTGACATTAGCAAGAAAACTTGCCAACGTTGAAAAACAGTTTTACAATTTTATTTGTACCTAAGATTTTATTTCATAACGACTGTTAGAAACTTTATTGTAATCATAATTAGCCCAATTGTTTAAAGATAAATAATAAATTTTGTTACTATTTTACTCAGATTAAGTTTTTTTATATGTTATACGGGACAAACCAGAGGTCCCAGTATTTCTCGGGAAAACGCCATCGAGAGTCGAAACGAACTTGGGTCTGAAATTGAAACTTCCTCAGATTGGGATCGACTAAATCTAGTCCACTTTAACCCAAAAAAAAACAGGTTTTGTGCGTTCACCGCAAAGAAGATACCGCTTGTCGTATCACCTCGGTTTGAGAGCAACTCCCTAACTGCCTCAGCCAGTATAGGAATCCTAGGCATCAAAGAAGGTAAGGTCAAATTGGCCTCAAAGAAGCTCGGTATGTTGAACAAATCGAGGTAGTTTTTCACACCAGCCCACCGCCTTCAGCTCTATAAGGCGCAAGTCCGGTCGCATATGGAATACTGCTCTCATCTCTATGCAGAGGCACCTCAGTACTAGCTTCTCCCTTTGGACCGCATCCAACGAAGAGTGACTAGAATCGTCGATAGCCCAAACATCTCCGAATGGCTCGAACTCTTGGCGTTACGTAGAGATGTAGCTTCACTCTGCATTCTCTATCGTGTATGTCAACATTTTCATCCCCATCACCTGGATAATTGGCGCTCCATCATTGTGCGCTTTGCAAGATACTTTTGCATTGAACAACTAATCTGTGAAACAAGTTATCGTCTGCGCTATTTCCGGACCGATACGACCTTCAAGAAAAAGCGTACTCCTTTCTAAAAGGCCGGCAACGCGTCCCTCCCCCTAGAACCAGAGGGACATGCGGTAATGTCTGTCACTTGATGAAAAGAAGCGAAAGTACTGCTTAACACAGGTTTTCTGTGAGGCCGTGGTATCACTCCGGTCGAGCCTGGCCCATATGTGCCGAGGCATGCCTCTCCCACTACTAACTGATCTTGTTAGTTGTGTTTTACGCATAGATAATTTTGTATTTATATTGATTATAAGTTAAAATATATGACTGCCTTGGTGGTGCGGTGATAGAGTATATATACAGCTATAGTGAGGTTTTTGGGTTCCCGGGTCGGACCAAATGTTTATAACGGAGTTCTGGTGTTTTATATGTATAAAAGTATTCTATCAGTTAATCTCGCTTTCGTAGTACAATCTCTGCTTAGTTTAAAACTAGATGGCGTGGTGAGTCAGATGTCCGAAATTTGGTATTTGTTTTGTTTTTACTACAAGCAACTAATATCGTTTTATCTCAAATGCAATTATTAGGTACAGAGTTTCGTTTTGTTGAATTTTTATTTATATATTAATGACACATAAAAGAGATTATGTTCGATTCAGATCTTACTTAGGCCGTATTACAGTCAGGGACTTCCTTTCTAGGGTATACCTGGTTCCCCGGCTATTAGTACCCGAGACGGCGTGCGGTTTTAGTCGGTATCCGAGGGGATTTCCGCACGGAAAAAAAGGCCGTATTACAGAACGTTTCTCAAAACTCAAGAAAAGCTTGAGCGTAGTTATATAAGGCGAAAACTAACCTCAAACGTTTCTGGAGTTTTAAAAATAATTTTGTAATACGACCCTTAGATTTATTTCTATTTAGACTGTGTACTTAATAGTTGTTGAATTACATTCTGTACTCCTATTTTACCATTTTTAACTACCTAAAAAACTTATACAACGTATGATCTTTAGTTGCTTAACTTTGACTATGAGAAAACGCCAGTCAGCCATCTCGCCCCGTCCTTTCCCGTCTATCGCGTGCGGTACCTATCCAGTTAATTTAGACAGGTGAATTTCTAGTACTTACCTACGTATATTTTTCTTTATCTACCTACCTAAATACATTATTTTATTTAGACATAATGCCGTCTCTACCTTTTATAGTGATTTTAGTAGGTATGTAGGTATAATAAGATAAATGGCTAACAAAAGCGAAATTTTAAAATGCTAGTTTGAGTTTCGGTTTTGGCCGAAACTGGGAAAAGGCCGAAAGTTCGGTTTCGGTTTCGGCTGTAAAACCTGTTTCGGTTGGATACTAGTTACCACTTAGCCAGAATCCCCTACTTTATTTACATTGAATTGTAATTCGAAAGAAATATTATTTTTAAGCAAGATTAACTGTATTTTTTTTATTGAAAAAGTCTAGATCTATAATTGAACTACAATACGGAATAGATTTGATTAATTACCTTGTTCAGGGTTCCGTAACTCAAAAAGAATAAATAAGATTTTTTTGTTGTTAGTGTGTCTTTATGTGACAGACTTAGATACAGATTAACAACAAAAAATCTCAAGAGCTCTAGGAAGAAATAAACTTGAAGTTAACATCAAATAGTACCTCCTAATTAAAGATCCCTTAAAGCTATATATCAAGCTTTAAAGTGAACGCAATCAAAAGATTATCATCAACAGCCTTTCATAGTCCACTGCTTGACATAAGCCTCTCCTTAGAAAGGAGGTTTTGGCCTACTATACGACGCTGGCCAGACGGGTTAGTATAGGATTTGTGTCGAGTTTTCCTTCTCTCTGCAGTGTTGTTGCTTTGCCTAGTTTTTTCCCTTAGTCGCCTCTTACGACACCCACGGGATGAATAGGGGTGGTGACACTCTGTATTGTATTCTTAATCCGTCACCACACGGAAAGGATACGACCGATAATTAATTTATAACACTCCACAGAGCCACTCAAACCTTTTTGTTCAAACCTTTTTGGTGGGAGAAGTAAGGTCTCATAAGATAAGTAAAAAGGAATTGTTGATTTCAGTTAATTTGATATTCTATTACATATTTTTACCAGAAAGAAACATAATGTGTTTCGAATATCAAAAAAAAAACCAACCGTATACTAACCAACCGTATATCAATCAAATGATATATTTTGCAGTTGGACAAACTGTTAACTGTGACGTACCGATGATGTATTTCTAAAAATACTTAGTCAGATACCTTGATATGTATGCGACTATTTTGAAAAATATAATACGTTAGCTTAGTATATTTTTTAAATAAAAAAGCCCAAAATATCTTCTAGGATTAATCTAGATATCTACATATATGCTAGTTTAGTTACGAAACCCTCGGCACCCACACTTGTTCGATTGTTTAAATTACTTTTACACATCAAATTTAAGCCATAAATCTACGTCGAGAGAGAAGGCTCCGCCTCAGCTATTAATATTTTACTATGTAGATTGTGATTTAACGAAAGTTAAACACATTGTCTTTTTGTTCATTTTTTTACTGCCATGCTTTTATGATGACTGGTGGGTACACTATTAATAATTAATTCGTATGTTTCCGTTAGCCTTTTGTTCATTTATGTCACATCACGTATTATACGTCTCAAAATTACAATAAACATTATAATTATAAATACTTCGTACAATGAAAATATCTAATAAAATAAATCAATTCCTTCTGTCGGTCATCAATGTTTTCATTCTATGATTTCCCTGTCTTCACAATGAGAGTATTTCACCAACAATAAGACTTATTTGTGTACTCAGATGTTAAAAGCTAAGCAATTTTCATTGAAAAATTTTCATCTTTGTGTACTGTTCCTTAAAAGACATTAGTCTTGCGCATGCGTATACAAGTAAAATGCGTCCCTCACCTCCACATCGGGTGAGTTTCCCGCCAGAGGCGGGCGTTACGCGGACGCTTTTGTTACAAAGGAACATAAAAAAAAACTATAAAATAAGCTAATCTTTTCTGTTTTGTGTTAGTTTATCTACATTATTTACTTAAGTGAAATATCTATAAAATAAATTGCTTAAAAGTAATAATGTTCGGTTACAAATCAATACATGTTTCTTTGAACATAACAGTGTTTGTTACGTTTACATGTAATTTATTAGTTCTCATAATGTGCCATGACACAGAAAACGAATCGTTTTAAACACTATGATATAACAACAATAAGATAATTAGTAGTTATTTGAAATAACATATCAATAATGGCGAACACAGCACATTTGATGAGGCGACAGAGTTCGCGGGACTTATATGCCCAGCGCTCAATAGATCGCATGGAAATGAAGGAGCTACGGGGAAGGTTGGTGACTATGGAGAACGGACATCCATCACACCGTACCCACGTCATGTATGGTGCAACAAACGAAGCATTCGAAGACACCAGTCCTAACAGACGATCATCAGAAACCCCAACCAGTAAAGCGAGTTCTGTCGAAGACCGTGGGGCCCTAAAGCCTGAAGAAGGAGGAGTGCAGCGAGAGTCCTGGGACAGCAAACTGACCTTCCTCTTAGCAACTGTTGGGTACGCTGTAGGGTTAGGTAACGTGTGGAGATTTCCTTACTTAGCGCAAAAAAATGGAGGAGGCGCTTTCTTGATTCCGTATTTCGTGATGTTGGCAATCGAAGGGATTCCGATATTTTATTTGGAGTTGGCAATTGGTCAGCGTTTGAGGAAAGGGGCTATTGGTGTGTGGCATCAGGTGTCTCCGTACCTTGGTGGTATAGGAATCAGTTCTGCAGTTGTTTCTTTCAACGTGGCGTTGTACTACAACTCTATTATCGCGTGGTGTCTTTTCTACTTCGCCCAAAGTTTCCAAGCTGAGCTGCCTTGGGCCGAATGCCCGAAGAAGTACTTCGTCAACGGATCTTACACCATAGAACCTGAATGTGCCGTAAGTAAATATAAATACATATTTATTTAGTCCTCCAATGTTATAATTGATTTATTAATATTTATGCATAATATTTTTCTAGTTAGGTATATAAAAATGGCTGCTTGTACGTTTGTCAGCATAAAATCTCATCTCCCATATATTTCATATCTCTATATCAATATTCAATAAAATGTGTTACTATTCTTAATGCGTTAAATGCGATCAATAGGTGTTACATACGGCACTACCGTGGTCACAGGCTATCAGTCAGCCTGTGACCACGGTCATTACAATATAGTCAGAACGTCAGACCAGTCAAATGTAATATTCATTGATTGCGTTGATTCCCGGAATAATTACGGAACGCGAAAAAAATGAAATAAAATAGTTACGTCGAACCTCGTTCCGTATTTATAATTTTAAAACAACCACAATAAACAACAATGATACCCTTTATTAACTTAGAAGCTATCTGGATTAGTTTAGTCCTGCGCAGAAACAATTAAATGTTTGTTATAGAAAATTAATAGTGGTTTTCTGTAAACTGGTGTTGCATTCCGATTTCGTTGTACCCGGGTCGAGAATGAACCTTCATAGAACTTATTCATAAACTTTAATATATTATGAGGGGTCAAATAAAAAAAAATGCAATATACTTTTGAATAGTCCTCTGCTGGACATAGGCCTCTCCTTAGAACAGAGGTTTTGGCTCACTATATCACGCTGGCCAGACGGGTTGGTAAAGGGTTTGCGTCAAGTTTCCCCTCTCTTTGAAGTGCTGTGTCCAGCAGTGGACTGTTAGGGGCCGTTGATGTGATGTGATGTGAGATATAGAGCATTTTTTGTCTGCTAGACATCGCTGGCGGGCGAATTTCAGCCGTTGAATGTCTTTCATGTTCAGTCTAACTTGTACCGGCATTGTATAGATTTTTAGATTTTTGTACCATGACAGGTCAAAATATATATATATATATATACCAATATACGAGAATACAGAGTGTCATCACCCCTATTCATTCCGTGGGTGTCGTAAGACACGACTAAGGGAAAAAAAAACGACGGGTTGCACTCCGGGAGTGCCGGCAGAAGTGTAAACTTGAATATTAACGTTGTGCAGTTTTGATATTTTGGAATGATTAGGGAATAATTTTGCACAAATTGCTTTAATTATCAGTATAAAAGTACTATCATTTATGTGGCAGAATACAATATTTATTTATTGCGCTATCGTACACATACATGACAATTTATATTACATTAAAAAGTTTATCACTCAGAAAAACGAACATTCGCGCAAGCGCCTTGCGCCGCCTAAACGAAACAGCAGGCGCAGGCATTCATTTGAAAGAGAAGGGGATACTTCCTCTCCTACGCCGCGCCGGCTGTCTACTCTCTATCCGTCTTACGAATTTTCGATCAGGGTCACGTGTCCTGACGCGAGTTTAACATTTTTTACCCATTACAAAAAAGTGTACAACGCCGCTAAAGAAGTTTTCACTTCAAAAACTACGCAGAACAACAGATCTGCAGAGAGAAGGAAAACTTGACACAAACCCTGGCCAGCGTGGTATAGTAGGACAAAACCTCCTTTCTAAGGAGAGGCTTATACCCAGCAGTGGAATGTTAAAGACTGTTGATGATGATGATGATGATGATGATATACCGATACCTTCATGTACACATTACACATTTCTACGTTAGATTGACGACAATGCGAGCAAATTCATCAACAATAAAGTAACAAACTAATTCATTGTAGAAGGTCATAATTTACTTAAATTATAATTAGACAAAAAACCAGAATGCGTAAAAATACTAGGTACCTAAATCTTTTTATAACCTTTTAAAACACAAAACTAGCTTCTCTCTCGAGAAATTTCAGGTTTAAGAGGAAAAAGTAACTTTTATATAATTATTGCTACGGGAATTAATGCGATCCATAGGTACTGCATGCCTTTGAGCTTGAGAATTTTTGACCTTGGCCATGGTCAATAATTACATTTTAAAATTTTGCTTTATTTGAATCAATTTTTATATTTCCCTTAATATAATAAGATATAAATATTTACCAAAATAACTTAGTTTTGTTACGAATATTTACATTCGTATTCGTATTCGTAAACCCTTCCTACCTACTACCTATACCTACCTACATGATACGAAGGGCCGACCCCAAATAAAAGGGCCAGGCAAAGAAGAAGCAAGAAGAATACCTACACGAATATTGATTTCGAGTACGTCATATTATGTTTAACTAAACGTGTGTGATAAACAATCTAAACTATATTTTGTAATGCTCATATTGCTAAGATAATTCCAGCACTAGGAGTACATATATCCTAGATTTTACAAACATACATGAAACGTACAAAGCACACCCAGACTTAGAACAGCAATTTGAGGACCACATAAAGTGTTGTCCCATGTAGGGATCGCCACCACAACTAATCCGCTGGTCGTTAAAAAAAACAATCAGCACCCATTGCAGTGTTACATATTACGCTGATCCCAAATAAAATAGGAAAAATGACAGAAAAATGATTAATGGTAAGGTGAGTAATGGAACTTCTCGTCTGTTCCCAAAAATACGTCCAATGTTTGCAATCAATATCAACGCGAGTACGTCCATTAGACAGAGCTATTGTTACTGAAGTTTAATATGAAATATCGCTGAAGTTGCTTCGTGTATTTGTTCTAAGATATATACCGATTTTTTATTACTTTCATGGAATTTGTGATCGCGGTGTGTGTGATTCTGATTATCAGCGTGGTGACGGATTAAGTACGGATTAAATTCCTATTCATCCCATTAGTGTCGTAAGAGCCGATTAAGGGACCAAATTATGCAGGACAACAGCACTGCAAAGAGAATGAAAACTTGACACAAACCCTATACCAATTTAACTAGCTAGCATGGTATAGTAGGCGAAACCCTCCTTTCTAAGGAGAGGCCTATGTCCAACAGTGGACTGCTAAAGGCGTGATGATGTGATGTGATATAATTTGTGATGCTTTATGTAGATAGAAAATGGTAAAATAAGAAGGAAAAACAAGTAAAGAAAAGACACATTGCCTGCTTGTTTAGTGGTTAGTGACCCTGACTGCTAACTCGGAGGTCGTGGGTTCGATTTCCACCCAGGACAAATAATTGTGTAATGAGCACGACCATTTGTTCTGTGTCGGAGTGTAATTTATCCATAATATGTATGTATTTAGAAATATGTAAGTATGATTATCAGCAGTCTGGTTACCATAGTACAGGCTCTGCCTAGTTTGGGATCAGACGGCCGTGTGTCAGATGTGTAAATGTATTATTATTTTTATACCTAATTAAAAATACAGAGTACGTACCCGTTGGAAGTGTTTTAAACAGCCATCACGTTCCAGGCCCTGATGTCAGCAAAATGTTACGTAGAATTTGCTCGTATATTTAGCGGGCGGTGATTAATTACTCTTCTAATACTCTTGGAATATGACCACAGCTGTTTGTTGTATATTCAGGTAGGGAATTTTCTTTCTGTGTCATTCACGTGACATGAATAATTGAAATATAAGAAACACATGAAACGGACACAAAGAACACCCAGACTCAGAACAACGATTTGTGGATCACACAAAGTGTCGTCCCATGTGGGGTTTGAACCCACAACACTCGTTGTAGTAGGAAGCGGCGTGGCGACCTCTTAAAGCACTACGCCATCCGTCGTGTCCTGTGTTATTGATTGTGTGTTATTAAATCTTATAGGAGTATTAAAAACCTTATAAAGTTGGTGTTTCTATAATATATTTGCAAGAGATAGTATGGAGGTGGATCAAGATAGGAATACAGCTCAGTGGTTTCATTTCAGAAATCCTACTCTAGTGTTCTCATTCAGTACACCCACCGCTGCACCGGTCGACCGCAGATCGCGACACCAATCGGCGTGTCGAACATAAGAGTATTAAAAACTTCATAAAGTTGGTGTGTTTCTTTAATATATTTACTAGAGATCTTATGGCGGTCGAATTTCATGTTGGGTTTAAATAACTTTATAAAATAAGTTTGTAATAACTTTGTAATTAACTTTGTAATAACCCTTTCACATTATTATCATTCTTGAACAAATCTTACGATTATACAGAGAACCTACTCTGATTTTCAACGCTATAAAACCATACACCCATACAGACTCAATTCAAGACACTCACACACACACGCACACACACACACACACACACACACACACACACACCCACTCATGCGCACACACACGTGATTGTGAAATAATTTAATTAAAAATGCACTAAAATTGTAACAAGAAGTCGCTAAGATAGTATTTTGCTTGTTTTGTATATGTTTATGCGAGAGCCCTGGTTACCCATACCACAAGTTTAATCTTACCTTGGGTACCAGAGTTCAATGAAATAATGTGATGGTTATGATACCTAGAAACATGTTCACCTTGATTCTAAAATATTATGGCAAAAAATATTATTATTATTATTATTCTAAAAGTGCTAATTCATACAGTTCAATACGAACTCCTGAATAAAAGATACTCAATAACAAAGTAATTATGAATACGAACAGTATGAATCGAATTAAATCTGAATGATTACCCAGATTCGATTCGATTCAATATCGTGTTCCATTAATTGAAATATTCTTTGTTGCGTTAAGGTCTTGAAACTTAATACAAACTACAACCCTCAGTCACTTAAATCGAACATTTCAGATGTAATTACTCTTAGGATATAAATAGAAACATGGAAAACCACTCTCCTTACCGATAAATTAGATCAACGTAGAATTCTCATAAATACCTCTCATGCCCCCTACGACACACACAAGCCTATAACACGCCACTTTTACCCCTCAAAGCCGACGGCCATAATTTTGTCGTTTGACAAGCGCTATGAACGACATTCGTCTCGACACCATAGTGTATAATTACATCACCTCGTGAATCTAGGCATAGACTAGGCTGAAAAATGTTTTGACGTAGGCAGTCTTATTTCGCGCCAATTACCATTGTAATATTCTTTCTGTCAGTTAATAAAAAAGTAAA